GAGAATCATGGGACCAATAGATATAAATAAATATAGATAACAGAATAAAGAGGTGATTGTTTGTTGCTTAACGTCCAGTGGCAAATAATACATGCATGCTTAGGACAATTATTATACAGATTAATTGGCAGAAGAATAAAGAAAACAGTGAAATGGTAAAAAAATAAAAGATATAGAACTATAGAAACGATGATCTGACTCCCCATACCATTACCACCCACACTCGCATATATACACCTCTCTCTAAATAAATATTTAATTTTGATCTCATGCCCCCCCCCAGACATCAAGGTTCTGGATCCACCCCTAATGGGGATGTACACGACTTCCCAAATTTAATCTAAAATTCAACTACGTTAAACAACATTTTAAATATTGAAACAATACGAGATATCAATAATTTTTATTTATCAAATTCGAATACTGGGAGCTATCTGAAGTCAGTACATAGGACCTCAGTTTTAATATAGGCGTGGCAATCCATCACATTTATCCAATCAACTGTCCTTAATAATAAAGATTGGCGTGCAATTGTGTCTGTATCAAGTTAGAAAAATATAATCATATTTCTGGACGTACATACATATGTCTGGGTTTAGACTATTTCATTCGATAGTAGTAGATGGAAAAAAAAAGAATTTTCTGGTTATATTTATTCATAACTGAAAAAAAATGGCATTAAATCGTAGAGGCAGTCCCACTTTATGTGAAGAATAGAACATATTGAGCTTTCTGGATTTTCTTCTGTCCACTAGCAAATGTGGGCCTGTACCACTGAAAATATATAACTTCCGGACTAGCAAACACGGGCAACCCAGCTACTAATCTCCCTGCTTCTGACTAAACGTCATGTTCTAGATTGTCGGAATCTTGTTGAGTACAACCATCCCCATAACTCACGTGCATTTCCATAATTGGTCTTATAAGTGTTAAGTTTATACGAGTAAGATAATTTCTAGTCAATACATATTTCAATTCTTTTTAGAAATTTAATCTTGTGCTTGCACAATTTAAAACGTTTTCTATATGTGTATAGAATTTACCATTGGAATCAAAAGTTATCCCTAAGTGTTTATGACAGGAGACAATTCTACTACTTGATTTTGAAGTTCTATTTTAATATCATCTGGGGAAGAATTACAAGAGAATAGCATAGTAATTGTCTTGTTAGGATTGAAATCAATAAGCCAATCTTTAGACCATGCTGAAATTTGTTCTAAATCGCTAGTAAAGACATCCTCTATTGTGTAAGGACTATAATACTTAAATTAGAAAGTGATGTTTCATCAGCACACAATCGAGTTAGACTTATCAAATTACCAGCTATCTCATATACATAAATAAGGAATAGTAGGGAACCTAATACAGAGCCTTGTGGAACTCCTGCATTAGTATTCTAAAAAGGCGAATATGAACTTGAAACAAAAACGCTTTCTTGTATATTTGAAATATAACTAATTAAGTGATTAAATACATTTTAAATACAATTTTTTCAAATACTTTTCCCACTGTTGATAATAATGAGATTGGTCTATAATTTGAAATCAGTGATTTGAAGCACAAATAAATTTACATAAATTGTCTTAAAAACCCCAGTCCAGAGATACCGTATATATTCGACTGAATATACCAAATCGATAATTTTACCTTCGTACTTGTTACGTAATAAGATCTGTGTACAGGTAAAAAGAACCAGCAGGTGGTATAATCTTAAGTGTTTATCACCTTCCATTATACATCTGACGATGACATTTAGCTTTAGGGCCATTTTGTTTTCGCAACGAAAAACAAAAAAAAATAATATTTTATATAAATAACATTCTGTTGAAAAATCATTTTAAAGGTAAACTGATAAGCATAACGTCCTCGCAATTTCTTGTTCAGATCCAGGGACACAGACGTCAGAATGAATAAGAAAACACTAAATTCTTAAATAATATATTGTAAAATGGACAGCAAGCACATTTTGATAGACTAGTGTACTAATAGATTTTCTTGTGTATTTTCTATGTTCTGGAAACTTCAACATCCCATCAAAAATACTTAAATTAAAGTCTTAAGTTTTATAAATTAAATGTTTTTTTTTAAATATTATTTGCAAGGCTGCATGAACATTGCACCTATCGTTTTCGTATATTTCTTTTCCGCCATGCATAAGTTTAATGTTTACTGTGACTTCTATAATGCTTAAAAAATGATGCAATTATATTATCAATCTAAAAATATTAATCGTGAACAACAACAAAAATAAATTATATATTAAATGACTGAAGCAATTTAAAATTCTAAAGGATATTGTTACAATATTACCGAAAACTGAGAATACTATAACTGTTATAGTAGTCTCAGCCGAAAACAATACGAAATTGATAAGCAAGTATGACAAACCAATCAAAAAATTTGTTGTTTGGGATTATTCATGGTTGACTAGTTCTATATTAACCAGTGGCACGTGTCCTAATTATTAAGAAAAGGGACAGAAAAGTATTAAACAGAAATAACTGGTTTTTCAAAACCATATTTTCAAAATTCACTGCATGATTTAAACAGCTTAAAAGTGTTTCATTTATTTTATCTTTGTGCGTATACGAAAAATTGTTAGCAAGTTAAACTTCAATGTACATGACTTACAAGTATTAGATTTCTTGTGAAATTGATCGATGAGCGGCTTTTTACAAATATTGGAAAAAAGAATACGGCGTAAACGTCAATTAATGGACAAGCAACCCAACGAGAAAAATAAAATTTAAGAGGCATCTATAACTAGTTTTGAGTTGGAGAAATCATTCAATGCCATATGATTCTATTTAGGTTTCTGCGTTTTTCGATTTACGAATAAGTCAATTAGAAAAAAAATAAGTAATTGAAGCCACAAAAGAAGACAAAAAAGATACACGAAATAAAGTAATACCATAAGTTTACAAATACGTACCTAGGTGCATTTAATAAAGCAACATTTGAACTTATTATAGAAAAAGGAGAAATTAAATGGAAACATAATGCGCGCTGTTAAATCATACTTTGCAAGGCTGTTTACAGATGACTCGTGCACAATCATTTTGAATGGTGAATAAGATCACATACATGCATTAAGCACTCAGAAACTAGCCCGTAAATAGGAAAAAAAGGACACTAAAACGATGTTTTAAGACCACAAAGAACATGGATAAAAGAAGATATGAGTATATAACTTATAAATATAAAGTTTGGTGTGAATAGATTTTATTATTTTGAAGTTAAATGACTTTGTAATCAGCGCGTGCCACTGGTACAAATCCAAATACATTTAGATATAAAACGTGTATCTCATATAAAGCCTCATTTATAGAACATTATATATCATTTATTGTTTCAAGGAAATATTTGGTGGAGGAGAGAGAGAGAAAGAGAGAGACTTATTTCGCGGTATTTCAAATTGGTCTCATGTTATTCATGTCAAAATGTGATGTAAGGAAATGTTTCCCCTTCGTTTTATATAGCAGGGTATTCTATAATGATATTAGTTGCAGATTTTTTTTCTATCGGTAAGAAATGGTTTACAGTTCGAAATCTACGTTAAGTTATAGTACATTTAAAGTAAGTTTATTGCATTGCTAAACGTTTCTTAATCAAGATAAAACGTTTACAACCAATACTATTTTTACGACTAAATATGTTTTATGTAAATAAATAGTTCACGTTTCAATTAACTAAGGGTATTGTTTATGTTAGTTTTTTTTTTTTTAACATTTTATAAGATCGAATTTGAAATGATTCAAAATTACAAAAAGACATCAAGAACTACGCAATTAGTATGAAACAAAATACATAATAAATAAGATAACTTATTTGCTTTAATTAACATGTGAAATGTTTCCAATCCAATCTTTCCAATCTAATATAGTCCAAAGGGTGACAAAAGGATATAAATATGATCACCAAAGATTTTCTTACGGCTGGCAGTAAAAAAAACTTGCCAAAGTGGGGGCATCCGTTTGGTTGTTTGGGATATACAAGTACGCAACCAACTTTCAATCAATCCAAACTAATAATTGTTTTTTTTTATCCCGCATCTTTTTATTAATTTATTTTAACTCAAAATAATAATTGAAATAACTTTCTGAAATTAAAGCCTAACATATATCAGACGCTTAACAAAACGATATACCATACGATAGATGAAACGCTTAACGATATCATATACCATACGATAAACGAAACGCTAAACGCTAAACCATACCATGTACCATACGACAAATAAAACGCTTAACGATACCATGAACCATACGATACACAAAACCCTAAACGATGACATTTACCATACGATGAACGAACGCTGACCGAACGTTGTACGGACGCTATACGAATGATGTACGAACGATGACCGAACTCTATACGAACGATTCCCGAACGCTGTACGTACGATTCCCGAATGAAAAAAGTGTTAACTTTTACGTTACAGGGACTGTATGTTCAAGGGGCTATCCCCAGTAAAATTTATCAACTGCTTTCCTGAAATGCAATATTTACCATGAATATCATCATGAAACAACACAGTACAGTACGTTTAAAAACATAAACAACACATTAAGCTTTATTGATTGATTTGACAGACAAAAATTTGTTCGGTCAGACAAAACCTACAACACTGTCTGTCTGAATGTCAAGACAGAAACAGAAAGAGTTTGCCACAGACTGTTGTCGATTAAGGTTGAAGTCAAAACCACCTTGTCAAAGTATGGTTTCAATACACAAACTCAGTGTTCTTAACCTAGTGATTATTGTTAATGAACTACTTAGATCACAAGGTCACCATGGCCCCTTGATTTTAGCATGATGTCAATTTAATAAATATGCATATAATATTCAGCACTTTATGTTATCCAATCAATTTTATAGTTCAGGTAATTGGTTGAGATCTATTACAATTGATTCAACATATCACCATTAAAACCAAAAACATAACATTTTTTCTATGTCTAATATGCTCAGAATCAGTAGAATAGTTATTTCTATTGCAGTTGCCACGACAGAAAAACCACAGGAAACTGGTTATGATTTGGTCGTTATACTTGATTCTTCTGTTTCTCAAGAATATTTTGATTGGATGACAACATTTACTAGAAATCTAGCAGATACAGTTAGTATTGATGATGAAGAATTCAGAGTTGGTTTGTTGAGATATAGCACAGATTCAAATGTTCAATTCAATCTCAAGGACTATCAGTCCAGCGGTGATGTCAAAAATGCAGTTGATCAGGTCAGATACAGAGGTGGAATAACAAACACAGCACAAGCCATAGATACTGCTAGAACCCAGATGTTCAGACCTGACCAAGGTGATCGTGACTATGCCAGAAACTTTATATTGTTGATAACTGGTCAGGATAAGAGTTTGAGTACAAACGATGCTTGGCGAGCAGCAGAGAGAGCAGAGACAGACGGAATCCAGTTATATGTTATGGGCTTGAATATTAATGATCGTGAGGAGCTGGATGAGACGTCTTCTCATCCTTTGAACACCTACCAATATTTAACAAGGAGTGAGAGAGAACTAGCTGAGGTTCCTCCCCAGATTTATGCTGATCTTCTTGGTAGTAAGTAACAAAAGCTACATTTGTATAATAATCACTTGCCAAAGTTAATCCTTTTTGCTCCCCTGGTACAAATGTTGATAATAAACTCATCATAGATACCAGGATTAAAATTTTGTACACCAGATGTGTGTTTTGTCTGAAGTGAAATTTAGAAATCCTACTTTGGTTTCATCAATGTTTAGGTGCAGTCTTTAGTTGTAGTTCATTTAGATGTAAATTATAACTTTGTCAAACAGTCATGGATTTTTACACTACTTGGGACAGAAGTTTCTTCATGAACAAAGAAAGCATTCAGAAATAATTGACCTCAAGTGAATGGTCTGAACAGTACTGAATTTTCATACTGTCCTGGATAAACCTACAAATTGACTGAAAAACTGAAAACAACTTTTAAGAGATGTTCATATCATAATGACCCTTTCAGACTAGATATTATTTATTAGTGAAAGTTATTTCAGTTTTGATACAAAGTGAAAAATATTGAATATTTGAGAGCTTTTGAAAAACATGAAAAGTCCAAGGTGATTAGGTAAAGCCATCTTAGAAGACTTGAGGGCATGACAACTGTACAAGTACAATCACTGATTTATTGAACTGGAAATAACAAACAAAATGGAGAAGTTACTTTATGCTACACTAATGGAATGTCTACTAGGCATATATTAATTGTACCTACGAGGCTTAAAAGAAAAAAAGCCAAAGGTGATCAGCCAAAAGCATCTAAGACTGAAAGCATTTCAATCATACATAATTTTTTTACTTGAAATTACAAGCAAAATGGATAAAACTATTCATGCTAGATTAAAGGAACATCTACTTGGCAGATGTTACCTACAAGGGTTAAACAAAAAAGCCAAAGGTGATCAGCAGAAGACTTCTTATATAAAAATAAGTAGATGTGGTATGATTTCCAACGAGACAACTATCCACCAAAGTTCAAATAAAGTGCATGTGATCAGAAAAAAGCATCGGAGACTGAAAGCATTACAATCATACAAACCTTTTGTATTGAAAAGTACAAACCAAACATATAAGTTTAACCTGCCAGAACCAAATCACTGGCTTTTGGGCATATGTTACCTACCAGACTATTAGTCTACTGGAATCTCTACAAATTGAGTTGCAGTACTCTTAGAACATGAACTTGGAAATTTGCACCAGGTACAAAAACTGAGGATAGCCAGATGTAAGTTATCTGATATCCTCAGTGCACAAAAGGAAAATTTAAGACTTCAAAAAAACCAAGAGTTAACTGTATCAACATGTAGAAAAAGTTGTTTTATTTTTCAGTGGGAAAAAATCCTCCTCCAATGAGACCCAGACCAGGTTAGTAACTTATCAATAGTTTAGAACCATGCAAAGATATTTTATGCTTTATGCTCATAAACTATCCATCAACATATTTCGAACCAGAAGATGGTTAGTCCACATTTACAGTGAATCTATCATTGCAAAAGAAATGAAACGTGTTCACAAAATCATTTGCAGTTTATCTATCTATTTAATTTTTTGATTGTTCACTAGTCCCGTTTAATTAATTCATAATTGTACCATATTGTACCATCTTTTTAATGCCATGACTATTTTTTAAACTGTTGTACTACAATATATTCTGCCTGTTGAATAACTTGAAGAAATGCAAAAGGTTGAAATACAATATAATTTAATCTATGTTCCTGTTATTCCATTTTATACTGTACACACAATTGTATTCCTCTTTTACACGGTGCACTGAACATTTGGCTACATTGTAGCAATCTTGTTTTCTCTTATAGTGAAACCTGATGTAGGCATTAAACCATACAGAAGCACTGTACTTTATGGAGGACCAGTGACAATAGAATGTACTGTGAAGTCTGATATACCTGTCAAGGAAGTCACATGGTATCGAGTGCAAGGAGATTCAAGGACACCAGTTGTAGTAGATGGTAGAAAATACAGTGGTTCTTCAGTACGTGTGCCCTCTCTTACAATAAACAGTGCAAACTTTAAAGATGAAGGTACCTACGTATGTACTGCAGAGAATGCTGCTGGTGTTGGATCCAGTACTAATGGTGATGTTGATGTTACTGGAGGTTAGTAAAGTAGAATAAAGGGATTAAGGATATATGCATAACAGGTAACAACCCTACAACACTAAAATCTAGAATTCAGAGTTTTCCAAGTTTGATTTGATGTTGAAGATACCTAAGTGATATTCAAATTCATAAGTCGAAAATAATGATAACCATGCCATGGCAAAAGACAAACAAGTCTTTATAACACAACATTGAAAACTAAAGACTGAGCAGCACAAACCCCACCAAAAACTGTGGGTAATCACAGGTGCTCAGGAAGGGTAAACAGGTCCTGCTGCACATGTGACACTCATTTTATCTTAAAAAAGAATGCTCAGAATATTAGGGCAGCCGAATAAATACATTTCTCTCTTTCTCAATCTGTTATTGAATACTTTCCTCATGTAATTTATTATTTTCTATTTTCAACATGTGGTTTGCTCAATCATATTTAACTAGTCCTAACAAAACTCAATTATGACGTCAAACTTTCTTGCCTTTCTCTGATTTTATAAGAGTTTCCTGAAATTGTTATAATGCTTTATGTGAATTTGCTTAGACTTGTCTGGTATGGTTTCAGATTCACCACTCCTCATCTTCCTGCCAACAGAATACATGTAGAGGGTTATCATAAATAATGAAAATAACAACAATATCTCACAGTTCTTGTTATTTTTCTTATGTAGTATGGGTTTTGCCCATTGAAAGCTATACAGTGACCTATGAATACTTACATCTTTTTAACATCATATGGTTTCTGATGGATTGTTCAAGTTGTCTCATTGGCAAACATACCACATCTCCTTATTTTTAAAGACATGTTATTTACAAGGTTCTTTATACTTAGATCTCTCACCCTGCATATGTTTCTTCTAGCACTTCCTGTTGTCACAGTTCCAAAGAGAGAATACACTGGAGATATGGGTACAGAGGTTACTCTAGAATGTGATGTTGTGGCAAATCCACCTGAAACCACTGTCTACTGGAGGAGAGAGGACAGAGGAGAGATGGTTGATGTTGACACCACTTCATCACGTTACTCTCGTGTCTCACCCATCTCACCATCTCTGACCCTCACAAATTTGGATACTTCAGATACAGGAATGTATCAGTGTTATGCTGATAATCCAGTAGGAACTGCACAAAGTCAACAGACTTCTCTCAGAGTTCTTTGTAAGTACATGATGTTATTCACTTATGGAAAAAAACCAACTAATAAGTTGGAAACAGAAATAAGAAATCAGAAACTAGATTAGTGGAACATCTATACATATAATTGTTGCTACTACTATTATCACAAAACATAGAATATATGAACACAGTACAATTTAAGTTTTTTTAAGGAAAAGCAGACATGCATCATTGCTCTGTTGTCAAATTTATAGATTCTTTCATTTCTTGTTTATTGCCATATAATTCTTACCATATTTTTTTTTTTAAATTTCATAAATGTTATTTTTGTTATTTTTCAGTACCAATCACTCTTCCAACAACTGATAAACGTAAGTAAAAGTAAAAATAAGCATCCAGCCATCTATCTATTATGTAAATTTTTATTGTTTTTGTTGATTAAGAAATATGCCTTTTAAGTATAAAGAAAATTTTTAGTGGAAGAATCCCTATGATTGTTACTTATATAGTAACTGTTTTTACAGTTTGCTCTAATGGTGCAATTTCACACTACTGTCCAAAGTCAGTTATTTTACCCACCATCATACCTGTCAACAGTCTGGATTTTGCGGTTCACACGCAGGAATTTAAGAGCTCACCTAGACCTGTTTTCACCCATTTTTAAGTATGAAATGATAGATAAATGGTAGATTTCATAAGTGATTTTCCTTTGAAATACCGGTAAATTCATAATTCTTCCTGGACAGGAAGTTCAACTAGCTGTGTAACTGTCAAATTAATTGACCCATTAAGTGCCATAGCCTAAGGCCATCAATAATTTGTGTATTTCAAAGATGTTTGACAAAAAAATTACTTCCCCTTTTTTGCAACTGTGAAATCTAAAGCAAATTGAATGCAAAGATATATAAGAATATTACTTTAAGTGATTTTTACTTTCTTCGGATAATTAAAAAATTGATTTTTGATGCCCCACCTACAATAGTAGAGGTGCATTATGATTTTCGGTCTGTGGGTCTGTTCGTTCATCTGTTCGTTTGTCCATCCGTTCTTCCGTCTGTCCCACTTCAGGTTAAAGTTTTTGGTCAAGGTAGTTTTTGATGAAGTTGAAATCCAATCAACTTGAAACTTAGTACACATGTTCCCTATGATATGATCTTTCTAATTTTAATGCCAAATTTAGATTTTTGACCCCAATTTTACGTTCCACTGAACATAGAAAATGATAGTGCGAGTGGGGCAACCATGTACTATGGACACATTCTTGTTTTCATCTCTTACTGCCTTTAAATGATTAAATTTTGAATTATATCATTATATCATCTAATATAAATATGTTTTCAACAACCTTGCAAGGTCTTAACAGTTAAACAATCCAAGGTCGTCAAAAAACCACCCTAGTAGAAAATATGTTTTAAATTGAAAGATAGATTAAAACTGCATATAGTGTGTGGTTTGGACTAAAACTTTGTGAATGAAACAAACAGAGGGGGGTAAGGCTTGAATTGTTATAGTATAATTAATAAAAATAGCAATGGTTAATAAATGTAATGAAAGAATAAAATTGAAGTTTTAAATTATTTTCAGTTAATACTTAACCATGTGAACATGTTTTAGAAACACTTCTATTTAAAATATAAAAAAAGTCCCATAATCACTGAAATTCATTGTTTTTACACCTACTAAGCTAACTACGTGTATTTCACTTTACACCAAAGCTAGTTATAACAGCTAGTGATGGCCAATCCCATTAAAAATATAATCGATTATCGGAAATAATCAGAGCATAATCGATTAATAATCGATTATAATTGTCTGTTTTGTATCAATTATAATAAAATAAAACTATTTAATAGTGTTGATGTGTTTCTGTTATTTATATATATTTATATACATTATGATTTCTAATATATGTTGATGAATGAAGATCATATTTTACATGTGAATTTTTGTCATGTGTCCATAAACAAAATACAAATATACCTACTCTGTATTAAGTTACTCAAATCAGTCATCTGAAATAATGGTGATAGAACTATATGGACTATGGTGAAGTAAAACTACTGTCAGTGATATAGTTTGCCTCAAATTGCATCCGAAATTCGGCTTTTCCCCCTTGAGGAAATTCCTAATTACTAAAAAAAATGGCTTAAAATTCCTCCCAATAAGTTTTACATTTTTCCCAAAAGTGATCCCTTGGTATCAGTAGTAATGAATGGTAAATTTCGTTTTCATGTTATTATTTTGATATTATGAAAGTGCTTTTGAGATCCAGGTTTCTGATCAGATTCATCACGGTGTTTGTAATACATGTGGTTTTCAATGCATTAAGTACCATGAATATTGTTTCCGTCCCTTTCCCCTCCCCAAAAAGTACCATTTAGGTTAAAAATGTCTGACAATCAAAATATACGTGACAAAACTGTGCCAAAAAGACAGCAAAGTTTAACAAATAAATTTTCAGCAATGTCGCCGATTTTGATTTTCGTCATCGATTAGTAGCATCGCTGTCCTTTAAACGGCCACTAATCGATTGTCGGCGATAATCGTTTCATCACTAATAACAGCTGTTATGATTTCAAACACATTACAATAATACACCAAATAAGCTTTGTAAATACAATTAAAAGTAATCATAAATAATTAATATTTAATAATTATTCATCTAATCACCCAAAAAATTATTTCATAAAAAAAATTCACGATTTTTTATTCATGAAAATATAAATATTCTGATATATATACATCTGAAAATACAAATGCACATTTTATAATTCAAATAAAAATAAGGTTTGAACGTAAAGGGTGCAAACGTGTGGGGTGTGAATGTATTGGGTACAAATGTGTTTCGGGAACGAATGGATCCAATACCAACTGTAATGCCCCCTCCACATCAGTGGGCGGTCTCACTAACTAGCAACAAGAAGCGTCAAGAAGAAAAAAATTAGCAACAAGAATAAAGAGTTAGTGACAAGAAGACAAATTTAGCGACAAGACAGTTTATATACTATCAAAACAATAAATTAATAGAAAAAGTCAATTAATTACAGCTGATTATTTGTTGTTAAATAAAGTTTCAAATTTTGTTTCATTTAGGAGCACTACAGTTTTGTAATGAATTTTTTGTGAAAAAGAAATTTCAATATTTTAAAATAAAAATTCACAGAATATTGTTATATATAAATATATATATATATATATATATATGGTCCTTTTGAGTCCTACGGACTCTACATAGTACTGTAATGAAAATACACTTATATTAAAAAAAAACACCGTTTAATGCATGTTTCTATATCTATTTATTTTAAATGATTAATATTAATATTTCTTAGCGCTAAATTAGTCTTGTTGTTGCTTATTTATTCATCTTGTTGCTAATTAGTGAGACCCCATGGCGGGGCATTAAAAATTAAAAGGAATCCACCCAGCACTAGAGACAAAATCTGTTAATATCATCAATACCCAGTATAATTAAAAGAATATATAAGGTGTACACGTATTAATTCATGAAAAAATGTAATAACCACAATATTCACTGTAAGGGCAATTGTACATTTTTTTACTCCACAGATGGACTCTAAGAAGTGCATTTCATTACCACGTTCTCTAGAAGAATTACTGTTGTTTGTCTCTAGTTTTGTTTGTTGATATTTCAGCATTGATTTTTATCCTTGACATTTTCCTTGGAGTTTGTTACTTTTTTTTAATGTGCTTCATGAATTATCTTTTGTTGCAACATATATATGTTAAAAGTTAAATCTTGTAAAGAGCAAACAAATTGCCGTTGCTATGGGCAAAGATTTATTGCTAGCGGGAATTTACAATGAGTTTGCCAAGAAATGTGGATTACATTGTGTTACATTTAAACAGTGTATAAATATATTATTCACTGCATGTGAAACAGGTTTGAATTCAAATATAAATTGATTTAAGCTAAATATTTAGCATATTCAATGAGTTTATCTCCACCATTATACTGGTTGCTAGGCAACAGAATAAAAGAGAAAGACCCAAAATGCCATTTTTAGAAGGTTGTGGTGTAGAATTACAACATGACAAATTAAATGAAATTTGGGGGTGTGGCCTAAAATGGCCCTTATCACCCCTTGTCCTTTGTATGCTTTATGACCTGAGATTTTTTACTTCAATGCATGTCAATTCTTAAGGCTATCTTTCTTTAATAATCACTACAGGTCCAGTCATAATTATACCCCACGCAACGAGTTACGGAGGGTATAATGTTTTTGACCCGTCTGTCCGTCAGTCCATCAGTCCTGTTTCTTGTCATCGCAACTCCTCTCAAATCACAAACAGAATTTCAAGAAACCTTTTTAGATAATAAGGACATGCTATGTAGTTGTGCATATCGACAGGAAATTGCGATTCAATTTTTTTTCTAGGATTTACGCCCCTTTGAACTTATTTACTTTAATGTACTACTGCAACAGTTTGTCATCGCAACTCCTTTGATACCACACAACAGAATTTCATGAAACCTTTTTAGATAATAAGGACATACTATGTAGATGTGCATATCGACAGGAAATTACGGTTCAATTTTTTTTCTAGCAGTTACGCCCCTTTGAACTTATTTGCTTCAATGTACTATGCAACAGTTTGTCATCGCAACTCCTCTGATACCACACGACAGAATTTCATGAAATTTTTTAGATAATAAGGACATACTATGTAGATGTGCATATTGACAGGGAATTACGGTTCAATTTTTTTTCTATGAGTTACGCCCCTTTGAACTTATTTGCTTCAATGTACTATGTAACAGTTTGTCATCGCAACTCCTCTGATACCACACAACAGAATTTCATGAAACCTTTTTAGATAATAAGGACATACTATGTAGATGTGCATATCGACAGGAATTTACGTTTCAATTTTTTTTCTAGGAGTTACGCCCCTTTGAACTTATTTGTTTCAATGTACTACTGCAACAGTTTGTCATCGCATCTCCTCTGAAACCACACAACAGAATTTCATGAAACTTTGTAGATAATAAGGACATACTATGTAGATGTGCATATCGACAGGAAATTATGATTCAATTTTTTTTTCTTATACAATTTTTTTTCTTACACATATTTTATTTCTCCAATGACAATGTGAGGACGTGGGGTATGTGAGCGCGCTCACTAAGGTTCTTTAATATTTTAAAAGAAATACCTTCAGAGAAGGCTCATGCAATCGTTTTAGAGAGCCCCTATCAACAAATCTTTCCCAATTTGTAATGAAATGGAAAATACAACTGAGCTCAAGTGCTTGTTCTATAAAAGTGTTAACTAATTCCACGTTTCTTCCAGTCTAGATATTCTATTGTATATGTAATACATTCAGCATATATTTTTTTTCACAGCATGTGGTCAAGCCAAAGTTGATATTGTCATTATTTTGGACTCCTCAACCAGTGTGGGTGATGCTAACTATCAGAAAATGAAGAATTTCTGTAAAGATTTCTTAAAGAATGCTGATTTAGATTCTGGTAATATCCAAGTTGGAATTGTTTCATACAGTACTGGTGTCCATATTGAATTCCAAATGAATGACTTCAGTAGCTCACAAGACATAATGGAAGCTATTGATGCCATTCCATATAGATATGGAAGTACAAACACAGCTGATGGTTTGAGAACTATGCGTTCACAAATGTTCACAACTGCCAATGGGGATCGTGATGGTGTGCCTAATGTAGTACTTATATTAACTGATGGTGTGTCAAATATAAATTCAAGAAGAACCATTCCTGAGGCAGAGAAGGCTCGTGCAGAAGGAATTCATATCTATGCTGTTGGTATTGGTTTAAGAGATACCCGTGAATTGGATGCCATGGCCTCTGAACCGTCCTCAGAAAACAGCTTCAATGTACAAAGCTTTGATGAATTGGCAGTTTTGAGTGACCAAGTCTTCCAAGCTTTCTGTCCAGGTAAGCTATGATAAATATTTAAACAGTTGTTTGTCCAGCTCAGTGGTCTCATGGTTGGACAGTTGTCTCTGTTGTTGTTTAATGCAAGGAATAGTTCAACCAAAGAAGTTAGAATTACTATTAGTTTCTTCACATTTCTAAGAAAAGCGAAGACTTGTTGTTTTGAAGCTAGAATAATTTGCCTGTGTAGGGTATCACTTCATCATTTCTTTGATAGTTTGTTTGATTATAATTCCATTGTCAGCACACTTATCTATTTCATGGAGGCCATTTTTCTTTAGTGGAGACAACCAGAGTACCAAGAGAGAACTACTAATCATGGGTAGGAAAACTGGCAATCCTATTCAAATAAGATTGGTGTTTAAAGCATCTTTCCAAAGCATGGTTCTAATTCACAACCTCTGTGTTGTTAGGCTAGTGGGTAATATAAATTAACTAGTTAGACCACTTGGCCACCATATTATATCTGCCACTTTATGTTATCCATTTAATTTTATAGTTGAGGTAATTGATTGAGATCTTTTACTTTTGATACAACATATCACCATCATAATAACCATAGAACGCTTCTAGCTTAAAGGCCATGTGAGCTATTGCCAATACTTGGCATTCCTCGTCATTGTAATCGAATGTTGTACATTTTTGGCAAATTCTCCTCCTGCAATTATATGACCTGACAGGGGGTAAAATTGATCAGCAGGCCATTTTCTATCTGTTATGAAATTTCTAGATGAATCAGACATCCCATTTTGAGATTATTTTTCTTGAAATGTAAATATTTGGGAAATTTCAGTTTTTGATTATTATCTTAAATATTGTTATAGATAGAGAAAAAATGTAACAGCCAATGTGCTCTGCAAAGGAAAATTATCAAATATTTTGATGTTTTCAAGAACTGTATTAGATAGAGAGAAACATTGAATGTGAAACTGTGAACAGCAAAAATGATCACCATTACAAGAGCTACAAACCTGCATATTCAACTCAAACTATTGGATGGCTCCTTTGTAAAACGTCACCAGTGTCTGAGCAGAAAGTTGATGAACCAGGGGTATGTCAAAGAACGTCTCGTCCTTTTTCTAAAAAAGTTCATCGGAAGGTACCAAGACCTTGTTGATAAATATTCCGTATCAACTTCACAAACAATACATGATGGTCTTGAAGTATAGATTCTGCATACTGACGTTGTTTATCATCTTAACAACGTGTAATATTGTTCTTTCATTTGTCTTTGTTCTATTATTAATATTACTTTTACTGTTTGGTTTGTTTTCTGTGATATCCATTTGACGTGGCTAGGTACTTATACATCCCGTCAATGTGTTTGTATTATCTTTAATTTTTACTGGTGTGTTTTGTATATGCGACTTTTTGTGTTTCTGTGGTTCTTATAACGTGACTCTGTACTTTAAAAGATCCCGTCATTATGTTATTGTTCTATTATATGTCATTATGTTATTGTTCTATTATAAATTTGAAAATACTTTGAACGACAAACGACAAATTTATTTTACTCGCGTAGTGGTATTTACCATATGTGGATTCTTAAGGGTTCTGAAGAACTTCTGGACAATTATAAATCTCGGTCTATTTCTGAAATTAATTCTAACATAACTTTTGATTTTTTAACCCTGTATACCAACATTCCCCATGTGAAATTATAAAATTGTTTTGAATAGACATTGAATGACAAACTTTTTTCTTATGTGACGTTTACATTTTCTGACGTCAGACACGCGAAGCAATGAATGTGGGTCTTAATTTGATAGATGCTTTTGTGCTTTTTTTGTAAATAATTGTTTGTTTTGATATTGTAACACAGTGATGACTGCTGTACCCATATTTTGACTATTTTATTTATAATGTCTGTTTTGTTCACGCATCGTTGTAAATATAACGAAATTTGATAAGACTGTCGTACAAGTGAGAGGTTTAGCGCTATAAAACCAGGTTCAATCCACCATTTTCTACATTTGAAAATGCCTGTACCAAGTCAGGAATATGACAGTTGTTGTCCATTCGTTTGATGTGTTTTGTCATTTGATTTTGCCATGTGATTAGGGACTTTCCGATTGAATTTTCCTCGGAGTTCAGTATTTTTGTGATTTTACTTTTTCCTTTAGGAGTTATTACCCTTAAATGACTATTTTGACTATTTTCCATATTATCAACTAAAAATGGTTCTATAACAGATAGGTAAAACTGTTAACTGCTAAAATGATCAGCAATAAATCTGCAAAATTGCCAATATCAAAGGCGAATTTAGAGGTAGGCACAGGGGTTTTATTCCCCCGATAAAGCTACATATATAGTTAAGCCCAACTCCTTATGTTGCCTTGGTTACCACCTACCTTTTTTTAATCCTGGATCCACAACTGAATAGGATCAAAACTATTGAATGTCTGGAGTTCTTGCCCTTTAACAATAAGAAAAGGATTTATTGATATATATATATTGATATATATATTCTTAAAAACAATAATTGATAGAGAGCAACTGTAATTAAAACTATTCAAATAGCAAACTAAGAAGTTAAAATTAGTTAATTGATTAAAAATTGATATTGTGATTACTGTTAAGGGAAGGGCCATTTGATTTTTGGTGTTTGACATGGCAGGTTTAAGAAATAAATATCAGTTTGTTAAATTTAGCCAGGTGAGCAATTCATGGACCTATGATCTTGTTTCTATGCCTAATGTATATACTAAGAATAAGGACACCAATTATTTCTATTACAGTTGCCACAACTGTAAAACCACAGGAAACTGGTTATGATTTGGTTGTTATCCTTGATTCTTCTGTTTCGCAAGAATATTTTGATTGGATGACAACATTTACTAAAAATCTCGCTGATACAGTTAGTATCGATGATGAAGAATTTAGAGTTGGTTTGTTGAGATATAGCACAGATTCTAATGTTCAGTTCAATCTCAAGGACTATCAATCCAGCAGTGATGTACAAAATGCTGTTGACCAGGTCAGATACAGGGGTGGAATAACAAACACAGCACAAGCCATAGATACTGCTAGAACCCAGATGTTCAGACCTGACCAAGGTGATCGTGACTATGCCAGAAACTTTATATTGTTGATAACTGGTCAAGATAAGAGTTTGAGTACAAATGATGCTTGGCGAGCGGCAGAGAGAGCAGAGACAGACGGAATCCAGTTATATGTTATGGGATTGAATATTAATGATCGTGAGGAGCTGGATGAGACCTCTTCCCATCCTTTGAACACCTATCAATATTTAACAAGGAGTGAGAGAGAACTAGCTGAAGTTCCTCCCCAGATATATGCTGATCTTCTTGGTAGTAAGTAACACAAGCTACATTTGTATAATAATCACTTACCAAAGTAAATAATTTTGGCTCCCCTGCAACAAAAGTTGTGAAAATATCAGGAGCATCATCAACTTTTATGTGCAGTCTCAGGTTATAGTTCTAGTTATAAGGAGTTATTGGGGAACTTGCTGAAGTACCTCCTCAAATTTATGCTGATCTTCTTGGTAGTAAGTAACTCGAGCTACATTTGTATGATAATTTATTACTGAAGTAGTTATATATATAAAAATAAGGAGTTGAGGTATGATTGCCAATGAGACAACTATCCACTTAAGTTCAAATAAAGTGGATGTAAGCAATTACAGGCAGCCGTACGGCCTTCAAAAATGAGAAAAACTCTTACCCTATAGTCGGCTATAAATAAAAAGGCCCTGACATTAAAAATATGTCTGTCTTGCAACAAAAGTTGCAAAAGAGATCTAGAAATATAGCCATCACAGTCACATTTGTCAATGTTAAGGTTCAGTGTGTGGTTGGCAAAAGTATTTTTTAAGACATTAATGACTAGGCATTGTCAAAACTTCATGGATTTTTACAAAACTTGGAACAGAAGCTCCTTAGAACAAAAGACCAGACTCTTGAAATAATTTAAGTTTTGTTATGATTTGATTCAATCTTGCAAAAATAAAAAGTAAAATATCAAAAATACCGAACTCCAAGGAAATTCAAAACGTAAAGTCCCTTATCGAATGGCAAAATCAAAAGCTCAAAACACATCAAAGGAATGAAAAACAACTGTCATATTCCTGACTTGAAATAATTTAATAGATGTACCTAAAAAAAAATTCAAGTTGAGATAATTTTTTGCAAATAATTAGTAAAAGCTTCAACTTGTTAAAGGTCATAAATAATGTCAATTTTGATAGAAATCTAAAAAATAGACAATATTTGAGAGCTTGAAACAAAACAAGCCTAGGGGATTAGGAAAAGTAATTGACGGTGTTGCAACCATAAGACAAGTTCAATAACATAATTAATGCACTAGAAATTACAAACAAAATAGATAAGTTTATCATGACAGACCATAGGACCCGCTCCTGGGAAGATGTTACCTTAGGAAATAGTAGTCTACTTGCAGCTGTAGTGACTCTGACCAAGTCATAGTACACTAAAATGCACTTGACGTGTCTCTTGATTAATTTCCACTTTAATGCTTTAAATGAAATTTTTTACCACATGCAGAAAGTTTAATGTATCAATATGTAGAAAAAGTTGTTTTTATTATTTTTTTCAGTGTCAAAGAATCCCCCTCCAATGAGACAAAGACCAGGTAAGTAACTTATCAATTATTATTATATTTTAGAGCCATGTACAGAAAGAGTCAAATTTGAAACTGGTATAAAGGCTTATTATCGCAATGAATCATAGTTTAAGCAATGACTAGATAGAAAATATGTCTTTTTTGAAAAATTTACACATCAGTCTCCTTTTTATGATGTTTCAATCAGCATCAATTTCAAGTTTCCATTGAATTAACTGAAAACAGGCTAATTTCCATTGCTTTTTGGGAACAAAATCTTAAAAGCACATGTTTTGTCAAAAGAGATCTTGTAACGTTATATGTTTAAATAATAAATGAGATATCTGACTTGAATACTTAGTTTGTCAAACCCGGCGAACTATGATGCCTAATACTAAGTTATATTGAAATAATGGAAATTTTATCGTCTGACAATTCTAACCAGTGTTACACCAATTTAATGGATGTCAAAGGCTAAACTAGGACATAATTCCGGTGTAAAGAAATCCAAATTTAAGAAGATAAGTCGAGTAATCCCACTTGGAACACATTTTACTGCGTTTACATCACACAACATCAATAATGAAGTTCTTTAAAGCTGGGCAATGAAAAGTGTCACCTGGTGCAGTTATAAAAAGTTGACCCAATTAAGACACCATGCTATACAATGCAATGTTAAATTTTGAATTTACAAGTGAAAGGAGAGCAATCATTTCCAAACAGTAATCACAAGCTTTTTATGTTTCTCTTATAGTGAAACCTGATGTAGATATTAAACCATACAGAAGCACTGTACTTTACGGAGGACCTGTGACAATACAGTGTACAGTCAATTCTGACATACCTGTCAAGGAGGTCACATGGTATCGTGTCCGAGGTGATTCACGGACACCAGTTGTAGTAGATGGTAGAAAATACAGTGGTTCTTCAGTACGTGTGCCCTCTCTTACAATAAACAGTGCAAACTTTAAAGATGAAGGTACATATGTATGTACTGCAGAGAATGCTGCTGGTGTTGGATCCAGTACTAATGGTGACGTTGATGTTACTGGAGGTAAGTGTACATAAAATCTAGAAGTCCATGTATCATACTATAGCACTAAGGAATGCTGAGTTTGATCTGACTTTGTGGATTATACTTTGTCAGGAATTCTGGGAATCAAAATGAGGGCAACAAAAGTGTTACAGCTTTTCCATAAAAGCATGCAAAGCAAACCTTTAATCAACTTGCTTGCTATGTTTGTTTGGATGTTTGTAAACAACAAGTTGGTAGTCTTATTTCAGTCTGTTTACTATATACTGGAATTTGATTGGACCAAAAACATTAACTTCATTTAAATGTTAAATTTCACGTTGTATGTCAATTTTTATTGTCCAATCAAATACCAGTATATATAATACAGACTGAAACTCCGCCTACCCTTTTGTTTACAAACATCCAAGCAAACATAGCAAGCAAGTCGATCAAAGGTTTGCTTTGCATGCTTTTATAGAAAAGATGTATCAATAATATTATCTCAGGAGTAAGTAACTTAAATGTCTAAAGCTTTCAAGGTTTCTAAGGCCTTCTGAATATTAGACATATTTTAGCTTATTTTTAATCATGTGTGTAGTATATTTGAATCCTTTGAATTTTTTTTTGCATTTAGATTTCATGGAAAGTTTTGCATAATTTTAAGATAATGCTATGTTCAGCTGTCATACTTTTGATAAATTGACTTAGATCTCTAACTCCATAAATGTTATTTTCTAGCTCTTCCTGTTGTCACAGTTCCAAAGAGGGAATACACTGGAGATTTGGGAACAGAGGTAACACTGGAATGTGATGTTGTGGCCAATCCTCCTGAAACCACTGTCTCCTGGAGGAGAGAGGAGCGAGGAGAGATGGTTGATGTTGACACCAGGTCCTCTCGTTACTCTCGTGTCTCTCCCAGCTCACCATCTCTGACTATTAGAAATTTGGATACTTCAGATACAGGAATGTATCAATGTTTTGCTGATAATCCTGTTGGAACTGCACAAAGTCAACAGACTTCTCTCAGAGTTATTTGTAAGTACATGGTGTAATTCATTTTAGGAAGAAAAACGATCACAAGTTGAAAGATAGATAAGAAATCAGAAACTTATTGGAAAATTCATACATATATTTGTTACTTCATCTATTATCACAAAACATAAAATATATGCACAGTACAATTTAAGTTTTTTTTAGGAAAAGGAGACATGCATAATTGCACTGTTGTCAAATTGAAATTTTTTTTCAATTGTTCTTTGATGCCCTTGCTCCTTCTATAGTCTTGGGAATAGGAGTCTGTAGGGACCTTCTTATCTTTTCATGAATTTGGAGGCAAACAATGCATCAAGATCTTTCTAAAAATGTAGTTTTGTGATTCCACCATTTCAGTAAAAAAAAAATGAATGAAAGTGAGGAGCATGAGGAGAAATTATTTCTAATCTCAATTATTTCCAGTCTGGAAAAATCTAAGCGACTGTGGATATACATGTGTATTTCATAATTTTTTTTATGCCCCCGCCGTAGCGGAGGGGGCATTAGGTTTTACCCTTGTCTGTCTGTACATCCCAAAATTGGTTTCCATTATCTAACTTTAGTTTGCCTCAACCAAATGTTATGAAACTTATACACAATGCTTATTACCACAAAACACAGATCAAGTTTGAATTTTGGTGTCGTCACTTCTATTGTTCTAGAGTTATGCCTCTTTACAAATGGAAAAATTGCTGAATATTTTGTTTCCGTTCTCTGACTTTAGTTTGCCTAAACAAAATATGAATCTTATACACAATGCTTATTATTATAAAACACAGATCAAGTTTGAATTTTTTTATTTCATAATTGTAATTTTTCTTATTTTTCAGTGCCAATCACTCTTCCAACAACTGATAAACGTAAGTAAAAGTGAAAATAAGCATCCAGCCATCAATCTGTAAATTTTTATTGTTTTTTGTCGAGCCTGCAACTTCTGTCGCAGAAAGCCAGACATAGGGATAGTGATCCGGCGGCCGCGGCTATGATGTAGACGTTAACAAACTACTTAAAAGCTTTATATTTCAGAAGGTAGAAGACTTGGCTGCTTATACTTTGTATATAGATGCATTGTATTATGAAGTTTTCATCTGTCATATGTCTGTTGTCCTTGACCTGATTTTCTAGGTTCAGTGACTACTTTAAAAAAAAGTTTGCAAGATCCTCATGCCTGTCAGACAGTTTTCACTTGAGCTCGACCTTAATGGATCAGTGAACAAGGTTAAGTTTTCTTATATGTCTGCCTGGCAGTTATCATTTGACCTTGATTTCATTTTCATGGTTCATTGGTCAATGTTAAGTTTTTCTGGTTAAGTTTGTTTCTTAGTATACTATATGCAATAGGTCAGCTATATTTAAAACATTGAATCTTTGTAAGGTGTACATGACTGTCTGGCAGGTTTCATCTGACCTTGACCTCATTTTCATAGTTCATTGGTCAGTATAAAGTTTTCATGGTTTGGCCTGTTTCCTTTATGCTATAAGCAATAGGTCAGCTATATTTGGTGTATGGAATGGTTGTAAGGTGTACATGTATTTCTGGCTTAGTTTATCCCGCCTTGGCCACATTTTTTTTTATCTTGTTAAGTTTATGTGATTTTTGTCGAGCCTGCGGCTTTTGTCGCTGTAAGCTCGACATAGGGATAGTGATCTGCCGGCGTCGGCGGCGTTAGCTAACTTCTTAAAAGCTTTATATTTTAGAAGGTGGAAGATCTGGATGCTTCATACTTTGTATCAGAATGCCTCATGTTACGAAGTTTCCGTCAGTCACATGTCCAATGTTCGTGACCTCATTTTCATGGTTCAGTGATTACTTGAAAAAAAAGTTAAGATTTTTTGTAATGTTAAATTCTCTCTTATTATAAGTAATATGATAACTATATTTGGTAAGTGCATACCTTGCAAGGTCCTCATGCCCGTCAGGCAGTTTTCACTTGACCTCGACCTCATTTCATGGATCAGTGAACAAGGTTAAGTTTTCGTGGTCAAGTCCATATCTCAGATACTATAAGCAATAGGTCTAGTATATTCGGTGTATGGAAGGACTTTAAGGTGTACATGTCCAACTGGCAGGTGTCATCTGACCTTGACCTCATTTTCATGGTTCAGTGGTTATAGTTAAGTTTTTGTGTTTTGGTCTATTTTTCTTATACTGTATGCAATAGGTCTACTATATTTGGTGTATGGAATGATTGTAAGGTGTACATGTCTAGCTGGCAGGTGTCATCTGACCTTGACCTCATTTTCATGGTTCAGTGGTCAAAGTTAAGTTTTTGAGTTTTGGTCTTTTTTTCTAATACTATATGCAATAGTTCAACTATATTTGGTGTATGGAAATATTTTATGATCTTTATGTCAGTCACGCAGGTTTTAATTGACCTTGACCTCATTTTCAAGGTGCATTGCTCAGTGTTAAGTTTTTGTGTTTTGATCTGTTTTTCTTAAACTATAAGCAATAGGACAATTATATTTGTTGTATGGAAGAATTGTTAGCTGTACATGCCTGCCTAGCATGGTTCATCTGACCTTGACCTCATTTTCATGGTTCATTGGTCAATGTTTAGTTTACTTGGTTAATGTTAAGTTTATGTGACAGTTGTAATAAAGCTTTATATTTAGGACTATCAACATAATATCAATGATTAGTAAAGAAGGCGAGACATTTCAGCGTGTGCACTCTTGTTGTATTTGAACTTTTATTAAGGACTATCAACATAAAATCAATGATCAGTAAAGCAGGTGAGACATTTCAGCAGGTACATTCTTGTGTTGATTTAGAAATAAGCCTTTTAAGTACAAAGAAAATTTTCTAGTGGAAGAATCCCTTAGATTGTAACATATTTACAGACTGCTGTAATGTTGTAATTTTACACTTCTGTCCAAAGTCAGTCAGAACCATCTTTTATATCTTACCCCATCATGCATACAATTTTAATTTATTATTACCTTTAACTCTTAATGTTATCTTTCTTAAATAATCACCACAAGTCCAATCATCAAATTTGAAAAGATATACCCCATGCAATAATTTTAGAGAGACACCATCAACAAATCTTTTCCAATTTGTAAAGAAATTGAAAAAACAACTGAACTCATGTGCTTGTTCCATATGGAAGTGTCAACTCATTCCATGTTTTTGTCATTTTTGATACTCTATTGTACATACAATACAATCAGAATGCTTATTTTAAATATTTTTTTCACAGCATGTGGTCAAGCAAAGGTTGATATTGTTATTATTTTGGACTCCTCAACCAGTGTGGGTGATGCTAACTACCAGAAAATGAAAAATTTCTGTAAAGATTTCTTAAAGAATGCTGATTTAGATTCCGGTAATATACAGGCGGGAATTGTTTCATATAGTACTGGTGTCCATATTGAATTCCAAATGAATGACTACAGTAGCTCACAAGACATAATGGAAGCTATTGATGCCATTCCATATAGATATGGAAGTACAAACACTGCTGATGGTTTGAGAACAATGCGTTCACAAATGTTCACGGCTTCCAATGGGGATCGTGATGGTGTGCCTAATGTAGTACTTATATTAACTGATGGTGTGTCAAATATAAATTCAAGAAGAACCATTCCTGAGGCAGAGAAGGCTCGAGAAGAAGGAATTCATATCTATGCTGTTGGTATTGGTTTAAGAGATACCCGTGAGTTGGATGCCATGGCCTCTGAACCAGCTTCAGAAAACAGCTTCAATGTTCAAAGCTTTGATGAATTGGCAGTTTTGAGTGACCAAGTTTTCCAAGCTTTCTGTCCAGGTAAGCTATGATAAATATTCGAACAGTTGTTTGACCAACCCTGTGGTCAAAGGATTGGATGGTAGGTTCTAGAACCAAGGACATTAAAGTATTTGCATCTTGTCTTCTAGTCAAAGCAAAGGCGAACAATCTTAAGGCCAAAATTATATGCCTGTTTAGGGTAACATTTCATAATTTTATACTTACTGTTATTTTTTTCAGCCAGCACATAAAAAATATAGAAAGTATATCTGTCTATTAAAAGGCAAAGGAAATTTTTGATTTTAGTAACAATTTTTTTGTACTTGGCTTTAATGCCTTTTTAAGCACATTTCTCCATATCGTGGAGGTCAGGTTTTTTTTAAGGAAGAAGACAAATTACTTTGAGAAGACAACTCACCATAGGCATGAGATCAGTGTCAAAAGCACCTTTCCAAGAAGAATTCTAATGCACAAACTCAGTCTTTTCAGGCTAGTTATCACTATAGACAAACTACTTAGACCACTGGGCCACCTAAGCCCCCTGATTTTAGCATGTTTTCATCCTAATGAATATGTATAAGTTGAGGTAACCATTATTCAGTATATCACCATTACAACCAAGAACATAAATTTTTTATGCCTAATATGCTCAGAATCAGTAGACCAATTATTTCTGTTACAGTTGCCACAACAGTAAAACCACAGGAAACTGGTTATGATTTGGTTGTTATACTTGATTCTTCTGTTTCTCAAGAATATTTTGATTGGATGACAACATTTACCAGAAATCTTGCAGATACAGTAAGTATCGATGATGATGAATTTAGAGTTGGTTTGTTGAGATATAGCACAGATTCAAATGTTCAATTCAATCTCAAGGACTATCAGTCTAGTGGTGATGTCAAAAATGCTGTTGATCAGGTCAGATACAGAGGTGGAATAACAAACACAGCACAAGCCATAGATACTGCTAGAACCCAGATGTTCAGACCTGACCAAGGTGATCGTGACTATGCCAGAAACTTTATATTGTTGATAACTGGTCAGGATAAGAGTTTGAGTACAAATGATGCTTGGCGAGCGGCAGAGAGAGCAGAGACAGACGGAATCCAGTTATATGTTATGGGCTTGAATATTACTGATCGTGAGGAACTAGATGAGACGTCTTCTCATCCTTTGAACACCTACCAATATTTAACAAGGAGTGAGAGAGAACTAGCTGATGTTCCTACCCAGATATATGCTGATCTTCTTGGTAGTAAGTAACACAATCTACATTTGTATAATAATCACTTACCAAAGTAAATCATTTTGACTCCCCTGGTACAGAAGTTGTGAAAATATCAGGATCCTACTTTGGCTTGATCAAGCTACATTTGTATGATAATCATTTACTTTTGAACCCTTTGGGTCCCTTATGACAAAAAATGCAAAAGTGCAACATAGTGATCCTGCATTGGCCTTATCAATATTTAGGTTCAGTTTTTGATTATAGATTTTAGAAGTTGATTATAATGTTGTCAAACACTCCTGTATTTTTAGAAAACTTGGGGTAGGAGCTTTTTAATGAACAAATTACTGAGTTTTCAGAGCATGTTTAAATCTGTGATTAAACTTTCAAATGCATGCATCCTTTGAAATTATTTCTAATACAATGTAATTTAGTTTGTTGTACTTTCAACATGTTTTACAACCTTTATAAAAATTGAAAAAAAGAAAAATATTCTATTTTTTTTTATGATTGGATTAAATCTGGAGAAAAAAAATTGAATTTAAAAGAAATAAAATCCAAGTTTTCTGCATGAGTGGCCAAAAATTATTTCAGCTATGATAGAAGCCAAAAATATGAGGCATTTGAGATCTTAAAAAAAAGTCCTATGTGATCAGGTAGAGACATCTAAGAGTTCAAGGATTAAAATTTTGTACACCACATGCATGTTTTGGTCTAAAGTAAGATTAAGCAATCCTACTTTGGCTTTGTCAATATTTAGGTGCAGTCTTAAGTTATAGTTCTTTTATATGTAAATTATAATAGTTATGGATTTTTACAAAACTTGGGACAGAAGCTTTTTCATGAACAAAAGAAAGTATTCAGAATTAATCTACTTCCAAGTGAATGATGTAAACAGTACTGAATTTTAATACTGTACTGGATTAGTCTGAAAATTGACTGAAATGCTGAAAACCACTTTTCATAGATGTTCATTTTAAAATGACTTTTTCAGACTAAAAATTGTTTACTAGTGAAAGTAATTTCAGTTTTGATACAAAGTCAAAAACATAAAAAAAAGAGAGGTAATCTGGTAAAACCATGTTAGAAGACTTGAGGGCATTGCAACCATATAAGTACAATTAGTTATTTATTGAACTGGAAATAACAAATGGATATGTTCAATCATATGCTAGACCAAAGGAATATCTACTAGGCAGATGTTACCTTAAAAAAAACAAAAAAGCATAAGGTTAGAATTTTGGACTGGAAATTTCAAACAAAATGAATAGGTTAAATCCTGCTAGAACCAAAGTACTGGCTAATGGGAATATGTTACCGACGGGATTAGAAGTGTATTGGCATATCTATAAACTGAATCATTTCAAAGTACTTTAGAAAATGTACTTGAAAATTTCCACCAGTTACAATTCAGACAAAAAACAAACGAAAGCCAGAAGTAAATTATTTCCAAAATGCCAAAAAAAACAGAGAATTTACTGTATCAACATGTAGAAAAAGTTGTTTTTATTTTTCAGTGGGAAAAAATCCTCCTCCAATGAGACCAAGACCAGGTAAGTAACTTATTAATAGTTTAGAACCAGGAAAAGATATTTTATTCTCTAGGATCATAAACTGTTCGTCAAAATTTCAAACAGGAAGATGGTTATACCATATTTATAGTGATTCTATAAAACAATTCAGGGATTGGCTTCTCCAGTGTCCCAAAAATCTATTTTCAATTTCATCTGGGAAAAAGAAACAGCCCCATGTTAAAATGTTCGTTCCTGATTGAGCAGGAATGAAAATGTTCATGCTTGACTGTGCAGGTATGAGAATTGATAGAAACCAATGCTGGTAAGTTCTGCTGTCTGCTAGCACAAATCAGTAACCTGAACAGTTTAATTTTACTTTTGGCATTAATTTTATATGATTGTTAAACAATTGAATTATTGCTGATGGACATTAATGGATGTGTAAACCATATACCTGCCAACCCTCCCGTTTTGAGTGGGTGTCTCCCGCGAAAAGGACAAAATTCCGGAAATCTCTCGCTTGCCGGTCCACTCCCGTGCAGGAGAATAGTATCTCCCGCTTTCGGATATGTTTACCTGAAATGACCCGCATTTGTAATTCTCTGGCTTTTTCATTCCAGTCAATAGAAATAAATAAACAATCGGCGATCATTTGAAAACTTTGGTCAGAAGTTTTTATGTTCGATTTATAAGTAATCGAAATTCATTTCTGCTATGTCAACTCCTACAAGATAGAGGACTTTGTCTGGACCAAGCTGCAGTGTAAAAAAGAGGAAATAGATAACTGTAAATAGAAATGTCAAGCATATTGAATGAAAGATTTTCAATTTTTACTTGGCAATAAATCTTCATTTTGCACACCATGTTCAATCAACTTTTCGGTTTCTTCTTGTGGTCTGTACGACGTTTGAAAGCATTCTTAGTGTGAGATTCACAACAAAATAAAAATATGGAATGTTATGAATTATGAGACTCAGAGGTATTGAAAAATGCAAAAAAAAAAAATACCTTGTATATATTATTACCGTGGATTGAAGAAATAAAGTATATTTATTAACTCTTGTTAGTGTTTTGTAGATAAATAAGTAAACAAGTCATATATTTAACTTGAAAATGTTGTTTGTGCAAAATCTAACCCTCTTTGAAGCTTAAGGTTTCAGAGGTTGGCAGGTATGTGTTAACAAAATTGATATCAACTGTTTTTTCAAAACTTGCCCCGTTGATAATGTGGTCAAATGACCCTCTTAAGACAATTGAAAGTAATTACTTTAAAATCAAATGAGGTTATAGTTTTATATTCTTCTGGGGACGATTTTTGGGGCCAGCACAGTCATGAAATCCTGGGTTAATGATATAAAAAAATGGTATAAAGACTTCTAGTAAATACAACATAGTCAAGTGAGCATTTTTTAGATCCTATCCATACCAATTTCCAGCAACTTATAATTTATTAATGAATAATTTATACTCCTATATTCAAGTTACAAGGATGTTACTCATCTGGTCAACAAAATAATTTTATTAAAACTTGCAGAAAGTAATGCATGGCTTATGAATCTTTCTGCTGTACAACCTATAATTATATAGCGTATATCAAAACATTCTGAATTTTTAGCAAAATAAGTTTGTTACTTCTTTAGAACTTGATAAAATTGCCTGTAGTTAATTTTTCATCAATTTATTGCATATTCCTTTCCGAATTGCTTGTCAAACATTGTTTAATTTCGTAAGTAATCCTCTTTTTCGGAGGCATGTTTATTAGCTTCTCATCACTTCGCGTCCGTCGTCGTCTTCCATTAACTTTTACAAAAATCTTCTCTGAAACTACAGGGCCAAATTTAACCAAACTTGGCCACAATCATTATTGGGGTATCTAGTTTTAAAAATGTGTCCGATGACCCTGTCTGCCAACCAACATGGCCGCCATTGCTAAAAATAGAACATAGGGGTAAAATGCAGTTTTTGGCTTTTATCTCTGAAACTTAAGCATTTAGAGCAAATCTGGCGCTGAGTAAAAATGTTCATCAGGTTAGGATCTATATGCACTGAAATTTTCAGACAAATCAGACAACCCGTTGTTGTGTTGCTGCCCCTGAATTGATAATTTTAAGGAAATTTTGCAGTTTTTGTCGAGCCTGTGACTTTTGTCGCAGAAAGCTCGACTTAGGGAAAGTGATCCGGCGGCGGCGTTAGCTTACTTTTTAAAAGCTTTATATTTTAGAAGCTAGAAGACCTGGATGCTTCATACTTTGTATATAGATGCCTCATGTTACGAAGTTTCCGTCAGTCACATGTCCAATGTCCTTGACCTCATTTTCATGGTTCAGTGACTACTTGAAAAAAAAGTTCAGATTTTTTGTTACGTTTAATTCTCTCTTATTATAAGTAATAGGATAACTATATTTGGTATGTGCGTACCTTACAAGGTCCTCATCCCAGTCAGACAGTTTTCACTTGACCTCGACCTCATTTCATGGATCAGTGAACAAGGTTAAGTTTTGGTGGTCAAGTCCATATCTCAGATACTATAAGCAATAGGTCTTGTATATTCGGTGTATGGAAGGACTATAAGGTGTACATGTCCAACTGGCAGGTGTCATCTGACCTTGACCTCATTTTCATGGTTCAGTGGTTATAGTTAAGTTTTTGTGTTTTGGTCTGTTTTTCTTATACTGTATGCAATAGGTCTACTATATTTGGTGTATGGAATGATTGTAAGGTGAACATGTCTAGCTGGCAGGTGTCATCTGACCTTGACCTCATTTTCATGGTTCAGTGGTCAAAGTTAAGTTTTTGAGTTTTGATCTTTTTTTCTAATACTATATGCAATATTTCAACTATATTTAGTGTATGGAAATATTTTATGATCTATATGTCAGTCACCCAGGTGTCATCTGACCTTTACCTCATTTTCATGGTTCAGTGGTCAAAGTTAAGTTTTTGTGTTTTGATCTGTTTTTCTTAAACTATAAGGAATTGGTCAACTATATTTGTTGTATGGAAAAATTGTTAGCTGTACATGCCTGCCTAGCATGGTTCATCTGACATTGACCTCATTTTCATGGTTCATTACTCAATGTTTAGTTTACTTGGTTAATGTTAAGTTTATGTGACAGTTGTAATAAAGCTTTATATTTAGGACTATCAACATAATATCAATGATAAGTAAAGAAGGCGAGACATTTCAGCGTGTGCACTCTTGTTGTAATCTTTTACAAAAATCGTCTCCACTTAATCTACTGGGCCAAATAGAATTAAACTTAGCCATAATTTTCAATAGGGTATCTTTATTGAAAAAAATATCCAATGACCCTGCCATCCAACCAACATGGCCATCATGGCTAAAAATAGAACATAGGGGTTTATTATAGTAGTCTATGGGAAAATTGTAAAATAAACAATTTCAAATGGTCACAACTTGAAAACTAATTTAAATAATGATAAAGGGTTTTCAGTAACTATTGTAAGACTACAATGGGATGATCTGCTTTTAATTTAACTACTGGGCCAAGTTAAACCAAACTAAGCCTCAATCATTATTGGGGTATCTTATACTATTTATTATGATTTTAACCTTATTTTACATGATTTCTAAAACCAAAGTAGAAACAGGTGAGCAACACAGGCTCTTGAGAGCCTCTAGTTTACAAAGGAAGCTTCATTTGAGGAAATAATAAAACACAGAATTTTATTAATTCTTAATGAATTGTAGAATATAAACTTGCATAACAGTGAGTTATTTTGGTTTTAAATTTGATTTAAGAAAATTTCCAGGACAATTGTGGAATATCTTTTAAACTAGTTATACTCAAAATCTTTATAAATTATATTGATTAGAAAATCGGAACCGTACTCTGAAAAAGAAAACATGAATTTAGACTTTAAAATCAATCAGAACTACTCAGCCTTTCTCGTTGCACACACAAAAGAAGCTGAGCAGTTCTGATTGACCCTTTTTAACATCAAAAACAAAATGTACCTTGAAGACATGTTTGACAAATGTTTGAGAGGCAGTCGCACTTGACAGACTTTTTGTGTGGCATTTCAGAAAATTAAGTAAACGCACTGCAACTTTGAAAGAGCTGCATTTGAAGTATATAATGCATCGATTCCACGATTCTGTGTTCACAAGAACAACCCCAGATTCTGCTTGTTTAATAACTGGAAGAAATGCAAAAGCTTGAAATACACTATATAATGTTATCAATATTCCTGTTCTTCAATTTTATTTGTCATTTACATGGCAAAGTGAACATTTGGCTACATTGTAGCAATCTTGTTACTCTTGTAGTGAAACCTGATGTAGATATTAAACCATACAGAAGCACTGTACTTTATGGAGGACCTGTGACAATAGAATGTACAGTGAAGTCTGATATACCTGTCAAGAAAGTCACATGGTATCGTGTCCAAGGTGATTCAAGGACACCAGTAGTAGTAGATGGTAGAAAATATAGTGGTTCTACAGTACGTGTGCCCTCTCTTACAATAGATAGTGCAAACTTTCAAGATGAAGGTTCCTATGTGTGTACTGCAGAGAACGCTGCTGGTGTTGGATCCAGTACTAATGGTGATGTTGATGTTACTGGAGGTTGGTGTATTTGAATAAAAAATGATTAAGAATACATTTGACTAACAGGTAACAACTCTACAACACTAGAAAGTAGAATTCAGAATGTTCAAAGTTTGATTTGACTTTCTTGATCAAACGAGAGAATGAAGATACCCAAGTGATAGTTAATAAGTCGAAAATAAACTGACCATGCCATGGCAAAAGACAAACAAGTCCTCAGAATACAAGATTGAAAACTTAAGAAGGAACAGCATGAACCCCACTAAAAAACCCGATGGTGATCTTAGGTGCTCAGGAAGGGTAGGCAGATCTTGCTCCACATGTCACACTTGTTTCAACTAGACCAGGAATGCGAAAAATCAAAATTGGTGCAGGAGAAGAAATCAATTTCTCTAACTCTTTACCTAATAATACTTTCCTCAAATTTTTGATTATTTTCTATAAGCAACATGTGGTTTGCGTGGTATTTGTTATATAGTGCTCACAAAATTCAATTATGATTTCAAATTTTCTTGCCTTCATTTGATTTTATAAGAGTTTCCTGAAATTGTTATAAGGCTTAATGTGAATATGCTATACTGTTGGGTATGGTATGGTTTCAAATTCATCACGCCTCAACTTCTTACTAACACAATACTTGAAGGAGGTTATCATAAATAATAATGAAAACAACAGCTACAGCTCACAGTTCTACTTATTGTTTCTATAATCTAGCTCTGTACATATGGCCTTTAATTGCTTGATATATAGTATGGGTTTTTGCTCATTGTTGTAGGCTATATAGTTATCATGACATATAAGTGTTAACATATTTTAATGTATTTGGTTTCTTGTGGATTGTTGTCTCATTGGCAGATATACCACATCTCCTTATTTTATAAAAACATGTTATTTACAAGGTTCTTTATACTTAGATCTTTCACCCTGCATATGTTTCTTCTAGCACTTCCTGTTGTCACAGTTCCAAAGAGAGAATACACTGGAGATTTGGGTACAGAGGTTACTCTAGAATGTGATGTTGTGGCTAATCCATCTGAAACAACCTTGTACTGGAGGAGAGAGGACAGAGGAGAGATGGTTGATGTTGACACCAGGTCCTCTCGTTACTCTCGTGTCTCTCCCAGCTCACCATCTCTGACTATTAGAAATTTGGATACTTCAGATACAGGAATGTATCAATGTTTTGCTGATAATCCTGTTGGAACTGCACAAAGTCAACAAACTTCTCTCAGAGTTATTTGTAAGTACATGATGTAATTCACTTAAAGCAATAAAAACAAATCATAAGTTGGAAACAGAAATAAGAATCAGAAACTAAATTACTAAGGGAACATCAATACATATAATTGTTGCTACTACTATTATCACAAAACATGAAACATATGCACACAGTACTATTTAATTTTTTAAGGAAAAGCAGACATGCATCATTGGTCTGTTGTCAAATTTATAGATTTTTTCATTTCTGACCTTGGTTATGCCAGTTGGGAATAGGGATTTTTTTCCCTGAGAGTCTGAAGGGACCATTTATCTTTTCATGAATTTGGAGGCAAACAATACCTCAAATTAAAAAAAAAAAATATAGTAAGATTCCATCATTTCTACAAAAAAAAAGTGAATGTGAGAAGACTTATTTTTTTATTTCAATTATTTGTAGTCTTGAATAATCTAAAGTGTCTATGGTTATACATTTGTATTAAATAAATGTGTTTTTATTTTTTATAAATGTAATTTTTGTTTTATTTCAGTACCAATAACTCTTCCAACAACTGATAAACGTAAGTAAAAGTAAAAATAAGCATCCAGCTTTCAACATGTTAATTTTAATGTTTTTGGGTAAAGATTGCATGAAATGCAGTAAAAACCTTATGGTAGTGACTTGATATCTATACCATCCATGGTTTGTCACTACCTTTGATAGTTCAAACAAAATAATCCAGTGAAGTGATCATTATTTAGATCCTATCCAGTCAATGCCATGCAATTTATTGATGATATGTTATACTTCGATGTTTAAGTTACAATATGATGAATATTTGAACTACAGTACTTGTGAAGACATTTTTTTTTAATTAAAAAATACATAAGTAATGCATTGTGTATGAATCTGTTTTCAAAGTAGGTTCAATTGCAAATGTGCAATCATGAAAAAAGGAAGATAAACTCCAACTCGAATATTTAATTTGCCTAGCAAAATAAAATTCAATGTTTTATTTCAAATTTTCACAAAATACATTTCAAAATGAATTCAATTATTACCCTTCAAGGCTCACAAGCACTTTGATTGTTGATTTAGAAATATGCCTTTTAAGTATGAAGAAGATTTTCTAGTAGAAGAATCCCTTAGATTGTAGCATATCAACCATTTTTAAAGTTTACTCTAATGGTGAAATTTATACTACTTTCCAAAGTCAGTCAGAGCATACTTTTTTACTTTACCCCATCATGCATTCAATTTTAATTACTAATCATTCTAAAGGATATCTTTCTTAAATAATCACCACGTGTCAAATCATAAGATTTTAAAAGAAATACCTTCATACTCAGGCTCATGCAATCATTTTAGAGAGCCCTCATCAACAAATCTTTCCCAATTTGTAAAGAAATTGAAAATATAACTGAGCTCATGTGCTTGTTCTATGGAAATGTCAATTAATTCCATGTTTCTGGCATTTTTGATACTCTATTGTACACACTATACATTCAGAATGCTTATTTTGATTTTTTTTTTCACAGCATGTGGTCAAGCCAAAGTTGATATTGTTATTATTTTGGACTCTTCAACCAGTGTGGGTGATGCTAACTACCAGAAAATGAAGAATTTCTGTAAAGATTTCTTAAAGAATGCTGATTTAGATTCCGGTAATATACAGGCTGGAATTGTTTCATATAGTACTGGTGTCCATATTGAATTCCAAATGAATGACTACAGTAGCTCACAAGACATAATGGAAGCTATTGATGCCATTCCATATAGATATGGAAGTACAAACACTGCAGATGGTTTGAGAACAATGCGTTCACAAATGTTCACGGCTTCCAATGGGGATCGTGATGGTGTGCCTAATGTAGTACTTATATTAACTGATGGTGTGTCAAATATAAATTCACGAAGAACCATTCCTGAGGCAGAGCAGGCTCGTGCAGAAGGAATTCATATCTATGCTGTTGGTATTGGTTTAAGAGATACCCGTGAATTGGATGCCATGGCCTCTGAACCAGCTTCGGAAAACAGTTTCAATGTACAAAGCTTTGATGAATTAGCAGTTTTGAGTGACCAAGTCTTCCAAGCCTTCTGTCCAGGTAAGCTATGATAAATATTTGAACAGTTGTTTGACCAACCCAGTGGTCTCAGGGTTTGATGCTAGAGTCTATAAGCAAGAATATTTAAGTAAGTATATGCATCATGTCTTCTATATATTCAAGGCAAAGGTGAATGATATGCCTATCTAGATAACATATTATAAGTTTGTACTGACTGTTAATGTTATCAGCCAGCACATGAAATATAGAAAACATATATGTCTATTAAAAGGCAAGGTAAATTATTGATTTTAACATCCGTTTTTTTATAGTGTTTAATGCCTTTTAAGCACACTTCCCTGTATCATAGAGACCAGTTTTTTAGAAAGAGAAAGACAAAGTACACTGAGTCAAAAGCCCATTGCCAAAGAAGAGTTCCAATTCATAAACTAAGTCTTTTTAGGCTAGTCATCACTATAGAGGAACTACTTAGATCACTTGGCAACCCAGGCCCCCTGATTTTAGAATGTTATCATTCTTATAAATAAGTATATACTATTTACTACTTAATATTATCCAATCAATGTTTAAAGTTGATGTAATTGGATGAGATCCATATACAATTTATTCAATATATCATCATAATGACCAAAAACATAAGGATTTTATGCCTAGGCCCCCTGATTTTAGAATGTTATCATATTTATAAATAAGCATATACTATTTGTTACTAAATATTATCCAACCAATTTTAAAGTTGATGTAGTTGGATGAGATCCATATACAATTTATTCAACATATCACCATTACGACCAAAAACAATGTTTTATGCCTTATATGCTCAGAATCTGGAGACTTATTTCTGTTACAGTTGCCACAACAGTAAAACCACAGGAAACTGGTTATGATTTGGTCGTTATCCTTGATTCTTCTGTTTCTCAAGAATATTTTGATTGGATGACAACATTTACCAGAAATCTCGCAGATACAGTTAGTATTGATGATGAAGAATTTAGAGTTGGTTTGTTGAGATATAGCACAGATTCAAATGTTCAATTCAATCTCAAGGACTATCAGTCTAGTGGTGATGTCAAAAATGCTGTGGACCAGGTCAGATACAGAGGTGGAATAACAAACACAGCACAAGCCATTGATACTGCTAGAACCCAGATGTTCAGACCTGACCAAGGTGATCGTGATTATGCCAGAAACTTTATATTGTTGATAACTGGTCAGGATAAGAGTTTGAGCACAAATGATGCTTGGCGAGCGGCAGAGAGAGCAGAGACAGACGGAATCCAGTTATATGTTATGGGCTTGAATATTACTGATCGAGAGGAACTGGATGAGACCTCTTCCCATCCTTTGAGCACCTATCAATATTTAACAAGGAGTGAGAGGGAACTGGCTGAAGTTCCTCCACAGATTTATGCTGATCTTCTTGGTAGTAAGTAACACAAATATTGAAAACCACTTACAATAGTTATTTTTCTTTAAGTATTTGGGCATTACTTTTTCTGTGCTGTGCTTCTGTTCATTTGTCCTATCTGTAGCAAATTTGAAATTATGGTTTAAGAAAAGATCCAGTTTTGGTTATTTTGGGGGTAAAGATGGCATTCATGCAATCAATCTTATACGTGGCTTGCTTGAAAGTTATCTATTTTACAGACTTTATCAATAATTTTGAGATTAAAAAAAACAGTGCATTGTAACATTATATATATCCTATCCATGAACAGGAACAGACCAGCCAAATCCATTTAAGGTGATTGTTGACTAAGGGATTTGCATCTGTACTTAAATGACATCATTAATGAACTTGATATTTACAAACAGAAGATATCAGTATTTGCATGGCTGAACTAAAGCCTACTGAGAGATGTACCAACTGAGTGATAATTTACAAAAAGATGTAGTTGACATATGTCTGGAATAATTTCTTACAGGTACACTTTAGACAAAATCTTTTGAATGCGAGGAATAAATACTTATATCCTTAGGGTGTAAAAGTAAATTCTTAGACTAATTAAACAATTGCAGTTTTCAGAAATTTTGTTTTTATTTTTCAGTGGCAAAGAATCCACCTCCAATGAGACCAAGACCAGGTAAGAAGCTTATTAATGTTATCCTCCTCCGATGAGACAAGACCAGGTACATAGCTTATTAAGATAAATCTACCTCCAATGAGACCAAAACCAGTGAGTCAACATTGTATTCTATTCTAGGGATCAGATATGCATCTTTGATCATCTTATCATTCAGTTTCCTGTAATTAAAACACAGGTGTCACAAAAGATCCTCTCAAATACGAAGCCTGACGACCAGAGCTATTGATTTTTCATAAGTTTCTTGTCTTCCTACTTCAACTTAATTTTATCACTACTTGCTTGACGTTTATGAAGAGGATCTCTACTTGGTGGTTCCATTGCTAGAATGGCTTCTTTTTATTTGATACTATGCATACCAATTGTTGTTTTTCCAAGCTCTCCTATGGGATCATAGGAAGTATCTTTATACTTTAACAGAATTTCATGAAACTTCTCGCTTTCACTTTTGGTAATGTATTATCTCTACCATTTTTGTACCTGTTCTTCATATACTGTTGAATTTGTTGGAAAACTGTGTTATTCTCCTGAACATGACAAACAGCCCCTTTCTTCCATAAATGCATGGTTCTTACTGATTGTCTGAGCTGGAACAACTAGATATCATTGAGATTAGAGCCATCTCTGTGGGCCCAGTTGTGAATAATGTGTGGTAAAAAATTTGTATCTTTATCATTGCACTTGGGGATGTCAACTGAAACCGAAGTTTATTACCTTGACCTTTGACCTAGGAAGTTGTACATAAACTATGACACACCCTCTAGTGTTGGTTTATATACATGTCAAGTATAAACTTTGAAATCATAACCGTTCTCAAGATATAGAGCGGACACGATCTTTACCATAGGACATGGGGTTGTCAACTCAAACCAAAGTTTTTGACCTTGACCTTTGACCTAGGAAGTTGTACATACATTATGACACACCATCTGGTGTTTGTTTATATACATGTTAAGTATAAACTTTGAAATCATAACGGTTCTCAAGATATAGAGCGGACACGATTTGTACCATAGGACATGGGGTTATCAACTAAAACCAAAGTTTTTGACCTTGACCTTTAACCTAGGAAGTTGTTCATACATTATGACACACCCTCTGGTGTTGGTTAATATACATGTCAAGTATAAACTTTGAAATCATAAAGGTTCTCAAGATATAGAGCAGATACAATTTGTTATGGACGGACGGACGGACAGACAGACAGACAAACAGAAGTCCGTCATTCGGCGGGGCCCGAATTCATCCAATATGAGTTCATTCAAAAGAATAATATCACAAGGGTTTAGGAATCTCGAATAAATATTGGTATGTGATGCATTCACTAGAAACCTTCCAATAGATAATCCATACTTCTTAGAGGAATAATTAGGTTTCCATTACTTTAACAGGAATATATTGAACATTAAAACATTTTTGGCCAGGGGGAGTTCTGATTCTATTCATATCTAGGGATTGTGAATGAAAATTGTCCTGACTGATATTTTGAAGTAAAGTCTTCATCGAATAAATAGACTGAGTTCCATTCCTCACATTTAAATTGGGAATGCAACAAAAATGAATATTCATTACAGCTATTCCCCAAATTTTCAGTGTACTTCCATCAACAGATTCAAATTGTCTAAAAGAAAAACACTGCACTTTAAACTATTTATAGAACTTGTGCAACACATGCTTCATAGAAAACAAGTATGAAATCGTCTCCCCTGGAGGGATTAGCAGTTAATGTTTCACTAAAATTATTCTACTACACATGTGGGGTCTGATATTTGTAGGTATTTGTAGTATACCCCTTCTAAGGAGGTGGGGTACTTGAATTGTTTTTTTTTATGGCCCCGCAGACTTAGGTCAGGGCCACATAGTATTACCATTATCCATCAATTGATCATTACCTCATTCTGCTACGAACAATTATACGGGCTTTTTTTTTTAACTCACCTGGCCAGAAGGGCAAGTGAACTTCTCTCATCACTTGCCGTCATTGTAGTCATTGGCATCCGTAAACTTTTACAAAAATCTTCTCTGCTGAAAATACTAGACCAAATTTGATCAAACTTGGCCACAATCATCATTGGGGTATTTAGTTTAAAAAATATGTCCTATGACCCTGCCCACCAATCAAGATGGCCTACATGGCGAAAAAATAGAACATAGGGGTAAAATGCAAGTTTTGTCTTGTTTTGAAAACTGTTATAAACAGAGAAATTCTGACAATGGCAAAATTGTTCAGAATGTTGACCTCTTCCTAATGTCAGGTGTCAGGCGACTTCAAATAGGAGTTATTGCCCTGAAATGACAAATTTTACCTTTTTTTTCATTTTTATACTACCGCAAAAAATTTTTGCGGTCGTATATTGGTATGACGTTGGCGTCATCGTCGTTGTCGTCGTCGTCCAGCACCGTCCGAAGACACACTGGTTTTCGCACTCTAACTTTAGTTTAAGTGAATGGATCTCTATAAAATTTTACCATAAGGTTCAATACCACAAAAGGAAGGTTGGAATTGATTTTGGGGGTTATGGAACCAACAGTTAAGGAATAAGGGGCCAAAAATAAGCATTTTTGTAACTTCCAGACATAACTTGTGTGTTAGTGTATGGATCTCTCTGACATTGAACCACAAGGTTCCATATCACACAGGGCATGCTTGGATTGATTTTGGGGGTTATTGCCTCAAAATATTAGAAATTAGGGGCCAAAAAAGGGGCAAAAAACAAGCATTTTCTAGTTTCATGACAATAACTTGTGTGTAAGTGTTTGGATCTTTCTGAAATTGAACTACAAGGTTCCATATCACAAAGGGAAAGCTGGAATTGAGTTTGGGGGTAATTGCCCAAAACGTGTAGGAAAAAGGGGCCAAAAATAAGCATTTTTCTAGTTTCCAGACAATAACTTGTGTTCAAGTGTATGGATGTCTCTGAAATTGTACCACAAGGTTCCATATCACACAGGGAATGCTGGGATTGAGTTTGGGGGTGATGAATCATAAGGGGGTTCATAAAATTTGGGGGGGGGGATTTTTTTTTTTTCCTTTTTTTTTTCTTTTAAAATTTTCCATTTTAAGTTGGTTATTTCTGTTTTATATTTAAAAGCAAATAATAATGATATGGTAGGAGATACACACCAAACAGGATGTGTAAATTATCATATAATAAGTATTGTGCAATAGCAAGAAATTTTCAATTGTACAGTATTGCACAATAGCAAGAAATCTTCAATTGCACAGTATTGTGCAATAGCAAGAAATATCCAATAGCACAATATTGCGCAATAGCAAGAAATTGTCAATTGTACAGTATTGTGCAATAGCAAGAAATATTCAATTGCACAGTATTGTGCAAAAGAAGATACTTCGTATAAATTGCTTATTTCTTGACCAATTTCAATGGGTTTTTATTCTTGAATTCTTGGGGTTCTTTAATATGCTGATTCTAACCGTGTATTAAGTTTTTAGATTTTGGGCCCCGTTTTTAAATTGGTCCACATTGAGGTCCAAAGGGTCCAAAATTAAACTTTTGTTTGATTTCATCAAAAACTGAATTATTGGGGTTCTTTGATATGCCGAATCTAACCGTGTATTTAGATTCTTTGGTTCCGTTTTCAAATTGGTCTACATTAAGGTCCAAAGGGTCAAAAATTAAACTTAGTTTGATTTTAACAAAAATTGAATTCTTAGGGTTCTTTGATATGCTGAATCTAAACATGTATTTAGATTTTTGATTATGGGCCCAGTTTTCAAGTTGGTCCAAATCGGGGTCCAAAATTAAACTTTGTTTGATTTCAACAAAAATTGAATATATGGGGTTCTTTGATATGCTGAATCTAACCATGTATTTAGATTTTTGATTTTTGGGCCCCATTATCAACTTTGTCCACATTGAGATCAAAAGGGTCCAAAATTAAACTTTGTTTGATTTCATCAAAAATTGAATTCTTGGGGTTCTTTGATATGCTGAATCTAACCATGTATTTAGATTTTGGATATTTGACCATAATAGGTGATTGTCCAATTAAAATTTTTTAAGTTCTTAGACCACATTCATTCTGTGTCAGAAACCTATGCTGTGTCAAATATTTAATCACAATCCAAATTCAGAGCTGTATCAAGCTTGAATGTTGTGTCCATACTTGCCCCAACTGTTCAGGGTTCGACCTCTGCGATCGTATCAAGCTGCGCCCTGTGGAGCATTTTATTGCCTTTTATCTTGAAAACTATAATAGACAGAGAAACTTTTAAGTTGCAAAAATGATCAGCTAGACAAGAACTAGGAATAAGTATGCAAGGTAGAAATCGTCATGTGATTTCTAATTGGAGTTATTGCCCTTTGATGACAATTTTTACCTTTTTTTTTTTAGTATTTGCCTTATATGTTAAAATCTTAAAAACTATAAAAGGTAAATAGAAACTTTAGAATAAGAACAAATAAGATCAACAAGGCAAGATCCACAAACAAGTCAATGTTTGCCAATATAGTTACTAGACTCACTCTTCATAGGAGAGATTGCCCCTAAATGAGGAATTTTTTACCATTTTTTTGTTTTGAGCAAAAATTAAACAAGATAGAGAGAAAATAAACAGACAAAAGGATCAGCAATACAAGATCAACAAAAAATAGATTTTTGTCATGAATTCTATTCTTGTCTACAATGTTGAGTCCATTGTTGATTATGCACATAGCTGAGCTACACAGGCTCTTTAGAGCCTTTAGTTTCTAAGACCTTCACATATTAAGCTGATTTATAATATGTGAGTCTACTATGATGAGTTACAGATTGAGTGTACGTTTGGTTCTGCTGTGCTAATATTGCCAAAATTACAGGCTTTGGACTTTAAAAATTTCCACTCCTAGAAATAGCTTCAAGCTTGTTTTGCTAGCAGGGCTATTTGTGTCGTTCCGACACATCTAGTTTTAATTTGCAGAGTACCAATTTCTGTAAGTTTCAGTTAACCTGTTATCTAAATGTATAATGATCTATAATTTTTTTAAAGACTTCTATGCAGATTAAGCAAATCCATGAAAATCAAATTCTCACAAAAAAGCATTTGTTTCCATAAAACTTGGACACCCCAAAAAAACTGCATCCACAGAATACTGTTTTACCCCTGTCTGAAGGTCCTTATGTCTGTCTGTCCTATTACAATTTCCATTACATATTTCTCAGGAACTTACTTCCGGAAATTTTGGTTTCAGGCTTCATATGAGCATTCTATACTGTGTAATGTGTAATTTGTTTCATGTGTATAGTTTATCAACTTTCTGCTTACCAAATACTTTAATTTATTTTTTACACAAAATGGCCATGAATGAAAATTTCCTAACATTTTCTCAGGAACTTCACAACAAAATTTTCTGAAATTTGTAATTAATGTTCATGTGAGCATGCTATACAGAGTGGTGCAATTTCAAATTCATTATTTATTAGATTATTCAAAAGTTAATCAACTTCTTGTTTCTGGAATTTTTATATATTTTTACACATAGTGTAAACAGTATTAACATAAATGAAGAATTCATCACATATTTCTATGGACCAACCAGAGCACCATGAAATTTGGTTCACCTGATCCTGTTCTACCATGTGAATTATTGTTACACTTTTTGCTCATTAACAGTTTACCAAATACTTAAAGTAGGGGCATCATTATTGTATCATTACAGTTCAACATGTTTTCTCTTGTAGTGAAACCTGATGTAGATATTAAACCATACAGAAGCACTGTACTTTATGGAGGACCTGTGACAATACAGTGTACAGTAAGTTCTGACATACCTGTCAAGGAGGTCACATGGTATCGTGTCCAAGGTGATTCAAGGACACCAGTTGTAGTAGATGGTAGAAAATACAGTGGTTCTACAGTACGTGTGCCCTCTCTTACAATAAACAGTGCAAACTTTCAAGATGAAGGTACATATGTTTGTACTGCAGAGAATGCTGCTGGTGTTGGATCCAGTACTAATGGTGATGTTGATGTAACTGGAGGTTAGTGTAGCCACCAAGGCCCAAAAATTGTACAAGAGTTAAAGTTGAAAATCAATACTGTGATTAAACATTTATGAGATTAAACATTTATGAGATGTGGACAAAAGTTTTGATACTGAATATAATGCATTCTTAAATGTCTCAGTTTTGATAGTATTCTTATGAAGGTAATTCCCCTTGAGTATATAAATGAGCCATAGTAAATTGATTTATTAAGATATGGATATGTTTTTTATAGCTGTTCCTGTTGTGACAGTTCCAAGGAGAGAATACAGCAGAGATTTGGGTAGAGAGGTTACTCTTGAATGTGACGTTGTGGCTAATCCACCTGAAACGACTGTCTACTGGAGGAGAGAGGACAGAGGAGAGATGGTTGATGTTGACACCAGGTCCTCTCGTTACTCTCGTGTCTCTCCCAGCTCACCATCTCTGACTATCACAAATTTGGATACTTCAGATACAGGAATGTATCAATGTTTTGCTGATAATCCTGTTGGAACTGGACAAAGTCAACAGACTTCTCTCAGAGTACTTTGTGAGTATGATATCAGTAATGAGTGATTCCTTCTTCTATGGTAACATAACTGTGTATCCTATAAGAAGAAAGATGAAGAATGCACATTAGGCGCCATTGTCATAAAATACATAAATATATAAAAAAAAACATATAAACGTAAATAACTGCTGTTCTTGACAGTATCTTTAAGATCTTTAGTGACGAAATTAAGAGCTCATACCTAATGAAGGATTAAGATTGCTATTAAGTCCAGATAATTTTTGAATAGATTCAAATGAGACTATCAAAGCTTTGTTTTAAAATTAATGAATTGTTACAAAATATTTACATAATGGAACCTTGTTAAGATTTATGAATCTTTGTAAGTTTGATGATCTTAAAATGGTTATTCTATTTTTTTAATCACTGCCCAAATAAAAAAAGAGAAGGATTTAATGGTTCATATCTGTCCTTCTGTTTGTTTCAATATTTAGAATAGTATGAGTTGTTGTAAGTGGAATGTCAACTATTTACTCAACAACATTAAGCATTCAATCAACTATATTCAGTCTATAGAATATATCTAAGGTGTACATGTATTTTTGACAAGGGTCATCAGACCATGACTTATTTTTTAGTCATAAGATTTGGGCTTTTTTGGCAGATCTGTCAGATACTTTAAATTTTTCAATAGGTTGATTAACTTCAAAATTTTTGTCTCACATTCCTCCCAGGTTGATGAACAGAATGACATCATTTTTGGTTATCAGGTTTGAATGATAAGTTACAATATAATATGTGAGGACTTTTTGTATCCATCAGACTTTTACTTTCCATTTGCAAGTACTTTGAATTACGAGTTGGGATATGATTAACATAACAATTTGTGCCTTCTTAATTTTATTGATTATATTATTGTGGTAAAGCTTTTATTATATTGATCTCATTGTTTTTTCAGTGCCAATCACTATTCCTGCAACTGCAAAGCGTAAGTATTTAACATTTTTTATTGTAAAATATACAAACTGACCTAATTTTTTTAATGACGCAGGTCAAAAAGTTTTTTTTTCCTGAATCTAAGAATTCACAACAAACATTTTTGTCAAACTCTGAATAACTTCATTTTTTCATTTTTTTGGATGTGTTAAAGTCCGTTAGTTTCTTTCAGAACAAGGACAACTCCTTGTTAACCTTACACTTATAGTTTGGTATCATAAGTTCAACTTATGTCTTCTTTTTGTTCTCGTATAACCTTGTTGGGCTGTCTGTGCAAAAACTTTTTATTTTTCAAAATTGAATACGATTTTTGTAAGATGGTGAATTATAATAAGATGTTCTGTTTCTTATCATCAGAATGAAAATATTAGATTTTTTAGACATTTTGTTGTCCAGAACATTTTTGTTTTAACCTTTGACATACAGGTATGATATTTGGCACATGGTTGCATTACTTCAAGACAATTTACCCTTTACCATGGAAGATGACCTTGACCTTTTTTAAATTTATGTATTTTCGATGAAGACAAATATTAATGAGATATAAGACAGATTTAAAAAAAAAAATCACATTTATGAATATAAGGAAGAAGCCAGAATATATTGTTACCTCCTTTTATTTAAGAAATTAAATTCTATACATTAATTTAAGAAAAAAAAACAAAGTGAGATAAAAAATGTTTTATTCTTTGATTTTTTTTTACATAGCTTGTGGTCAGGCTAAAGTTGATATTGTGATCATATTGGACTCCTCTACCAGTGTTGGTGATGACAATTACCAGAAAATGAAGAATTTCTGTAAGGATTTCTTAAAGAATGCTGATTTGGATTCAGGCAATATTCGTGCAGGAATTGTGTCCTACAGTACTGGTGTCCATGTTGAATTCCAGATGAATGACTACAGCTCCTCACAAGACATAATGGAAGCTATAGATGCCATTCCATATAGATATGGAAGTACAAACACTGCTGATGGTTTGAGAACAGTGCGTTCAGAAATGTTCACGGCTGCCAATGGAGATCGCGATGGTGTGCCTAATGTAGTACTTATATTAACTGATGGTGTGTCAAATATAAACTCAAGAAGAACCATTCCTGAAGCAGAGCAGGCTCGTGCTGCAGGAATTCATATATATGCTGTTGGTATTGGTTTAAGGGACACCCGGGAGTTGGATGCCATGGCCTCTGAACCAGCCTCAGAAAACAGCTTCAATGTACAAAGCTTTGATGAATTGGCAGTTTTGAGTGACCAAGTCTTCCAAGCTTTCTGTCCAGGTTTGTTTTTATATTCCACTCCTACACTTTATTAATTATTACAGGCATTAGACAATCCTTAGAAGTATGTTTTTTTTCCACACATGACTCTCATTTTCCATTAAAGTTGGTTTGTAGGATTTTTAAATGAGAAAACTTGCACAGTGTAAATAGCCTTTTATTTTTCACCAATGGAATATCTAACAAACAATTGTAATAAATATTTATTGTCTTTAGAAAAGTCCATGGGTTGACTTTGAAAATATCTTTTCCATTCTCCACCAATTTTTGTAATAAATATATGTTTTTTTTTATATAGCAACAGAAGTTGATAAGGGTAACAACTGCACTTTGAAGACTTCAGTCAGGAACAATATGTGGAAGGGTTATTTTCCTGTTGGTTTCAAGATAAAAGTTGATTCCCAATAACATAAAAAGTTTTAGTCACAACATTTTTTGAAGATCAATTAGGTATTTGAAACAAAACCTTTTTGAATTTTTGTCTAACATCTGTCGCAGGTTAAATGAATTATTTTCATTATAAATCAGTAATCATCATAAACTACATTGTACACTTGATTAAGGTAATTTTCAATAAGGTCAGAATTTTTTGTGTGTTTATAATTGGGATTTTTGTTCAACAGACCATTACTTATTATTGAGATTTCAGGAAATACTATTCACAAGTAATGATGTCAAAATTCAAAATTTGAGTGTTTAATTGTGCTTAACCTATCTTATGAAAACATTGAAAAAATTTCTGAATTTAAATAACTAATGTTTCTGCATACTGTCTTCATGTTAAGATAATAATTGTTTACTTTTGTTATTTGTGCCTTTGTTAGCTGTATTATTCCTGGTATTTCAGGCAAGCCAATCACAGCACCACCTTCCAATGGTTATGACATTGATGTTGTAACGATTAATTCTGTGTATTTCAGTATGAACAACTGCAGTATCACCTCCCTATTGTTATGACATAGTTGTAATTGTTTTTACCTTACATTTCAGGAGCGACAACTGCAGTGCCACTTCCCAGTGGTTATGACATTGTTATTGCAATGGATTCATCAGTCCAACAAGATCAGTTTGATGGATGGATGAAAAATTATGCCAAGAGCTTTGTCAACCAAATTAGTCTTGATGACGACGAATATCGGTTAGGCCTGGTACGGTTTGATTCTAATGCTGATGTGCAGTTCAATTTGAAAGATTATGGAACAAAACAGGATGTGTTGAATGCTGTTGACAATGTTCAGTACAAGGCTGGTGGAACAACTAATGTGGCCGGAGCTTTTGATGTAGTCAGAAAGAGGATGTTTAAAAACGATAAGGGTGATCGTGACTTTGCCCGTAATTATATATTATTGCTGACCGGCAATGAAAGAAGTGATGACACTAACGAAGCTTGGGCTGCTGCTGAACGAGCGGAGGATGATGGGATTGGAATTTACGTTGTTGGTGTTGGCATTAACGACAGAACTGAATTGGATGAGACCTCTTCACATCCACTCGACACATTCCAGTATGTTGTTGGAGATGAGAGAGAATTGCAAGATGTTCCTGTTAAGATAGAAGATGCTGTCAAAGGCTGTAAGTTTTAATTCTAAGTAGTGGTACATCTATTGATTGCACAGATGTCCATAGTAAAAAGTTCTTCAAATGTTTCAAACCATATGTTTTTCATTTAAATATATTGTATAAATTAAAGAAAACTTCTATATTTTTCATTACCTTTTTTTAGCTCACTAGGCCCTCTGGGCCAAGTGAGCTTTTCTCATCACTTGGCTTTCGTCGTCCTTCGTCTTCCGTTGTTAACTTTTACAAAAATCTTCTCCTCTGAAAGTATTGGGCCAATTGTAACCAAACTTGGCCACAATCATCATTAAGGTATTTAGTTTAAAAAATGTTTCCAGCCAACCAACATGGCTGACATGGCTAAAAATAGAACATAGGGGTAAAATGCAGTTTTTGGCTTATATCTGACACTAAAGCATTAAGAGCAAATCTGACATGGGGGTTAAAATATTCATTAGGTTAAGATCTATCTGCCCTGAAATTTTCAGACAAATCAGACAACCCGTTGTTGAGTTGCTGCCCCTGAATTGGTAATTTAAAGGAAATTTTGCAGTTTTAGATAATTATCTTGAATATTATTATAGATAGAGATAAACTGTAAATAGCAATAATGTTCAGCAAAGTAAGATATACAAATAAGTCAACATGACCACAATTGTCACTTGACACCTTAAGGAGTTATTGCCCTTTATAGTCAATTTTTAACTATTTTTCGTAAATTTTTACAAAAATCTTCTCCACTGAAACTACTGAGACAAATTCAACCAAAATTGGCCACAATCATCATTAGGGTATTTAGTTTGAAAAAATATATCCAATGACCTTGCCTGCCAATCAACATGGCCAACATGGCTAAAAATAGAACATAGGGATAAAATGCAGTTTTTGGCTTAAACTGAAACTAAAGGATATAGAGCAAATCTGATGTGGTGTAAAAATGTTCACCCGGTTTAGATATATCTGCCTCGAAATTTTCAGACGAATGAGACAACCCAGGGTTGGGTTGCTGCCACTGAATTGGTAACTTTAAGGAAATTTTGTAGTTTTTGGTTATTACCTTAAATATTATTATAGATAGAGATAAACTGTAAACCACAATGATGTTCAGCAAAGTACGATCTACAAATAAGTCAATATGACCAAAATTGTCAATTGACCCCTTAAGGAGTAATTGCACTTTATAGTAAATTTTTAACAATTTTCGTAAATTTTTGTAATCTTATACAAAAATCTTCACTTAATCTACTGGGCCAAATAGAATTATACTTAGCCACAATTTTCAATAGGGTGTCTTCATTGAAAAATGTAACTGATGACCTCAGTCCCTGCCATCCAACCAACATGGCCGCCATGGCTAAACATAGAACATAGGGGTTTACTATAGAAGTCGAAGGGAAAATTTAAAAAAACAATTTCAAAAATGGTCACAACTTGAAAACTAATTTGAATAATGATAAGGGGTCTTCAGTAACTATTATAAGACTACAATTGGATGTCCTGCTTTTGATTTAACTACTGGGCCAAATTTAACCAAACTTGGCCTCAATCATTATTAGGTATCTTAATACTATTTATTATGATTTTAACTGTATTTAACATGATTTCCAAAATCATAGTAGATACAGGTGAGCGACACAGGCTCTTAAGAGCCTTTACTTTCATTTAGTTGGAGCAATCTTCTCCCATCAAACCCCCGAATTTCAATTTTTTTTGGTACTCAAAATCTTGACTGGGAATGAGCAATATACTTTTTCCCAGTATTTATCATTTTCAGAAGGTGTGGTTGACTAATATGGAGATTAAGTTTCATGAAATTTTTATTCCAAGAATAGATTGTAATGCAGGAATACTCAAAATGACCTTTGGACCTTTGTATTCACATTTTAATTGAAAAGGCCTGAACACTTCGAAATAATATATAAATTGTTTATAATTGCAGTACCTCAGGTAGCTCCTCCAATGAGACCAAGACCAAGACTGAGAGGTCAGTATTTTAAAGATGCTAAAGTATTTATCAAAACATGAAGACAATTGTTTAAAAAAAAAACAAATGCTGACACAGTTAGTTTATACACAACAGGTGGATATTGCCATTTTCTTCTCATCCACATGGGATTTGGACAAAATTTCTCCTATATCCACCATTTAGATTGGACATGACGACTCTTCAAGCTCAAATTTATTTAAGATAGTGATATCAAAAGCTGAACTCATTTTTTTCAAAATAAATATTGAACATGCTGTATTTTGAAAAAGAAGAGTTTAGCTTTTTTGTAAAATTTTAGGTTTAAGAATAGGGACTATCCATAAGAAGTGCAGATAGAAATATGAAAGAATCTATATAAGCTATAGTGTTATAGTAGCTGATTGTGTAAAGAATGCATGATACAGATTCCACGAATAGGACATTAATATTTGAATGTTTACTTTAATAAACAGACATTTTATTGCCACATAAAAAGTTCATCCGATAAGTTTAGTCTAAAACAAACTTCAATAAAGTGAAAGGCATGTAATGCACCAAAGAATAAAACACAATCACTACAGAGAAGATAGTTCACAAGGACTGAAAGGATACTTTGATGTTTTTGTAAGAAATAAGTGAAAAAGAAACAAGAATGAAAAAAAAAGATGAAAAAGAAAATAACTTATAAAGTTCTATCTTGCTTGTCTAAAGAATTCAGATTCCTGAATTTTGACTGCATCAATGCAAGAGAAAAATTTGAATATACCATAGTGATAATCATTATATTTAGGATGGACTGACAAAACATTGCCCAATTAAAAAAAGGAAAAAAAGCAAACAAAAGACCAATACCACCACGAGTATCACAAAGAAAACTAAAGATTTAAAGAAACAAAGATGCTCTGGAGGGGAGCAGTTGTACTTCCTTCATGCAAACACATTGCTAAAACACTTCAAAAACCCATCTGAAATGAATGGTTACTGTAATTACAGATTGCAAGTGTTTTGCTTTATGTTTTGTACCCATATTTGTTTTAATATGTATATTTCTGTACACTAACCATTTTAGCTGTAGATAATCTGTGTTTTCTGGCTATTCACGGAATAGGAGGATGAAAGACAGAAGAAAAGAAAAAAAGAAGGAAGCTACCATATTGTGTTATGTCTTTTTATTTCGTTATGTCTTTTTATTTTTCTGCGTTTCTGTATTATGTCTTTTGTATGTTTTTTTTACATGTGTTGTCAAAGTCAACTCTGGATTAATTTTGATGTGTGGATACCAATATTCATAATTTCATGTTTGATATCTTTTTGACTACCTAACACCAAGAAATGAATACATAACAAATAAGTATCCATGAAAAGTCATGAATTCACTGTATAGAAATGTCTTTAGTTGTATTAAATATTTTAAGGATCTTAACAATTTCAATAATTTTGTAATATTGCATTTGATTTGTCTACAAAATTTCCTTTTCAAGTGTTAAGGGGAGAAAACTATGTACTGTATCCATTAGTTAATTTAGTCAAGTAAGACAACTCCTCCAGGTAACTAAGATCTGATGTGTTTTCCAAATTTATCTGGCATTAGAAACATATATGTTAACTTTGATGTGAATTTTGACAGACACTACAACTCCAGCTTCAGGTAGGATAATGATCAGTGATTTTCCTATGAATTTAAACACAATTTTCTTGTGTTTTTAAAAAAAAATATTTTCAAGTAAAAAAAATAATGTACTCCTTGAAGCTAATTTTCACATTTTATAATGATGTTTGCTTGACCGAACACATTTTGTGAATTATGTCTTTGAACATGTTTAATTGCTCTTTATTTCCAAATTTGGCAACAACAAAATTTGAAAAATGAGGCAAACCCCAAATAATAAAAAAAAATTACTACAGAGATAATTGCAAGTTAGATTATTTTTGGAACTCTAAATTAGAGATATAATAATAGAAAGACGAGATATATTTGATGTGCCATTATTGTTTGGTTGCGATTTGTTTTCACAAATGAAATATTTCTAACAGATTGACTTCTAAAGCAAAAGGAATAAAAATGAAAGATCTTTCTTGTTAGATTCAAAGGAAAATCACTCTTGTGTGTTGTAACTAAACAAAGTGAATGATATACAGCTATATAAAATAATTTTTAAGTAAATATACTTGAAGAGGTAAATTTGTCAAGTGAAGTATCCAATTAGTATGTTCCTTTGTATATTTTTCTTCAATGCTGTGTACGCAGAAAAGAGTCATTCTAAACCAACTTGTTGAAGGATGTAGGGTGACCTATAGTTGGTAACTTCTACATCACTTTGTATCTGGTGGAGAGTTGTCTCTTTGGCAATCATACCACATCTCCTTATTGTTATATTTAAGAATGGAATTGATACTAAAATGTTGAAAATCTTTCAATTAATATTTTGAACAAGGATGATTCAATAATTAAGAAAAAAATAATAATTTTATTTCTCTGGTTGTTGATCTTGCAGCTATTCAGTGCTGCTGTTAAAACTTGTCTCAAAATGAAAAAAAAAAGTTGTAAATTTGAAGTTTTTGGCATGAAAATTGGAAAATATTCCTGAATTATAGGTCCACTGAGATTTTTAGAATTTAAGCCCAAAATTCAATAGTTTTTTGATACATTGCTTACTTTGTTGACAGTTTACCTCTTCAATGCTTACATGTATTTAAGTATTAACAATTGATAAGGTTTGAGGTATAAATAATTTATGTAGATAAGGTTATTCATTAAACATGTGAGGAACCCAGAGAAGGTAGTTAAAAAGATTTACAGTTTTTTTTTAGGCTTTTCTGAATGTAATATGTTGGATAATCATCTGTAAGAAAAGCAACCCATCAACACATATTAAACAAAATAGAAATGATGTCATGGTAGGTCTTCAACAATACATATATTCAAACTATCGCAATGACCAGATTATACAGTGTGATTCATTTAAAAATTCGCTTCTAATTGGGAATTTTTTGTTACATGATGAATATGGGTGATTTACACAAAAACATTTTGTGTATTCACACAAAAACATTTTGTGTATTCACACAAAAACATTTTGTGTATAACATAGAAGTATGAAAAATGTATCAACAAAATGGCCAAACTCCAACATAAATTTAAAAGGGGGAAGTCCATAAAACCTGACAAAGCCAAATGCTTGGCTCTATCAGCCAATGGAACCACTGTTTTGCCATAATTCTGATTTGGTACAGGCATTTTCTAAAGGAAATGGTTGGTTAAATCGGGTTTTATAGCTAGCTAAACCTTCTACTTGTTTGACTGCTGTTATATTGACAAAATTGTGTGAGCACCGTGAACAGACATAATAGGTTAATATGAAGGGTAACTATGTCTTGTATAGCTATCATCTACAAATTCTTATATTGTAACCTTCTGTGGATTCCTTTCATGTTTTCATGGAACAGCAACTGGGTTCCGAAAACACATTATTTGATAAATCACATAACAATGGCAATATCAATGAACTCCATGTACTGTTAATTTGGCTATTGTATGTACAACTAAATTTGCATGGAAATATATCTTTTATTAACAAGAATGACATAATTTTAAACACATTACCCTAACCATATGTGTTCTGTTATTTGATGGGATTAGTAATATTTTTGCCACAGATTGTTTTCCCTTATGTGATTAAGTTACTTCCTGCTGAACCCACTGGTCTATATACAAAACATCGGCCAAGAAATCATTAAGAACAGCTTGGGTTAATCACCATTTTGGACAAAACTCTGACCCCTTTTTTGGCCAAGCATTTTCGCATAATAATTAAGGGCTATTTTTTTATTCACCCTTTTCTGTAATAACTTATAATAATGTCCATAAAAAAAATTTGGTTTTTACATCTTTTGTGACATAATTCTTTTTTAAAACCAAAATTTGGAAATAATTTTATAATGATTAAGATTAATTGTGATTCTAAATTTTCAAGATATGTGTATGTATAATACATATATATTTTTGCATAAAAGGACATGTCTAGACAGTTTAATTTTGTCTTTCCAAAACAGATTGTGGCCTGTCTAAGACTGATTTGGTGATTGTATTGGATGCTTCTACAAGTGTGGGAGAGGATAATTTTAAAAAGATGCTAGAGTTCTGTAAAGATTTCTTGGCCAATGCTGATATCGACTCTGGCAATGTCCATGCTGGAATCTTAAGTTACAGTACCAGTGTCAAGATAGAGTTCCAGATTGGTGCCCATACAACAACTGCAGATATCAGAAATGCAATTGATGGAATTAAATATGCGTACGGCAGTACCAACACTGCTGATGCTATTGAAACAATGGCTTCAAAAATGTTTGGTACATCAGCAGATCGTTCAGATGCTCCCAACATTGGTATAATTGTGACTGATGGTGTGTCTAATATAAACTCTAGAAGGACCATTCCCGAAGCTGAGGAGGCTAGAAGAAAAGGAATTCATATTTACTCTATTGGTATTGGGTTGACAGACACTAAAGAGGTCTTTGCTATAGCCACACCACCACATGAGGAGAACAGCTTTAATGTACAGAGTTTTGATGAATTACGTGGACTCGATCAGAAGATTTTCTCCTCAATTTGCCCAGGTAGGTAGAAGTTGATTTTAGGTATTTTGTGTTAGACACTAAATTCACAATATTATTGCACTTCACTATAACATCATACATTATTTTAATAAATCATTCACCTTATTAAAAAATACCATTGAAAGACTATTATTATTAACTGACTTAGATCAGCAAATGTGATGGTATTGTCAACATTAGTTTTCAAGCTAAACTAGAAGAAATATTTGTTGTACATAATCATCACTTTAATCATAACTTTGACATTTTTGGTAATTGATAATAAATTATGGACAACTGTAAACTCGTGGTCATATTTTAGAACAAATAGCTAAGAATACAATGTATTTATGGTGATCATCAATTACAAAATGTATGTGTTTAAGAGGGTTTGGATGTGATTTACAGAATAGAGAATAAAGGGCAAAAAAAAAATACAGAATAGAGAATGATAGGCAAAAATAATTAAAGAATGGAGAATAATTGGGTTCATAAATATAAAGAATAGAGAATATTTGGCAAAAAAAAAGAGAGAATAGAGAAAAATTGCGTAAAAAATTGAAGAATACAGAAATGAAGATCACCAATCCAGATCCTTGTTTAAGGTTCCTTCCTTTAAATTAAAGGATTGTTTAGTCGAATATTTTTAGATTAAATCTTAAAAAATATTTTATTTTCACTAAGTCTGGTTTATGTATTAAACAAACATCTTTACTGGAAGACTCTGGCATTTGCATTTTTTTTATCAAATAGATTATGTTTTACATGTTTTAATCACTTCTGTATTTTGATGATATTTGTAATTTATATGTTGGTGAAAAGTTTTAATTAGAAATCATCATAAAAACGTTAGGTTAGTGCCCAAAAATTAGGGGTGGTCATGAAACCCTTAACACATATCAAAGGATTAGGAAATTTCCATGGTATTTTTTAACATCATGATGCAAATACAGTGATAATGGTGCAAGGGCTTTTAATGTTTATATGTATCCTATATATCTGCAGGACATTTATAAAATTAACAGTCAACATATATGTAAAATTATCTACATTAAAATAATTAACACCTTTTATATTTATGTTGGCAAATGGTGTATATATTACACGTATTATATATATATACATGTGAGCAGTGAGTACATAATGAAAATTAAGTTTGGTTTCCACTTTCGTTTTAAGACCCTTAGAAGGAGAAAATTTTGAGGTTTTTTATAAATTTTATATTTTTTTTTAAATTTTGAGTTATATAAATACTTTTAATATGTTTAAGCTTAAGACTGTCAGGTATCAAATCAACCAAATGAAAATAAGAGCTAAAATTTGTTTTAAAATTTGAATCTGATCTGGCAATTTTTTGAAATTGGATATGATCATAGAAATTTGTCCTAATCACAATATCGATTCTGCTTTCTGTCTAAGACATTTTTTTGTTGACAATGTTTTGATTCTGCATATTTCATAAGAAAGGGAAACTAACATTTTTTTCATTGTGGCCTTGCTATGACAATTCAACCTAATAAGCATCCTTCCTCAGTGTTCAGTAAGATAGATTGTCTCCTCCCCCAAAATTTTTATTTCATTGCAATTTAAGGAATAATTTCTATTTTAGGTAACTATATTGTTATACTGTTTGGTTGTTCTTACATCTACTTGTTAAACAGTATTTAATTAAGATTAATAAACAAATCTGATTTTTTTTTTTAGAGTGTAGTGATATCTATTGTAGTTCATGGATTATTGGACTACTACCCCTGGTCAATTATCCTAGGAGTCCAATACTGTATTACACTAGAGTTACTTAGTAGAGTACATAACATAAACAGTAACAATAGCACACCATTTGTTTTAGCTATTTAAATCTGGAAAATTTTTAGATGAGCTTTTTTATAATATGAATATTCCAAAGATGCTTATTAGGTTTAATGAATTTTATAGATATATAAAGCTCTGTCAAGGAACTCATTTCTGGACACCAGAGTCTGACACTTAATTAATTTTCCCTTCTTGGAAGTAGTATTAGTACACTGTGTTTATACCTTATCTCCTTATTAGTATATCAAGTTAATAGAAGTAAAAAAAATGATATGTAAACAAACATTTCAAGTATTGGAAATATGTAAAGAAAGCTAACCCTTGAATTTTATTCCCCAGAATGCCTGTTGCATTACTGTGTTCACTAATTGATATTTAGGCCTAATGTTGACAGATTGACCTATATATATTCTTATTGAAATCAGATCTTTTACTTTGCTGTGCTTCATTTGTTTTACACAAATTATGTAGTGCAAAGTTAAAGATCTGATTTTAATCAGAATAACCTAACTATTAAACACTGTCTGTAACTATATGAAGATTAATTACAAGTTTGTTAGAAGCAAAATCAAAAGATGTCATGAATAGTTAAGAATATTTTATAAACCAAAAAGAAGGGTTCATATATATCAGAACTGACATTAAGCTGGCCAGTACAGCCAGTCGAAGTGAATATCTTAATGTCCATCTAAAATGTGCCTGCTCTTTATGTAGTACTACAAAATCTAATTCTAAATTTACTGGTCCATTTGGCCAGGATTTAAATAGCTTTCACTTGCCCACCTAAAAATTATTAGCTAGTGCTTAAATCGACCCTTGCACATATTTGATATAAATATAAATTTCTGTCTGTTCATTTGGCCAGGGTTTTTAATTTGTTGATTTACGGGTCTGCCGACCCAATATTTTTGATTTTCAGAATTTTTTTTTTAGAAAAATTGACATTTAATGCTTTTTTTATTCCTGCTGACCATAGCAAACACAATGTTGTTTGCACAAATAATTATGCAGAACGAACCCTATTTTAAAAACCAATTTGGATTTAAAACGGGATTGCCTGAAAAAGGATGAAACCGATATCTTCGTCTTTAAGGTGAACAGGTCAGGTCTACTTCATTTGTGACTGAGATGGTAGTGTTATTTTTGCCATGGTGAAAAGTTTATATATTTCACATGTTTTTGTGCTTGAAGTTTGTTGTTCAGAAGTTTTCTAAAAGTTGATAAAAAGCAACATGTAAGGTATTTTTTTTTTCGACCCGACCGACCCAATTTTTTCCCATAAAAAATCCTGAAAACAACAAATAAAAAAATTCCTGGTCTTGCTGTGAACCTGTACTACTTCCTTGCAAGCAAGCAAAAACCCTGTATTAAATTGCTATTAAAGTAAGACTGGTGATTCTAGAATTGAGATTTTGGGTAAAGAGCTATGGTGGGTATACTATGGTGTAAATATATTATGTGTTTGTTGTCTAATGTCTTGTTTTTTGTCTATATGTTATCACATAGGCAGGTCTACTGCTGCTGCTCTTACTACAACAAAAGTAACACCTAGACCAGAGAGAGGTTTGTATTTCTGTTTGAGAAAAATGTTTTAGTGGTATGGTTTTTTGTTTGACAATGCTATGTTCTAGTTTTCTGTTTTGAACCATTTAAGGGACATTGTATGAGCCTATTTTACCTAAGTTTTTATTGAATTTTAGACTTTTGGATTAAGATTTCCATTTATGTCTCTGTTTTAAACTTGAGGTAAAACAAAATTGAAAACAGGTAGTTTCCAACCAAGGACATCACAATAAATGCAGTTTTGAATTCATGGAAAAACCTATGTAGAAAAATTGGAATTATGCTATCTTTCAACATGTTCAACCATCAAATCACTGAACATTCATAATTTTCAAAGATCGTACAAATATAAACTTTGCTCAAACTTAAAGTAACTATACATGAATATTTAAGACATAAACTGGAACAACTGTTACTTTTATCGTAATCTCAGGTATGAATTGAACAATATGTAGAATAATTATATGAATAGAATATGGCCCTTTACATTATTGTAAAAACCAAACATTTTGGTGTCGCGAACGAACAAGCACTTCTATTTTGAGTCTCACCACTTCTTCCTATCAGTTTCAAAAAGAGAAGTCACTTCTAGAAGTGAGAACACTAGACATAGACACATTTGCACACGTATAACATATACATAGATTAACAGGTATATTACAAAAAGGAAAGACAACACCTTTATAACGTGACAAATGACATTGAAAAAAATACTATTTATTTTTTTTTACACCAAATGTGATGCTGTCCGAAATTTCTGGGGAGAACACTGATTAAAAAGTCTTGTAGATTATATTTGCAAAAAAAATACCTTGATTTTGTAGTACTTCTGTTTTCTAAATTAAATTTAGCTCCTAGCGCAACTCTTCTTTTGATCTTCAATTTTTGAAGATGTAACCAGCAATCCTTGTCAATTGAGATCATAGTTGAATGCACTATACAACAAGAAGGGTTGGAATTTCTCACAACTTCAGTATTGACAGGGTAGTGTTCACTGAAGGTGAACTTCTTGAACCTTTCGTCCAGTGAGGTCCTATACAGTTAGAAATATATTGGCATTAGACTTCTTTAATAAAACATGTGTTGCATGCAGGTTTATTGTCTTCAAAATGATTAAATAATAAAGAACATTGGTTTGATATTGTGTGTGTGTGTGTTTTGACAATAATTAGGGCCCCGCCGAATGGCGCACGACCTATAGTGATCAGTCTGTCCGTCCGTCCTTAACAAATTGTGCCCACTCTATATCTAGAGAACTGTTATGATTTCAAAGTTTATACTTAACATGTATATTAACCAACACCAGAGGGTGTGTCATAATGTATGTACAACTTCCTAGGTCAAAGGTCAAGGTCAAAAACTTTGGTTTTAGTTGACAACCCCATGTCCTATGGTAAAGATGGTGTCCGCTCTACATCTAGAGAACCGTTATGATTTCAAAGTTTATACTTGAAATGTATATTAACCAACACCAGAGGGTGTGTCATAATGTATGTACAACTTCCTAGGTCAAAGGTCAAGGTCAAAAACTTTGGTTTTAGTTGACAACTCTATGTCCTATGGTAAAGATCGTGTCCGGTCTATATCTTGAGAACCGTTATGATTTTAATGTTTATACTTGACATGTATATAAACCAACACCAGAGGGTGTGTCATAATTTATGTACAACTTCCGAGGTCACAGGTCAAGGTCATAAACTTCGGTTTCAATTGACAACCCCATATCCAATGATAAAGATACAAATTTTTTACCACACATTATTCACAGCGGGGCCCACAGAGTTGGCTCCCATCTCAATGATATCTAGTTTCTTTTTGATGGCAGAATTAGAGGAGTTGATATGAGGAAAAACATTTCTAACAGTTTGCATGATATTTTCTGTTATTGCTCTTGAGTAATTATATAACATAGAGGTTCTTTTCAGCTTTTCATTTTGAGCTTAGAAGAGGATAACTTACTAAAAATATTATGTCCCAGGTTTAAGATGAAAAAATGGGAAGATAAATTATGAAAAGTTTGTTTTGTTTATTTTTGAAAACATTTATTTTGACTAATCAAATAAAAACAGTTCAATTAAAAATTGTTCAGAAGAGAAGTCTAACGGCCATTATAATAAGTTGTTTTTTTAATTGATTTACAAAGAAACATGTGCACAGTGACCTAAGAAATGTTGGCCAAAGGAAAATAACTTTTACTTAAATTAAGTCAATAGGGTTATTATTTTTGTAAATGTTCAATTTTCTAGTTGTTTATATAGTATGTACTGTTATTTGCTGCAAATTGACTACATATTTTATAATAAACATTAAAATCATTCAGAGTAAAATGAAATAAAGTAATGACTAGAATGAAAAACCATAGAAATTGGCCAAATTATATATTACATTTTATAACTTTAATAATTCTCTTTCTTCTGCAGTTACTACTGCTGTCCCAATCAACATATTTCCAACAACTGAGGGTAAGTTATTTCTTGTTTGAAGTTTTTGTACTAGAATAGAAGTGTATTGAACAAAAAGTGAACAAGTATGCATATTGTTATTTCTGTTTTCTGTTTTCTGTTTCTTCATTTTTCATTTCTGTTTAGCAGTAAGATAGTTGGAAAAAGTGAAAGATTTGAAATGTGAACGTGTTTTTGAAAAATTACATAAGAAGATATGAAAATAAAAAGATGTGGTAAAAATACTAAGCTTCTTAGTTAACTTTGTAAACCAACTTTTTTTATACCTTTAGCTTTTTCTACCCAACATCATGGCAAATTTTTGTCATGTAGATAATTTTGTAATTTTGTACAAGTATTACAGAGAAGATCCTATTACGAAGAAGATCCAAGTTAAAAATATTAGCAATGGTATACTGTGGATTCATTTATTTTTCGTGGATTGAGGAACAAATTGTATTTTTTCATAGATATTTGATTTCGTGGTTTTGTTAAAGTCTGTACACAATTTAAACTTATAGAAAATTTGTATTTTTGTTGCTCACTTGAAGATACCAATGAAATGCACAAAAACTGGTCTTCTACAAATAATAATGGTCCACATTATATAAGTACAATAACTGTAAATGTAGTACAATTGCATAAATAAATAGATTTTATCTTTTAACAGGATGTGGTCTGGCTAAGGTTGACTTAGTTATAATCCTGGATTCCTCCACCAGTGTGGGAGAAGGAAATTACGACAAGATGCTACAATTCACCAAAGATCTCCTGGCTAACTCTGATATCGATAATGGAAATGTACGCGTTGGAGTGGTCAGTTATAGTACAGCAGTCTCGGTACATTTCCAGTTGAAAGATTATAGAACCAAAAATGATGTATTTAATGCTATTGACAAAATCAATTATATATATGGTAGCACAAATACAGCCGATGCTATCCGTTCGATGCGAGCCGATATGTTCACTGTAGGAAATGGGGATAGATCAGATGTGAAGAACATCGGTATAATTATCACTGATGGTGTTTCCAATATCAATTCACGAAGGACAATACCTGAAGCAGAGAAAGCAAGAGATGAGGGAATTCAAATCTATGCCATTGGTATTGGTTTGTCTGATGTAAGGGAGTTGAATGCTATGGCTTCTGTACCAGCTAAAGATAATACATTCAATGTCAAGAGCTTTGATGAATTGAAAGGTCTTGACCAGAAAATATTCTCATCAATATGTCCAGGTATGTAAAAACGTAGATTTAGGATTTTAAAAAATATCGGGGGAGACTACTCAGTAGATTTGGTCATTTCCACTTGTACACAGTAGAGAAAGCACTGTGAGGGCAAACCTTCTACAAGTTTCCCTGTGCTTATTTTTTAGATTGGACATACAATTTCTTTTTTTCATCATAAGAATTGAACCTTATAAAATACATAGGAAAATTAGGTTAAGGATGTACTTAGGTCAGGTTTTGGAATTTTTGTCAGATGTTTTGGACTCCTTGGTTTTTTCCCTTCGATACAGGGTAAAAAAATTACCCCATAACACCCATTTTCCTTTTCATATAAGACTTCAATATAGCTCATAATAGGTCATTTACCAAAATTTAAGCAGATTCTAGATTTCTGTTCTTTCGATTTGAGACCCAAATAATACCAGTGCAAATATAAGGTAAAAGTCAGAGTCAGCCTTTTCCTGCAATTTTAAAAAAAGTAAATATCTCGAAAAGGAGCTCCATAACCTATCAATATTTTTTTAGCTTATTTCGTTCCTTAACTAATGCTCTTCTGACTTATAGTATCAATTTTAAATTCTAGATATTTTTAATTTCACCTAAGTACATCCTTAAGCTTTTGATTTAAATGTTCTTAATAAATCAGGGAAGATTACTCATGAAAATTTTGCACAGTGAGTGCAAATTTTCTAGAAAGTCCCATGTACCTAGTCTCTACATTGAATATGTCATTTCTTTTTCATAATAAGAATTGAACCTTATGAAATACATAGGAAAATTAAAGTATTACCTATTGATTGAAATATTCTTAAATAAATTTATTATTATGTTGAGCTGGCAGAAGTGGGCTGCACAGGTAGAAATCTGCATGAGCTGAGATGTACTTTAATTTGTCTTCAGCTATATAAATTGCCACTACCCCATCCATTTACAAAAACAATTGACAAAAGCATAAAACTTATTTATTTTATCATATATTAAATTCCATATAACTAAAAAGAAACTTTCTACTAATTAAGTGGGCAGCTTATTTGTTATATATATATATGCATACTTGCTCATCATATAAGTATATTGTATTAATTTATATATTCTTGCTGTTATTGGTTAAGAATCCAAGGTAATTTTTTTAAGTTTTTTTGGCGATTATATACTTGCAAACATTACAATCAGATTTTGATATGAGATCCACAATTTCTTTTTCTATTGCTACTTCAAAATAGTTGCCAATTAGGAGATAACTGTGTTGTATTTTAAGCCTTAGATGGCATCAATTGGTGATTTGATGGTGGCAAATTAAGTTTACTGGTATTTGCCACCATCAAATCACCAATTGATGCCGTCGGAGCTTAAAATACAATACAGTTATCTCCATTCTAATGAAACTGACAGAAAAACAACATCAAATCATACATTGAGAATCTGTCATACGTCGTCTACGCTTGCGCATACATTTCGTATCAATTGTGAATTAATGCCATGAAAATTGGTGATGTTATCCAATCAAAATGAACGTTACAAACTTATGTTGCATTAGAATGTATGTTTGTATGTTGTAAGCAGCAGGTGCCATAAGTGAAGCCTCCTTGCTGCCACTTTTTGTGGTGTTCATGCTGCTATGTCTTAAATTTAAATGTGTATGCATTGGTGTCTCATGTTTGTCTTTTATGCTTTTGCTAAATTTGAAATCTGTCCTTTGACTCTTTATTACCATCATGATATCTTATTCATTATATGACATGTAAAACAATTTACTATTAGATCCAATAACAACATAAATATTTTATTTATATACAAAGAGTTGCGTAAAGGGGGGTATCTACACGGAAGAACGCGAAATAAAATTGCCATTTCACGATGAACCAACAATTAAAAATTTCTTGCACGTTGATCTTTTTACCGATTTCACGAAACACAGTGAATAATGAACCTTTCCCTTTACCACCCTCTACAAATAAGGAGATTGTAACCAATATAAATGTTTACATGATATATTTTTACTCTTTATGTCAAGAGTTGGATTACATATTGTCATTTATTATAATCATGCTGTGCTTTTTATGTTTCAATATATATGCTGTCTGTTGATCATTGCATTGTTCTGTCTATATGTGTATATTCTGTGTGGACAGGGGATTTACCAACAAGACGACCAAGAACTACTCCTAGCCCTACAACAACTACAGGTAAATCACTAAGCTAGAAACGTTTGATAGCATAAACCAAATCCTTATGGATGATTGCCAGTAAACCATTTTCAAGTTTTTGAACTTGAAAAGCATTAACTTTTTTACACATGGCCTTTTCATGTCAAATCATTGCTTTGTATGTATCAATATATATATTCTTTCATGTGTTCTGTCTATATGTGTATATTCTGTGTGGGATAGGATTACTAAAAGAGCAACCAAGAAATACCACTCTCACCACAAACACTACTGGTAATTCATCAAACTAGAAACCTGAAAAATGGAAGTCCAACCACAATATTGACCTTGCGATTGAAATGATAAAGTAAGAAATTATAGTATGATTGCCAGTGAAACAACTTTCTTCTAAAAGACTAAAAGAAAAGTATGAAATTTAAAAACTATAGGAACTGCAGGAGCCGATCCCACCCTTCCAAAGAAGCAATACATACTTTTAGCTAATATCAATGATTTAAAAGAAAAAATTATGTTGCACCCACAGACTACCACTGGACTACAGACTCCTGGCTTGGGATATGCATGTAAATATTGTGACTGGCCAAAACATGATTCAGCTGGCTCATCACCCCCTCACTTGGTCTCCATGTCAAAAGCTATGTAGTATATTGTCATTTAATAATCATTGCTTTATATATATCAATATATATGCTTTTCTGTAAATGTATTGTATTGTATTGTCTATATGAATATATTCTGTGTGGATAGGGGTTCCACGACCAAGACCACCAAGAACTACTCCTAGCACTACAACAAGAGGTAAATCCCAACCATAATATTAATAATGAATGATTGCAAGTATAGTTTGATAACCTGAAAAACAACACAATTTTTTCTTGGCCTTTACATATCAAAAGCTATAATACATTGTCATTTATTAATCATTGCTTTGTGTGTTTCAATATATATCCTTCCTTTTGTTCTGTCTGTATGTGTATATTCTGTGTGGGATGAGGTTACTGATAAAGCGACTAAGAAAAATCACACACTACAACTACAGGTTAATCAACAATCTCAAAACTTGAAAAATGATGTTGAACCACAATATTTACCTTGCAATTGCAATATAGAAGTTAAAGTATTCACCAAAAGACCAAAGGAAAAGTATTGAACTTAAAACGTATAGGATCTACAATTAGCAAAATAACTTTTATATCATTAATTTAAGAAAATTCATTTGGCACCTAAAGACTACCTCTGGACTATAGGGTCCTGGTTTAGGACATGCATGTAAAGATTGTGACTGGCTAAAGTTTCAGCTGACTCTACCCCCTCTCTTGGTTTCCATGTCAAAAGCTATGTAGTATAATTATCCGTTGCTAATCATTGCTTTATATGTAACACTATGTATGCTTGTCTGTTAATGTATTGTATTGTATTGTCTATATGTGTATATTATGTGTGGATAGGGGTTCCACGACCAAGACTACCAAGAACTACTCCTAGCACTACAACAAGAGGTAAATCCTTAAACTACAAACCTGAAAAATTAATTCCTACCACAATATTTACCTTCTGATTGCAATACAAAAGTAAGGGGTAATATTATGATTGCTGAGGAAACAACTATCAAACAAAAGACCAAAGTTAAAAATTAAGCTCAGCGTTCTCAAAATCTTGTTTATTATGGTGGTTATTCATATCACCAAGACTACAAATCTGGTGATCCTGTATTTGCAGTTAAATTCTGGCTTTCAATTATCTCCATACATATGGGTATTTTTCTTATACTGTACTGCAAAACCACTATCCCAGGTGAGGGGGAGGGTTTGGCGTCATCAAACTAGTTTAACCCCGCCACATTCTGTATGTGCCTGTCCCAAGTCAGGAGTCTGTAATTCAGTGGTTGTCGGTTGTTGCTGTATATCATTTTTTTGTTTGTTCATTGTTTTGTACATAAATCAAGCCGTAAGCTTTCTTGTTTAAATTGTTTACTTTTGTCCTTTCGGGTCTCTTATAGCTGACTATGAGGGTTGGGTTTTGCTCATTGTTGAAGGCTGTACGGTGACCTATGATTGTAAATTTCTATGTCCTTTGGTCTATGAAAAAGATTAGGCCAATTTGCACAATAGTTATATGGTTGAATATCAAATATTGAAATAATAGTACCTTTAAATTAAAAACTTCACTAAATACAGGACAGCCTATAAAGAAATACCACTTTAAACTTTTAGTTGGACATCAGGACCATTACTTCACTCAATATTGGCTGACCTACCAGATATTTGGTGGTGGGGACTGCCAATTTTCCAGAACACTGTATAACTACATGTCACTATAAGGTCTTCAGCCATAATAAAAACGCTTCCCTATATACAGAAAGCACTATATACATTAAGCTTATACCATCAAACAAATTTATCTATTTCAAAAGCTATGTAATATATTGTCTACTATAAATAGTCATTGCTTTATATGTATCAATATATACGCTTGTCTGTTAATGTCTTGTATTGTATTGTCTATATGTGTATATTATGTGTGGATAGGGGTTCCACGACCAAGACCACCAAGAACTACTCCTAGCACTACAACAAGAGGTAAATCATTAAATAACACACCTGAAAAATTAATTCCTACCACAATATTTACCTTCTGATTGCAATACAAGAGTGAGGGGTGATATTATGATTGCTGAGGAAACAATTATCAAACAAAAGACCAAAGATAAAAATTAAGCTCAGAGTTCTCAAAATCTTCTTTGGTCTGGTGGTTATTAGGATCACCAAGACTACAAATCTGGTGATCCTGTATGTGCAGTAAAATTCTTGCTATCTATAATTTACATATAAAAATAAGGAGATTTGGTATGAATGCCAAATTAGACAACTATCCATATAAGTTCAAATAAAGTGAATGTAGCAATTATAGGCACTAATACGGCCTTCAACAATGCGAAAAACCCATACCGTATAGTCGGCTATAAAAGGCGTCGTCATACATGTCGGTATGAATAAGATAAGACCAATTTGCAAAATACTTATATGGTTTAATATCAAATATTGAAATACTAGTACCTTTTAATCAAAAACTCCACTAAATACAGGACAGCCTATCAAAAAATACCCACTTTAAACTTTTAGTTGGACATAAGAACCACTACTTCACTCAATATTGGCTGACCTACCAGATTTTTGGAGGTGGGGACAGCCAATTTTTGAGAACACTGTATAACTATATGTCACTATATGGTCTTCAACCATAGTATAAACGCTTCCCTAAAGAAAGCACTATATACTTTAAGCTTATGACCTCAAACAAATATATCTATTTCAAAAGCTATGTAATAAATTGTAAATTAATAGCCATTGCTTTATATGTATCAATATATATGCTTGTCTGTTAATGTATTGTATTGTATTGTCTATATATGTATATTATGTGTGGACAGGGGTTCCACGACCAAGACCACCAAGAACTACTCCTAGCACTACAACAAGAGGTAAATCATTATACTACAAACTTTTGAAACACCTAATCCCAACCATAATGGATGATTGCAAGTATAGTTTTATCAAGTTTTGTAACCTGAATATTTTTTTCTTGGCCTGCTATATAACATATCAAGACTTCAACAAAATTTAAGGAAGTAAGATATATTGATTGCACATGTGGGTCTCTAACATTTAGGTTTTTCAATAGTAAGAATTCTTAAATATCAATAATTTTGTCAAACATGAGAGGAATTTTATTAATCTGAGACATAATTGACAAGATATTTCATGATCAAAAGACAGTACATATCAAGCCAAATTTTTCAACAACAAAATATTTTTCATATTCTACTGATAAATGATAGGGCTTAATGTTTTTGTGTAATAATGAATTTTCCAGACCACTCAATTTTATGAAACTTTTGAAAGCTTTTTAATCATTGAGCAATGAAATACATTTGTTTTTTTCTTCTATCATTTTTCAGTATTTTACTGATGAATAGACTTGTTTTTTTTAGCAGTGAACATTAGGTACTGGCTGGGGTTAAAAAAATATATATCAATAACTTTGTTAAACCTTAATATAATGTTATGAAACTTGGACAAAGGCTAATGTTCAAGATCAAGAAATAGAATCTGAAAAAAGGTTTAAAAAAAAAATTCATGTGTTACTAATATATATGGACTTATAATTAGTTGACACTAAGGTTTTGCATTGACAGCAGCTATTGCATGGGAGACAACAGGTTCAATGGAACCATTTACAGTTTTTTTAATCATTGCTTTTCATATTTCAATATATACGCTGTCTGTTGGTCATTGTTGATGTATTGTATTGTTCTGTCTAAATATATATATTCTGTTGTCAACAAGACAACTCAAGAACAACTCCATGAACTTCACAATTTGTTTTTGAAAAAATGAAGTTCGTCCAGAATATATCTACCGGCGTACTATACACAGCTAAATACGGTATACCTTGTGATTGCAATATAAAAGAGGAAATATCTGGTATGATTGCCTATGAAACATCCACTAAAAGTAGAAATGAAAAGCATTTAACAATTACATGTGCCTTCAACCATGTGCAAAACCTATAACCATAAAAGAAGTTACAATTTATGCTAATAATGAAAAACAATCCGTACAGAAGGCAACCAACAACCACTGGACCACAGTGTCCTAACTTAGTTGAGGCACATTTTTGGTAGTGTTGGTCATCAATTCTTCTGTAATTTTGGTCCTCATTTCAAAAGCTATATATAACATCATCAACACATTTACAAGGATGATTTTTCTCAGTTGTCTAACTTATTTCAGTTATTATTAGTCTTGAAATAAACAAAAATCTGTACTTTGTAAGATCTTTTTGAAAGTGGGGTGGAAGTGTTTTCAGATAAATTTCAAAAACTTTCAATTAATTTTATTTGAGCAAAATCATCCCTGTAGTTTTATAATCATTGCTTTTATATGTAACACTGTATGTGCTTTCCTGTTAATGTACTGTATTGTATTGTAATATATATGCTTATCTGTTACTGTATTGTATTGTATTGTCTATATGAATATATTCTGTGTGGATAGGGGTTCCACGACCAAGACCACCAAGAACTACACCTAGCCCAACAATAACTACAGGTAAATCACACAAACTATTATAAATAACTTGTGAAAAATGGAGTTTGATTGAAATATCAAATTTAAATATCGCATCATTGTGAGGTCAATAATAAAAAAATCGTCTTTGAAACAATTATATCTCATTAACATGGACCAATCTGTATTTTTTTTCATTGACTTGGTGTTTTTAATATGTCTCATTAAATTTTGATTAATTTTATATGAAAAAGTAAATATTTTAAGCATACATTCTTAAGAATATTTCTACACTGCTACTCTTTTGTCTTTTCTCATTGAGTGACCCACACATCCTTTTTCAAACCAAAACCTTGTGACTGTTTATATGTTTGCTAAATAGTAGTTACCCCATTAAAGTCTTTTTATGATAGTAGTGCAGGCATTATGTTTTCTGGAATGTGTGTCCGTTCATTTGTTTGTTCGTTTGTCCTTTCGTTTGTCCTTTTGTTCGTCTGTCCGTTCGTCCGTCTGTCCCGTGTCAGGTTAAAGTTTTTGGTCAAGGTAGTTTATGAAGAAGTTATAGTTGCATTCACTGGTAACTTTGCATACATAGTCAATATGATTGGGACTTTCTAAAAAGTATGGCAAATTTGGGTTTTGGTCCAAATTTTACGGTTCATTGAACATAAAAATGGGATTGTGTGAAACAGCTTTTTTTTATGAAGTTGAAGTCCAATCAACTTAAAACTTAGTACACATGTTTTCTATGATATGATCTTTCTAATTTAAATGCCAAATTAGAGTTTTTACCCCAATTTCACGGTCCACTGAACATAGAAAATGATAGTGCGAGTGGGGCATCCATGTACTATGAACACATTCTTGTCTAAATTTCATTTTGCTGTATAACCAACTCAAATTACCCACAATCCTTTAGGTTCTGTAAATGTCTTACCTGAAGGGAGATAACTCTTGGAAATTCAATAAGTGATGGACAAAGTCTGAAGAAAATATCATTTCTGAGTGTGGATGTGTTCCTCATATTATGATTGTCTTCTTATGTCTTACATGTATTGTAAATATCTGTTCCTTTATCTTTACAGCTGCCCTTACTGCACCCCTCAAATACATTGTAAATATCTGTTCCTTTGTCTTTACAGCTGACATTACAACACCCCCTATAACTGTACCAATGTATTGTAAATATCTGTTCCTTTATCTTTACAGCTGCCCTTACTGCACCCCTCAAATACATTGTAAATATCTGTTCCTTTGTCTTTACAGCTGACATTACAACACCCCCTATAACTGTACCAATGTATTGTAAATATCTGTTCCTTTATCTTTACAGCTGCCCTTACTGCACCCCTCAAATACATTGTAAATATCTGTTCCTTTGTCTTTACAGCTGACATTACAACACCCCTGTAACTATACCAATATATTGTAAATATCTGTTCCTTTTATTCAAAGCTGCCCTTACTACATCCCCTGTAACTTTACCAATGTATTGTAAATATCTGTTCCTTTTATCTTTATATCTACCCTTACTGCACCCCTGTAACTTTACCAATTTATTGTGAAATCTTTACAGCTGCACTTACTGCACCCCTTTAATTATACAAATATATTGTAAATATCTGTTCCTTTTATCTTTATATCTGCCCTTACTGCACCCCTGTAACTTTACCAATTTATTGTGAAATCTTTACAGCTGCTCTTACTGTACCCCTATTATTATACAAATATATTGTAAATATCTGTTCCTTTTATCTTTATACAACTGTCCTTACTACATCCCCTGTAACTATAACAATGTATTGTTAATATCTTCCTTTATCTATACAGATGCCATAATTACATCCCTTATAACTGCCAATGTATTGTAAATTTTTGTTCATTTTTCTTTACAACTTTCCTAATTACACCCCCTTGAACTACACCAATGTGATTGTAAATTTCTGTTCCTTTATCTTTACAGAAGCCATAACTAGACCCGTGGTTACAATACCAACAACCACTGAAGCACCCCATGGATACGATTTGGTTGTTGTCATGGATTCTTCTGTGTCGCAGCAACATTTTGGATGGTTTAAGAATTTCGCCAAAACTTTACCAGACCAACTGGATGTTGATGGGGGAGAATATAGAATTGGACTGATGCGGTACAGTACAACAGGTGACGTCCAGTTCAATCTACAAACTTATGCCAATAACGGCGCTGGATTTAAACGTGCGGTAGACAGGGTGTCATACAGAGGAGGGGAGACCAATACAGATAAGGCCATTGATAAAGCCAGAAAACTTATGTTTAAAAAGAGACGGGGTGATAGAGACTATGCCAGGAACTTTATCTTGTTGTTGACAGATAATGACAAGAGTGCAGGTAATATGTAACAAGCTTTCTAGAATATTTTGTAAATCCTCTGGCATAATTTTCATGAATATAAGGGCTGTTCCATAAAAACATACATGGGACCCAGGGAAGGCACTTCCAAATCTCAACTATGGGTGGGTGTCATCTTTGTTTATGCATAGTGGAAATATAAATGAAATTCTAATTTGCCTCTATAGGTGGTTACCCCATTTTTGAAGTGCCTTCCCTGGGTACCATTTATGTTTTAATGGAACAGCCCTACTCTTTTTATTTAGAGATACTTCTAGAATACACATTTCAATTAAATTTCTTATTTTTAATGCCCAGCTAGTATTTATTCAAATGAACTTATTGCAAAATTCTCTGATCTGTTTTTATTTTGCTGTTGTCCTTTTATACTGCAGTGGATCACTTCCTGTGTGATTTTTGTACAATACTAGGAAATACCAGTTTCAGTGGATTATTGGGTAAAGGAGAACGATGAATTTCAATTTTGAACCAATTACAAATTTTCTTTAGGCTTGTATGCACACTTTTGCAAAACCAATATATTGCTGTTGTATGTTAAATTTACAGCTGGAACACTTCCTGATGTATTTATTTCCTAAGTGATTTTTATTCCCCTGTCGCAGAGGGAGAGTGTTATCTTTGTCCGTCTGTATGTCTGTCCCTACGTACATACCTCCTGAATTTTTTTGTTTTTTGTTCTCTAACTCAAGTTTGCCTGAAACCAATGCTATGAAACTTATACACTATGTTTATTACCACAAAACTCAAATCTAGATCTTCTTTGGGTGGCATCACTTTTACCGTTCTTGAGTTATGTCCTTTATAACGTTTTATACAAGTGGAGGCATCATCTGTGTCTCATGGACACATTCTACATTTATTTGTATTATAAGGAGATTTGGTATTATTGCAGATAAGACAACTGTATATTGATCAGTCACATTCAATGTCAATTTCACTATACATCAATCACTATTCTTCATGACCATGCACAGGCTTGTTTATGGATGGGAAAACTTGATAGTCTTGTTTACAATTTAATGGCTATAATTGTAGCAAAATTAAGCTATATTAACTTAGCCCTTCATCAGTTTCTAAGTGCCATCTAAAAATGTTGATATTCGATGTTTTTCTGACACTGACGTAATATTTTATTTGTTTATCTAAGCAACTCTAGACATAATGTTTATTCCCCCAGCCGCAGCATCCTTAAGTACATCCCAAAATTGGTTTCCATTCTGTAACTTTAGTTTGCCTCATTCAAATGTTATGAAACTTGTACACTTTGCTTATTATCACTAAACACAGATCAAGTTCGGGTTGCCTCACTTTTACCGTTCTTGAGTTATGTCCCTTTATAACTTTATATGCAAGTGGGGCATCATCTGTGTCCCATGGACACCTTCTTCATTTATTTTCTTTTTAAAATAGACTAATATTGTATATGTTTATCTTAGCAACTCTTGAGACATTTTCTCTATCTATGTAGATACCAACAGAGTCTGGGAAGCAGCTGAGAAGGCAGAAGATGAAGAAATCTTTATCTACACTGTTGGACTGGACATTGGAGACCGTACAGAGATTGATGAGACGTCATCACATCCACTCAGCACTTACGAATATTTGGTTAGAAGGGAGAGTGATTTGTATGAACTTCCAGGTCAACTCAAATATGCATTAAGAGATGGTAAATAACTATTTAGATCTCTAATAAAAAATAAATGTTAAACAATATTATGAATTAACCTTTTTATACCTCCGTTTACGGGACGTATTATAGTATACGGTTGTCTGTCCATCCTCAACATGTCGGACAATTACTCAAATACGCTTAAACAAATTTGCATGGAACTTTGGTAAATTGTTTATATCTATTGACGTGAGCTCCCTTTCGATTTTCATAATTTTTAGATTTTATGTTTTTCGAGTTATGAATTTTATTCATAAAAAGGGACGATTCTCCAGTTTTCGGACAATAGCTCAGAAGTGCCAACCAAATATTTTTAAAAGAGTAATGCCCTTTGGAAACATTAATTATATTTGAAATTGCATTGCACTAGCTCTCAATAAAATTGAGAATGGAAATGGGGAATATGTCAAAGCTTTCATTTCTCCAAATTATTTATAAAAATTTTTTTTTTAAGTTATTGGGCTTGGACAGATAAAATATGTGCAACGCAGGGGATATTGGAACTCATCATGCTCTTATAAAATAAGTCTGTTTTTATTCATCATGCTCTTATAAGTCAAATCAAGTAAAATAAGTCTGCTTTTATCCATCATGCTCTTATAAGTCAAATCAAGTAAAATAAGTCTGCTTTTATCCATCATGCTCTTATAAGTTTGAAGGAAGAACATTCTGATAACTGATTATCATCTCTATTTTCACAGAACCATTGAAAGCTCCACCAATGAGGCGACGTCCTCGGCTGACTACAACAACAACAACAACAAGTATGTGTAATTGGCTTTTAACCTGACAATGAAATATTTGCCACTGGACATAAAGAAACAACAAATAAAACTGCATTGCATCCAGTATTTTATTTGGTTTTTAACCCAACAATGAAATATTTGCCACTGGACGTTAAAGAAATAACTAATAAACAAGCCCTGCATCCAGATTTTTATAAAGAAGATCAAGCTTTTCAATAATTGTTGTAAAAATGAGTTCTGTGGCAGGACATGTTATTTTTGCAAATCTATACTATTATTGGTAGCTGCTAAGGACGACAAAATTAAAAGAAATTAAACATAGAAAGGACTCTTAATCTAATTCACTAACCACATTTATGTTAAAATACATTTTTTCCAGTTTATTTTTAATTTTTTCCAGTTTATTTTTAATGTGTAAAGTGCACCAATTTGTTTACAAACTAATATAAGAAAAGTTTGTGCTTTAATCAGTCAAGCTTAATCTCTATAATTCTTAAATTTTATTATCATTTATTTTTTAAAAATTTCCTTTGCAGATCCCCTTTATATACCATACACTAGTTTGAATTTAGTGTTTTGTTTAAGTTATCTGATAAACCCTATAAAAGATTGTCAAATATCTTGTACAAGGATAAGACTATCCAAATAATGCTTTGACAGTTTCAAAATATTGATTCACCTATCATACTGAAGCCTGTAGTTTTCTTAAGGGATGGTTAGAATATCAAAATTATAACGGAATTTCAGTTAAGGATGTTCGCTACTCTGTTTCAAAATAACAAGCTTTTTAAAAGACTGTTATAAGTTGATAGTAAATAAATAAAGGAACTTAAAAAGCAGAAAAAAATGAAGAGTCCGTGTGCTTGTTTTCGAAATATAAGCCATTGAAAATTTGGCGGGAAATGATTCTCTCTAGATTTTTCATACATTTAACATTGGCATCTTTTTTCTTTAAAAAAACTATGAAAAAAATAAAGATTTTATAGGATTTTCAAATATGGGTATCTAAACTATATGTGATAAAATTATGAAAAGAAAAGCAGGAGTTAGCGGGCAAAATTTGTAATGACTATTCATGGATAAAACCAGAGGATTCTGAATATCTGGCAAAAATTATAAAAACAAGAGGAGCGAACATCCTTTAAATGAGTCTCATTGTGAATGGATTTTCCGGAGAATTTATAACATTGCATTACTGTAAGGGGTTGGAACGTTTTCTTACCTCAAATTATTTTTTCTTAACTTTTTTTTTTCAATTTTATTTCACAGCGACAACCACAACTCCTCGACCAACGACAACACCAAAAAGAGACTCTGGATATGATTTAGTTATTGTCCTTGACTCATCAGTTAAACCAGAACATTTCCGCTGGATGAAGAGTTTTAGTAAAGCTTTATCCCGACAACTCAGTGTTGATAATGGTGAAACTAGAATTGGTGTAATGAGATATAGCACATATGCTGATAGACAGTTTGATCTGAATCGATATACCACCAGTGATGATCTTGTGAGGGGTATTGACAGGATATCCTACCGTCCTGGATCCACCAACACAGCAAAAGCCTTAGATACTGTAAGAACAAGCATGTTAAGATCTTCTAAGGGAGACAGAGACTATGCTAGGAACTTTGTGTTGTTGTTGACGGGACAGGACAAGAGCTTGAGCACTAACAATGCATGGAGAGCTGCTGAAAGGCTTGAAGACACTGGTGCTGGTCTTTATGTGATTGGTTTAGACATACAAGATGAAACAGAGTTGGATGAGCTAGCATCACATCCACTATCTACGTACCAGTTCTTAACCAGGAGTCAGTCAGAACTACTAGAACTCCCAGGACAGATAGACTCTGGATTGAAAGGAAGTGAGTAAAACAAATTATGGAATAGTATTTACACCAGTATATTATTGCCATTTAAGTAATGAGACGTGGTGTAATTGTCAATGAGACACTTACAAAACTTTAAATTGTTCAAAATACTTAGGATTTTGCAACCCAGGAATAGATTATCTGAGCTGTATTTGGCAAAATTTTTGGAATTTTAGGTCCTCAATGCTCTTCAACTTACTTTATTTACTTTTTTTAACTCTAGCTTCACTGATGAGTCTTTCATAGACAAAACGTGCATCTGGCGTACAAAACTATAAGCCTAGTATCTTTGTTGAGTGTTTAGACTACTAGTTTCCACCAAAGACCATAGGATAAGAATTTGAACAACTACTGGTGACTGATTGGTCTTTAGCAGTGAGAAATATCCCATACTAAATATAGTTAATGAAGAACAGCAATAAAAGGGCTGTTCATTTGCTTTTCATGTGTTTTTTTCTACCCCCGCTTTAAAAAAGTGGGGGTATACTGTTTTACCTCTGTCTGTCCATCCATCTGTCCATCCGTCAGTCCGTCCATCCATCCCATGAATATTTTTGTCACATCTTTCTCATCAGGAACTACATCATAAGGATTTCTGAAATTTTAGCTTCAGGGTTTATATAAGTCAGCTATACTGTATGATGCGTTTTCAGATTCATCACTCAACAACTTCCTGTTTACCGAACACTTACATCATTTCACACATAACATCCAAGTTGAAAATTTTCGTCATATTTTTCTCAGGATCTACATTACAAGGATTTCTGAAATTTGGTTTCAGGGTTTATATTAGTCAGCTATACTGTGTGATGCGTTTTCAGATTCATCACTCAACAACTTCCTGTTTACCGTCAAGTATTTAGGCAGGGGTATCATCAGTGAGCAGTAGCTCGCAGTTTCACTTGTTTTCTGTGCATATACTGATTTTGTGTCATGGATAGATATCCTTTGTTTTTCTGTTGTATATTATTTATCATGTTTATGTTGTATAATATTTTACTTTTGTTGTAGTGTCTAAAATTCCAAACTGGCCACCATTCAGGCGAAGACCATATATTACAACTACGTTACCCCCTACAACAACATACCGACCACGCCCACCAGGATGTAAGTATACACCTACTAGGATATAAGTACAGGCCTATCAGGATATTAGTACATACCCCCATAGGATGTAATTGCAGGCCTGCCAGGTTATTAATTCAAGCCCCATTAGGATGTAAGTACATGCCTATCAGGATTTTAGTACATGCCCCATTAAAGACGTGAGTACATATGCCCATCAGGATATTAGTACATGCCCCATTAGGATATAAGTATATGCCTATCAGGACGTGAGTACATGCCCCATTAGGATGTAAGTACATGCCCATGGGGATATTAGTACATGCCCCATTTAATCTGATATAAATACAGGCCTATCAGGATGTTAGTACACAAGAAGCTACTGCTGTGTCTGTATTAAAGGTCTAAACAAAATATTACATGGTTTTGATTAATTAAAACAACATTTTTGATTGCATGGAATATTATTTTATTATGCAAATAAACATTGTTTTTACATCACAATAAATATTACTAGAACTACTGAAAGGGTGAAAAGAGTTTGGTTTCTTTGTTGAAGAGGGAGAATACATGTATAACTCTCTCAAAGGGGTCCAAAGGTGGAGATTTCATGTTTTTTATGGAAAAAGAGGGAATCTCCATTCTATATAACTAGTGTTGGGCAGGTATGTCAAACTTTGCTTATATCTACCAATGTTTATAGATGGTGTTCTTTTTTTACAGCATGTACTTCAGAAGCAGATGTGATTTTTGTCCTGGATTCATCTGGTAGTGTTGGGCAGTATAACTTTTATAATGTTCTCAATTTTACCAACAATGTTGTGAATGATCTGGAAATTGACAGCGGTAACTTCAGGGTGGGAGCTGTCACTTTTAGTGATAATGCAAGACAAGAATTTTACCTGAACTCTTATAACAAAAGACAAGACATAGAGAGAGCTCTGTCTAGGATTCGTTACGTCTATGGTTCGACTCATACAGCTGCTGCTCTACGAATGGTCAGAGAGACAATGCTGACAACAACACATGGAGACAGACCTGGTATGATTTACTTAGTTAAAATCGTTAGTGGACTTGAGGATGTTCGCTTCTCTTGTTTTTGAATTTTTGCCAGATATTCAGAATCCTCTGGTTTTATCCATGTAGTGCTATTAAAACTTTTGCCCACTAACCCCTACTTTTCTTTCCATAATTTGATTACATATAGTTTAAAATGTCGTCTTTAAAAATCTTTTAAAATCCTTGTTATTTTTCATCATTTTTGAAAGAAAAAAGGTACCTATGTTAAATGTATGAAAAGTTTAGAGAGAATTATTTCCTGCCAAATTTTCAATGGCTTATATCTCGAAAAAAACAAGCACATAGACCCGTTATTTTTTTCTGCTTTTTTAGTTTCTTTATTTATATGCTATCAATTTATGACAGTCTTTTAAAAAGCTTGTTATATTGAAACAGAGTAGCGAACATCCTTAACACTTCTATAGTAACATTAATTTTCGTGGTGTTAAACTTGAACTTCATGATGTTGTCTCTTAGTTTTATTTCATGGGGATATATTTTTATAGTTTTATGTTTGTGAAATGTAGGTTTTAATTTCATGGATATTATCTATCTGCCGAATAATACACCAACAATAATTTCTGCTTTTTCAGCGTATATCTCTTGAATATTATATTCATTTCATCTGCCCATTACTTTTGCTAGCAAAAATTCAACCATACATATGTCATCAACAAAACAAGTATTGGGACTTTATTCATAAAAAGTTTCCAGTTTTCAGATAACTCAAAAACACTTTGAGCAGTTTTCATGTAACTTTGGTGACTTGTTTATATCTATTGAAATAAGGTCTCTTTTGTTTTTCATAAATTTCTGGTATGACATTGCAGAGTTATGAAAAGACTTTGGTTGGCACATGTCAAAATTGAATAACAGATGCTCGTAGTAATTTCTGGATTTACAGTAATGTGTCTTCCAATGACTTCAATACCTTGTATTGTGAAATAGCACACTAAAAGTCAGGCTCAGCATGTCTGTCTCAATAGTTCTAAAAGTAGGAACCATACCATTGCAAATAAACAGATTGCATAGAATTATGCATCTAATGACTTTAACAGCAATAGTCTTAGTATCAATTTTATTAGATTTATAATTATAGTATTTACATATTCAGGAGTACCAAATGTGGTTGTTATAGTAACAGATGGAGAATCCAATATCCGGCACACTGAGACTTTACCAGAAGCTAAATTACTGAAAAACATGGGTGCAACCTTGATCACTGTAGCTGTTGGCTTTGATCAAATGACTCCAGAGTTGACTGGATTGACATCTGAGCCTGTGCAAGATAATTTGATACAAGTCACAAATTATGATGCACTTTCACAGTTGAGAGAAAAACTGGTGGAGCCTTTATGCAAAGGTAATTTTGAAAAATTAAAAACTTATCTCTGATGAACAACTCAGACTTTTCTATGCCCCTACCAAAGTGGGCAATAATGTTTACCCTTGTCGTTTTGTATGTCCGTCCATACATCCAATCTCTAACTTTAGTTTGCCTCAACTAACTGTTATAAAACTTATTCATGTTGCTTGTAACCATCAAACACAGATAAAAAATTTGGGTGTTGTCACATTTACCTTTCTTGAGTTATGTCCCTTTATAAATGGAAACATTGCTTAATTTGCCAATTCTGCACTTTAAAAAAAATAGGCAAAGGATACCAAAAGGACATTCATACATCATAAGTGGAAAATAAACTGACAACACCATGTCTAAAAAAGACAAACAGACAAACAGACGAAAAACAGTACACAAAACACAACATAGAAAACCAAAGACTGAGCAACTTAACTTTACTCTGCCTGTTACCACCAAACACAGATCAAGTTTGACTTTGTTTGAATTAGTACATGGACTCTTGCATATTTAGGTGTAATACCACCATTGATTTTCCCCTATTAGTCTTTGTTAAATTTGCACTTTTCAAAAAATTGTGCAGAATTTATCTTTGTTTCAAATAAAGAAATACTTGGCATGAGTAAAGTTCTATCCTGTCCAGTACTATGAGAAAATAACCGTCACTGGAAGTTAACCAATCAAATTTTCCCCCTTTTTTAACCTGTGTACATACAAGCTTTAGTAACCATGTAACCTCAAGTTTCCAAAATATTCTATAGAAACCCCAAATAAAAAAATAATGGTGCTTTGAAATACCCAAGATATATGTTTATGACTCTGAAATGTTTTACTGCAATGAAATGTAGGATCAATTACCTACAACTGTCAAATTCAAGGGAATATTTTTTTTCGAACTCCTTTCGTATGCAACCGGATGTGGCGTACTATGATTTGGTGGTATTACACCTTTACAGTGGCATGATAAATTTGAGCCTTTGCCAATTCTGCTCTATAATCTGCACCCCTGCCTAGCAATTTTAATTTTGGAGTAAATGATCACAGATAATACATGACTTAATTTGGTACCTAATTAACATTAGGTCTGACAGAAAACCATCAATAAATGCAATGCAATAAAACGCACACTCACTTCATTTTCTCATCCTTAAAATAAGCATAAGTGCAAAAACAATGCCAGTTAAAAATAAGTAACAGCTTAAGGATGCTACACAAATGCCTTCATGTCACCTTAACAAAAATAATTAACACACATCTTCACAAGTATAAAAATATAAAAAAGAAGATATGGTATGACTGCCAATGAGACAACTCTCCACAAGAGACCAATAATAATGATAATGAAATATGTAGACAGCTCTCTCACAAGCAAAAAACCCCTAACTGTAAAAATATAAGTATAAAATTGAGAATGGAAATGGGGAATGTGTCAAAGAGACAACAACCCGACCATAGAGCAGACAACAGCCGAAGGCCACCAATGGGTCTTCAATGCAGCGAGAAACTCCCGCACCCGGAGGCGTCCTTCAGCTGGATCCTAAACAAATATGTATACTAGTTCAGTGATAATGGACGTCATACTAAACTCAAAATTATACACAAGAAACTAAAATTAAAAATGATACAAGACTAACAAAGGCCAGAGGCTCCTGACTTGGGACAGGCGCAAAAATGTGGCGTATATTTCATCCTTTAAAATTAATTGTGCAACAGTTTCTGTCTTTATCTTCAAAACTTATATATTTTGGAATTATATTTTTTTTCAGATATTAATTTATGTAGTAAGAATCCTTGTAAGAACAATGCTGAGTGTATTGATGGCTTGAGGAGTTATAGGTGTAACTGTCCTGATGGATACTTTGGTGCAAATTGTGAAAAGGGTGAGTTGTTGTTAATTGAGCTAGTATCCTATTGATTAATTCATTGGTGATTTAGGTCACTTTCTGTGCTATTGGCTACTTTGTGGCAGTCAGTTCTGACTGAACCATTATCTTAAATTTTTTATTGGATATTATACAGATTTTAAGTTTTTTTTCTCTCTTTTCATTTTTTGTTTTTTTGTAGCGGGGGAAAAGGGGGGTTAATATCCAATTTTACTTGTGAATTTTTAGATCAGAATACTCAGTTTGTGTCAAGGAAAATTTTTTTTTGATTTTTTTGCCAAAATTTTCTAATTTAATTGATTTGATTTTAATACACAGATGATGACTCTAAAATCTAAACCAAGAATTCCAAACATGGTACCTATTTTAAAGTATTTGCATTAAAAAGTTATTGCACAGGAAACAATTCAGATGTTGACAAATTTTTGTGTTAGTCAATTCTAATGTATTTATAAGGGTTCACTTGGAACATGTATATCTGTGCTGTCTTTGCAAACTGATAACCAAATAATGGTGTTGAGTTTTCTGTTTTAATCACTTATTTTTATATCAAATAGTCAGATTTTGCCTAATTACACTATTTTACTGAGTTTTCTGTCAATTTATGGCTATATACATGTAAAATTCATGGATTCAACATTTGTATGAAATATATTTTAATTTAGGGGCAAATTAAGCCCCAACTTGTTCCTTCTTTTCAAATTACTGATAATAATGAGTGATCCTGAAATCACTTGTTTAGGTAGTGCATATGATTGGTAAAAAAGTATAAATAGCATGGTTTTGTTTTATTTTTAGCCTGCTCTGGACAAGCTGATGTTGTATTCATGTTGGACTCTTCCACCGCTGTAGGCCGTCCTACTTTCGAAAGAATGAAAAGGTATTCTGAAACCCTCGTCACTGAGATGAATGTAGAAGACTGTGGCGTTAGGGTAGGATTCATGAAGTACAGTTCTGCACCAATGATCCAGTTCAATATGAACCGATACACTGATACCGATACAATCAACCGGGCGGTGGATAGTATCCATTACACCAGTGGACGTGCAAACATGGCTGACGCTTTCAGAGAAGTTAGAACAAGGATGTTTAACAACGCAGGGGATCGTGCAGATGTCAAAAATGTTGTTTTCTTACTGTCAGATGGGTCGACAGACATTAAAAAAGAGGATACAATGATGGAAGCGGAAATGACAATAAATGCTGGCATTAGTATTATTCCAATTGGTGTACAACTTAGACACAGGGAAGAGCTAGAAAATATTGCTACTGCTCAAGGTGTTAATGTTGAAGTTATCAACGATGACAATGATCTTCTGGGTCTGAGTGATCAGGTTCTAAGACCAGTCATGGAGTGTATGTTATTAATTATATATAATATTTATAGTCTTCACAATAAACAATAAGCATTATGGCCCAGGCCAGTAAAATTTTTCTGAAAAAAGACCTGACAAGCCATAACAATTTGAAGAAATTTATAAAAGACTGAGTTTCAGACTTCTAAGTCAAAACTTTTTATTTGGCCTAAGTGTAGGGGGTTGGGGTTGGAACAAGTTGCAAGGTCAAAATCAAAAACTTTGACAAATATTTTATTGGCTGTTTTTGCGGTAAATACTCGCCATTTAGGACTAAGAGCAGAGATAATTAGCTATAAATCAGCAAGAAATGTGACATGTCTTCTGTGGACTTATTTTGTTAACTAAACCTGGTAATGTCCTTTACATTTTTTGTTCTGATATTGTAATGTTCTCCACTGTACATTTTAAGCTAATTCATCCATCAATCAATAGTTTATACTGACTGGTAAGAAACAAGTTTTGGTATTTACTTATACTTTCTTATTTATTTAAATATAACATGCACATAACATAAAATTTGTGAGGTTTTCTCTAATACTGGCTACTAGTTTAATATTTGTAAGTTTTGAAGGAGGTAGAAGCTATATAAGAATCTCCATTTCTGGCCGTCAATCTGCTTGTTCCACTTATATGCCTTGCAAATGCAAAATCCAAAACAATTAGATGGAATAATAATGTATCTTAACACAGTTTGAAAACACTACCTTGGGATGTGCATTAAGGAATCTTATGCAAGGGGAGATAACTGAATATATTTTCTTCAATAAACCATAAGTACCATGTGTGTGGGGAGTGGGGTTTCTATAAATAATTAATTATTTTCACAGTGTTACAATTATTTAGCACCTTTATCATTGCAGTAAAAGATTATTGTGATGGAAACCCATGTGAACATGGAGGTAGTTGCCAAAGTGATGCCCTGGGTTACAGATGTGACTGTGTTCCTGGATACACAGGAGAGAATTGTAACAGAAGTAAGTTCAAATCCATATACTGTAAATTCTGAAATTATTGTGTGCATTTATTATTGCGATTTTTAAAGAATGGACAAAACTACGGGATTTATTTTTGCAATTTTAGGAAAATCTGCATTCAGATATATGTATCAAGATCAGAATGCAAGTTCTAATTATACCCCCGCTTTAAAAAAGTGGGGGTATACTGTTTTACCTCTGTCTGTCCGTCTGCCCCATGAATATTTTTCGGCCTATTTTTCTAAGGAACTACATCATGAGGATTTCTGAAATTTGGTTTTAGGGTTTATATAAGTCAGCTATACCGTGTGATGCATTTTCAGATTCATCACTCGACAACTTCCTGTTTACCGTCAAGTATTGGGGCGGGGGTATCATCAGTTTCACTTGTTATTACTATACTTGCCTGGTCTCATTATTGGTATTAATAAAAACCTTGCAGTAATCTCTGAATAAATAGAGAATATCATATGGCTTTTTCAATATCACATCCGTATCAACCCGAGACACCAATATAATCCCAAGAGCTCTGCTCGAGGGATTATATTGGTTGAGGGTTGATACGGTGTGTGATATTGAAAAAGCCATATGATATACACTTTATTATATACATATACCTCACGTAGATGTTTTTTTATGTGACATGACGTCATACAGGTAAGGAGGTTTGAAATGACGTCATACAGATTATAGGTTTGACATGACGTCATACAGATTAGGGGTTTGATAAAGCCTTTGCAACAGTGACTGTAATCGATGATGTGACGTCATACAGATTAAAGGTGTGATAAAGCCTTTGCAACCGTGCTGATATCGATATCATCACGGGTGGCTGATACAGCACGCTTGCCAATGATTGTATTACACATACAATTTATCTGTATTTACTACTAAGTATATAATAAACAGTAATTACATTGCTTGAATGTTTCTTACTTAAGAATCTATACTTTAAATTAGATGACAAAGATGGAGAGGCATTCTCAAATTAAATTTTATTTCCCAATAAAATTCAACATTCATAATAGCACATGCTTCCCATGACAACTTCACAACAATTGATAGGTAAAACAAACGAAAAATTTGTTATAACAAATTATTTCATGTGGTTGTAGCATAAAAATGTAATTGTATGAACTGAACGCTTCTATTTGTAAGTTTATAGGGTTTTAAAAGCATTGATCATGCACACATATTTAGTATGAAGTGCTTGATGAATAAAATTACAAAAAGAAGCATTTAATTCTAAATCAAATATGTAGAAATGGTATGAATGCCAATGAGACAACAATCTAAAAGAGTCCAAATGAAGCTGATTTATGCAACTACAAGGTACTGTACAGCCTTCAACAATGAGTAATTTTGTCGGCTTTAAAGGCCACGATATGACATTTTTTCTCAGAATCAAAAAGCGAGACATACTAAGGTATGCTGTTTTTGGCGTTGGTTGCGGCAGTGGCAATGTCAACAATGTTTGTGATTAGGTCTAGTTTATGATGAACCACTAGTGGTATGTCAATGATATTTGATATGCAGTTGTACTAGCATTGGCTCATCTCATTTCCATGGAGATTATTTGGTCTTGCCCCCTCGGTCATGGTCTTTTGACTTTGAAACTTTTGCTTAGTTTACATGTATTAAATTTTGTTATTAGGTCAGTCTAAGATGAACCACTAATGCTAAGTCAATGATATTTGGTATGCAAACGTATAAGCATTTGCAAGTCTCATTTCCATGGAGATTATATAGCCCCACCCCCTCATCATGATTCATTGACTTTGAAACTTTTACATAGTTTACAAGTTAATATTTGTGTTAAGGTTTGTCAAAGGTATTTGGTATGCAGTTGTATTAGTATTGGCACATCTCATTTCCATAGAGATTGTTCAGCCCTGTACCTTCAGTCATGGTTCATTGACTTTGAATATATGCATTACTTACATGTTAAAGTATTGCTGTTTTAATTTCAACATTTGCATTATCAAAATAACAAAAAGGTGAGACATATCTCTGTGTTAACAGTTCATGAAGTTTTCCTTAAAAACTACAAATTAGTTCTTTCTAAAATTCTGCATCAAGCTTCATGTGAGTATGTTATACCTTGTGGTGCATTTTATTATCATCCCTCATCAACTTCCTGTTTATTGAAATTGTATTTGTTCTTGCATGTAATGACCATGTATGAAATTTTTATCACATATTTTAAATTGCTTAGAGCATCCTGAAATTTGACCATGCTATACCATGTTATGCATTTTCACTTCTATTGCTCATCAACGTCCTGTTGACTTTATACTTGTAGTACTCCTAAGGGTATAATTGGTGAGCAAGAGCTGACAGTTCAACTTGTTTGGAGCTATTTTCCTAATGCTAGTAGTTTAAAGGTTTGGTTGACTTGCTCCCTTTGTATAATGTATACAAGCTGAAGCACCACCCATCTATTGTACAAGCTGAAACCCAGTCTATCTATTGATTGCACATGTCAATCTTAATTACAGTGCTTGAGCAAACATTTATACTAACAAACAAAGCAAGCAAGTCAACCAAACCTTTAAACTACAAGCAAATAGCTCTAAAATAATTTCTGTTACAGTGGTAATAAAGGTAGATACAATGAATCAATATTTGATAAATCTTCAATTAGATAGAATCCTTCAAGTGGATATTTTGGGTAGAATGGTTGTTATAATGAAACACATAAATGTAAAGACTCTTATAACAACAACACTTTAGGGATTGCTGCAATATGTTAATGAGATCCACATATTTCATGGCCATTGTGACATGTGAATTATTATTTCCTGATTTTGTACTTGAGCACAATGTTCTGTATTGTTTTTATCCTGAATTCTGCTACAGTCGTGCAATTACAAATACTTCTCCTTATCCACGATTTTCTGCATTGTTTTTATCCTGATGACATTGCTGGCTATAAGAGTCCTTGAATATGTATAATTGTAGGATGTCAAACTATGTTTATATTGTGATTTGGAATAACTTTAATTACAAAATTTTTATAATTGTAGGGTGTCAAGCCAGGGCTGATATTGTATTTGCTGTCGATACTTCAAGATATGTATCCAAACCACAGCTACGTCAAGTGAGAAGGTTTATCAAATCTATGGTCAAGAGGATGTCATTCAAGAGCAGGATGAATGCTGGAATTGTACAATTTGGACGTGCTTCTGATGTTAAATTAACGTTCAGGGAAAGTCTCAAGAAGAGGAATGTGCTTAATGCTGTATCATCTATCAGGTATTGTGAATTAGGGACCAGCTCAAAATATAATGCCTGTGCTATCAGGTATTGTGAATTAGGGACCAGCTCAAAATATAATGCCTGTGCTATTAGGTAATGTGAATTAGGGACCAGCTTAGGGACCAGCTCAAAATATAATGCCTGTGCTATCAGGTATTGTGAATTAGGGACCAGCTCAAAATATAATGCCTGTGCTATCAGGTATTGTGAATTAGGGACCAGCTCAAAATATAATGCCTGTGCTATCAGGTATTGTGAATTAGGGACCAGCTTAGGGACCAGCTCAAAATATAATGCCTGTGCTATCAGGTATTGTGAATTAGGGACCAGCTCAAAATGTAATGCCTGTCCTATCAGGTATTTTCAATTAGGGACCAACTCAAAATATAATGCCTGTCATATCAGGTATTGTGAATTAGGGATCAACTCAAAATGTAATGCCTATGCTATCAGGTATTGTAAATTAGGGACCAACTCAAAATATAATGCCTGTGCTATAAGGTATTGTGAATTATGAAGAAACTATTTTAAAATATGTTGTCTCTGCTGCTAGGTATTGTAGATTTCTAGGGATCCTCTCAAGACATGTTGTCTCTGCTGTTAGGTATTGTAGATTACTACACTACAAAAGTCTAAAAGTCTGAAAAGACCAGTTTTTGTCTTAATTTGCATGAACTTTTTCTCGACATTCTCCAAAAGTATGACTTGTGTCTTAATTTTTCTTGACAAATTCTCATTTATATTAAATTTGTATGAAATTTACTCGACATATTCTCGACATTCTGAATATGGTCTTAAAATTTCTAGACAAATTCTTGACATTTGAATACTGTCTTGAAATTTCTCGACATATTCTCGACATTCTTATTTTTTCTCAGTATGGCTTGACATATTTTGAATCGTGTCTTAAATTTACTTGACAGTTCTGAGTTTTACAAATCATGACCAATATTCATGATATAACTTTAATCTTTATTTCTCTTTATATGATATACTGTTGTTTCAAGTTACACTTCTTTACAACGAGAATAAAAGTTGGGCATGTAAAATAATTGAAAATTTGGGTATATAAATATTTTTACAAATGCAAATATGGCTATGAAATCTAAAGTATAAAATAATTCAAATGTGGGTGTGTTGATATAAAATATATTTTTTCTGGGTATGAATTAAGTTTTATGATAAACTTGATGAAATTTTGATACTACAGAATCATATTTGGGACAAACTAGAATTAAAATTGGCATTGAACTTTTGTTTCAAATTCGAAATTTTGACAAATCAAATCTTATGGAAACATCGAATTTTCAACTTTTCAAATCTCGAAATTTTGACTTTAATTGGAAATTTTAGCTATTAGAAATTTTGAAATTTCGGCTTTTAGAAAGTTGAAAGTTTTGACTTTTTGAAAAGTCGAAATTTCAGCTTTATAAAGTCAAGATTTAGACTTTAAACTCAAAATTTCAAGTTTTAGAATCTGGAAATTTCAACTTCTCAGTATTTATATGTTTATATGTTTTAAAACTAGAAAACTGAGGAGCTCATGAGTCGTCCTGAATATGCATGGCATATTTTGCCACTTGATTTACCATTGTTTCAACAAGGCAAAGTCGTTGACCTGCTTTTGGGATACCGAACAGGACTTTTAACCCAATCATAAAACATAGGATGCAAAATGTCCTTAGATGTGACGACCCTATGACAGTCGTGGACACTAAAACATGGAATATGGGAAAATAACATTTTTTTTTCTGTCAACACGCATGCTCCTTCCGAATTAAACTCTTCAATCTTAAATGTTAATCCATATCATTATTAAAGAGAACAAAACTATTTCTGAATATAAATTGACAAAATGTTTGGATGACGCTTTATTTATTTATTTGCGTCCATGTCATCTCCTTCTAAAATTGTAATAGCTGTGTTTGAATACTTATATTAAAGTTGTAATACTTTTTAAAAAAGTCGATATTTCAAGATTTCAAAAGTCAAAATTTCAGATTACAGTCAAAATTTAGAGATTTGAAAAGTCAAAAATTTGAGTTAAAGTCGAAATTTTTAGGTTTGATATTAAGTTCGACTTCGAAACAAATATGCCCATTTTATTTTTTACTATGTCCCTATGTTTTTCTTATTGTTGATGGACGAACAGTTGTCTATAATTGCTTACACCCAATTCATTTGAACTTTGGTGGAATAGTTGTCTTATTGGCAATCATATGTAGGACTCTAAAGTGCGATGGTACTCTAAAGTGCGATGGTCACGCTAAAGTACGATGGTCTACGCTAAAGTGCGATGGTGTCAGACGCTAAAGTGCGATGGTTGTTTTTTTTAAGTGCGATCAGATATCACGCTAAAGTGCGATGGTATGACACACTAAAGTCCGATGGTGTAACGGGAATGTGGTTCAGGCAATGGTTTTCGTTTGTTGCTAAGTTCCTATTACATTTTCGTTTATTGTTTTATTTATATATCAAGCCGTAGTCTTTCTCTTTTGAATTGTTTTACACTGGTCATTTTATAACCCTATATAGCTTGTTATGCGGCATGGGCCAAGGCTTTACGTTGACGGCCGTATGATTATTAGTTGCATACATGAACGACATTTGGAGTTGGATTGATAGTTTATACTACATCTTTTTATTTTTATTTAAAGTACGATAGTTGTCCAAAAAGTGTAATGGTTAAACTGCAGTATAGTTAGTATATCCGGAATTTAGTAGAAGTCGTTTTTTAATAAAAAATAATATGTTGTGCAAGACAATGCTCCGCGTTAAAGTTCATACCTAAAGTTGCATACATCAATGACATTAGGTCGTGGATAGAGAGTTGTCGTATTGGCAATCATATTTCATAATGATACTACACATCTGTTCGTCAGGTTGCTGTCTAGATGAAGTATATTCATTATTTAACAGAAATAACAAACCATATTGTAATTTTTTTTTATAGAATTATTCAGTTAGAAAGTAACTGTTTTGGTTAAAGCTCTTTTTACAATTTTACAAATTAAGTTAACCTCTTCCAGCAACGACCAAAATAGTTCCAGATTGTGATCATTTGTTTCTCTCTACTTTCTTTTCTTGTGTAATAAAAATCCTTAATCTGGACAAACAATCTCGTCATAATGCCGTCGAACGTTGCTAACGTCAATACTTTTGCGGAAAAACGCACTTTAGCGTGTTCAAATGATTAGCACAGACCATCGCACTTTAGCGTATCAAACCATCGCACTTTAGCGTAGGCCATCGCAATTTAGCTTGACCATCGCGTTTTAGCGTCCCCATCGCACTTTAGAGTCCTACATTACCACATAACACCTCCTTATTCTTTATATTGCTATAAAGAAATATCGTGTCACTGTACTACTAGTTTAACCTAAACACGTTTCAAATTTTTGACAGAAGAAACAAGTTAACTGTATGCATGGGACTAATAGTTTGTATGTTTGCTTAGTCCAGACTCCAGGTTACGGAAATCGTATTACAGATATTTGAAATGTAAAAAGTGGAAGGGTTGAAATTCCGTGTCCTATTTGACTAACAAAAAAATACCTACAAATCGCTTATGTTGGCCCAGGTAAATAAATCGATCGAGAATTTAGTCAGTGGTAAACATGAATGTGACACTATGTTTTGATTTTTTCATGAACTTAAATATTGATATGAATAGATCTTTTCAAAGCTCTGATAGGGACAATGCAGAATATTTAACCACGTGGCTATCACCAGAAGAGTAAAAAATTTACATTCAGAGTGGTACACTGAATAAATTCCACAACGGCTTGCCATACGAAAGAGTTGCTTAGTCTATATGTTTGCCAAATATTGGTCAATGCTAATTTGTTTTGTTCCTAATACGCTTCCGTAGGATTGAGTCCATTCAGATGAATCAAATTATAATTTGAAATTATTTTAGCAAATTTAATGCACGATTTTAAAAGAAAATTTAATTCAAAATTCAATATTTAATGGTTTATAATCATTTTTTGACAGAAGAAACAAGTTAACTGTATGCATGGGACTAATAGTTTGTATGTTTGCTTAGTCCAGACTCCAGACTCCAGGTTACGGAAATCGTATTACAGATATTTGAAATGTAAAAAATGGAAGGGTTGAAATTCCGTGTCCTATTTGACTAACAAAAAAATACCTACAAATCGCTTATGTTGGCCCAGGTAAATAAATCGATCGAGAATTTAGTCAGTGGTAAACATGAATGTGACACTATGTTTTGATTTTTTCATGAACTTAAATATTGATATGAATAGATCTTTTCAAAGCTCTGATAGGGACAATGCAGAATATTTAACCACGTGGCTATCACCAGAAGAGTAAAAAATTTACATTCAGAGTGGTACACTGAATAAATTCCACAACGGCTTGCCATACGAAAGAGTTGCTTAGTCTATATGTTTGCCAAATATTGGTCAATGCTAATTTGTTTTGTTCCTAATACGCTTCCGTAGGATTGAGTCCATTCACATGAATCAAATTATAATTTGAAATTATTTTAGCAAATTTAATGCACGATTTTAAAAGAAAATTTAATTCAAAATTCAATATTTAATGGTTTATAATCATTAAATAGTTCGAACTTTCCTTAATTACTTGTCTGGGTCGATATAAGATGGTCCGAGTTGACTTAACATAGTTGGTCCAAAATTTCTCCGGACCGTTTATGGCTAAACTAAACTTTGAAGAATCAAGGATTAATTTGGTATAGTAAGATACTCTTTTGGTGCAACTAAGTTGGAATACCCTGAATAATCCCCCATGTAGTTTAATTTTGATTTATTTTTATTAAATATAAATTAAAATTAAACTACATGGGGGATTATTCAGGGTATTCCAACTTAGTTGCACCAAAAGGGTATCTTACTATACCAAATTAATCCTTGATTCTTCAAAGTTTAGTTTAGCCATAATAAAAACTAGTATATAACAGCAATAGAATGTCATAAACAGTGCAGAATAAGTCTGTTCACATTTCAGGCGAAATTTATACTGTTGAGATAGTGTCAAGACATATTTAAGACTGTCTAGAATGTGTCGAGACATATTCAGACATTATTTAGAATGTCAAGAATATGTCGGGACATATTCAGACATTATTAAGAATGTCAAGAATATGTCAAGACAGATCGAGACAAATTTAAGACAGTCAAGAATTGGTCAAGACTAATCCAGACTCTTATCAGATGATACAGGAAGTGTCGAGAAATTTTAAGACAATGTTCATACTGTCAAGACACTTGTCAAGAAAAATCAAGAACCTTATTAGACAAATTCATACTATCTCAAGAATTTTTAAAAAGAGTAAGTTAGGTATTGTAGATTTCTAGGGATCCTCTAGAGATATGTTGTCTCTGCTGTTAGGTAGTGTAGATTTCTAGGGATCCTCTCCAGACATGTTGTCTCTGCTGTTAGGTATTGTAGATTTCTAGGGATCCTCTCAAGATATGTTGTCTCTGCTGTTAGGTATTGTAGATTTCTAGGGATCCTCTAGAGATATGTTGTCTCTGCTGTTAGGTAGTGTAGATTTCTAGGGATCCTCTCAAGACATGTTGTCTCTGCTGTTAGGTATTGTAGATTTCTAGGGATCCTCTGAAGATATGTTGTCTCTGCTGTTAGGTATTGTAGATTTCTAGGGATCCTCTAGAGATATGTTGTCTCTGCTGTTAGGTATTGTAGATTTCTAGGGATCCTCTGAAGATATGTTGTCTCTGCTGTTAGGTATTGTAGATTTCTAGGGATCCTCTGAAGATATGTTGTCTCTGCTGTTAGGTATTGTAGATTTCTAGGGATCCTCTAGAGATATGTTGTCTCTGCTGTTAGGTATTGTAGATTTCTAGGGATCCTCTGAAGATATGTTGTCTCTGCTGTTAGGTATTGTAGATTTCTAGGGATCCTCTAGAGATATGTTGTCTCTGCTGTTAGGTATTGTAGATTTCTAGGGATCCTCTGAAGATATGTTGTCTCTGCTGTTAGGTATTGTAGATTTCTAGGGATCCTCTGAAGATATGTTGTCTCTGCTGTTAGGTATTGTAGATTTCTAGGGATCCTCTAGAGATATGTTGTCTCTGCTGTTAGGTATTGTAGATTTCTAGGGATCCTCTGAAGATATGTTGTCTCTGCTGTTAGGTATTGTAGATTTCTAGGGATCCTCTAGAGATATGTTGTCTCTGCTGTTAGGTATTGTAGATTTCTAGGGATCCTCTGAAGATATGTTGTCTCTGCTGTTAGGTATTGTAGATTTCTAGGGATCCTCTAGAGATATGTTGTCTCTGCTGTTAGGTATTGTAGATTTCTAGGGATCCTCTGAAGATATGTTGTCTCTGCTGTTAGGTATTGTAGATTTCTAGGGATCCTCTAGAGATATGTTGTCTCTGCTGTTAGGTATTGTAGATTTCTAGGGATCCTCTGAAGATATGTTGTCTCTGCTGTTAGGTATTGTAGATTTCTAGGGATCCTCTAGAGATATGTTGTCTCTGCTGTTAGGTATTGTAGATTTCTAGGGATCCTCTGAAGATATGTTGTCTCTGCTGTTAGGTATTGTTGGAAAAATATTTTGTGTATTTAGTGATCCTCTCAAAATACAATGCCTTTGCTGTCAGGTATTGTTGTGATTTTCTGATGACCTCGCCTGCGAACCAAGATATCTGACATGGCCGAAAATAGACAATAGGGGTAAAATGCAAGTTTTGTCTATTATTTTGAAAACCATTATAAACAGACAAAGTCTGACAGGGCAAACATGTTCAGAATGTTGAGGTCTACCAATTGTTCATTGACGTCAAATCTGTCAGGCGACTTTTAATAGGAGTTATTGCCTTTAAATGATAAATTTTACCATTTTTCTTTGTTGCCTATTATCTTGAAAACTATAATAGATAGAAAGAAACTTTAAATTGCTAAAATGAACAGTAAGACAAGATCTAGGAATAATTTTTGCATGGTCGAAATCATCAGTCGACTACTGATTAGAGTTATAAGAGCTCCAGATAAGCTGCGTATTTGCGTGATCACGCAATAAAAATAATTAAAAACCCAATGCAATTGCCCATTGCAGGGTTCAATAACTCAATTAAGTAAAAGGAAAACCTAATTATATGCCAAAAACATGGGTTCTTAATGCTTTTATTCGCTATCGTTTGCGTTATTTACCCTTACTTGATTACAGTCGTCGCGTAAATCTATTTTTATAATATTTATAATTGGAAATGTCCTTTCGTTCTAAAAATAGAGCCCTGCATCAAGTAGCTGTAATGGGTCCCTGTTGGAATTTTCCGTTGCTCAAAAGGTACAAGTGTTTATGAAAACATTTCGATCTTCGCGGCGTTTATCCAATTAGCGTGTGACATGCTGTCATATTTTTTTCCAATTGCTCGGAATTTATCATAACATACAATGAATTAAAACGAAAGTAAATGTCCAGTAAAAATATTGAATAGAAGCATGTTTTCGGCTTCTTTTTGATAGCTGAGGGAAAGTTATGATGATAACAAGACTCAGCTAGTGATTTTAGGAAGCGGCCATTGAACGCACGGGCGTGTTTGCGTACCATAACGAGAACATTGCTAGAGCGATAAACACGGGGTTCCGTCAAAAACGAAATCAGTTGGAAAAAGTGAAAGGCCAAATCAATTATGACATGATATGTAGTTTGAAAGCATCGGAAACCAAAAGTTCTCATAAGGGACAACTTAACCCAGATTTATGTAAATTGAATTAAACGAAAACAGTTTATATATTATTTTTTTCATTTTAGTTGATGAGTGAATACACATATCCGTTTTTTTATGTCAATGCAGCTTGACACTTTCTTTGTTTTGGTCTAATTGTTCTAGATGCTTAAGATAGTTGTCTTATTGGCAAGTGCAGTATAACATTGTCATTTATTTACTTGATGTTGCAGAATTATTTGTAAATTTAAGTTGAATGTGGTCTCCGTCATTATAAACCACCCTATAAAACTCAAGGTTTTGGGGGTATATCTTAAATCTGGAAACTACTTTTTGTTTTTATTAAAAAGTAGATCTGGCAAATAGGTGAAAGGACTGGCAAAACTTTCTTGCAGCACCTAAATTTCACATATATTACACAAAAATCTAAACACTTAGCCACACCTACCCCAACTATAATTAAACTGTAGGGTGATCATATGGGATCTAGAAAGGCAATTAGTTCCTGTCCAACTAGTGACACCAGCTGCAGTTTACATAAGTTTTGAGAAAATACAAAACTGACAGAACGTTTAAAACGGGACACAAATTAAATGTACAATTGCTCGTCAGTGAATAAACCAAATAAAACAGCTAGCACATATTCTACAAAGAAAGAAACACATTTAAGATGGAAACACATCTGGGGTTGATATAATGTGATTATAACATGCCTAAATATTCAATATTGTGTTGATTAAAAAACCCAATACATTAAGGAGCTTGGTGGTGAAAAACCCAATTTGATATTTGCTTGAGGGGTGAATTGGAATTGATAATGCAATTAAAAAACTTTATCACCCAATTACATAAAAAAATGGTGGGTAAAAACCCCAATTTGTGAATTCTTATCTGGAGCTCTGGAGTTATTGCCCTTTGAAGACGATTTTTACCATTTTTTTTGCGATTTTGCCTAATATCTATATAAACTTTTAAATAATCACAAAAGATCAAGAAGACAAGATTTACATTTAAGACAATATGGAGGAAATTTTTCTGACAACTCTATTGCCCTTTAATGACGATTTTGACGAATTTTTTGGCATTTTGCCTTATATGATAAAAATTATAATTGATAAATAGAAACTTTAAATAATAGAACTGACCAACAAGGAAAGATTCGCAAACAAATCAAAACTTTTAGTAAGTAGACTGTCACTCTTCTTAGGAGTGACTGCCCTTAAATGAGGATTTTTTTTACCATCTTTTATGTTTTGAGGAAAAACTAAAGAAAATAGAGAGAAACTGACCAGACAAAATGATCAGCTTTACAAGATCAACAAAAATGAGATTTTTGTCATGAATTCTATTCTTGTCTACAATGTTGGAGAGAGTCCATTGTTGAATATGCACAAAGACATAGGTGAGCAACACATGATCTTTAGAGCCTCTAGTTATATATGGTCTTTTGGTCAAAGATCAAGATATAGATTGCCTTATCTGTATACAAATTTTTTAAACTTTATAAGGCAAATTTTTATATTGTAGCATACTAAATGTTCTAAAGGGCCTGGGCTTCTGGTCCCACTACAAGTTGAGGGTTCTTAGCCACTCTGCCATTGATCCAAACCCCCAGATGTATTTGTCTTTAAAAGTACATTTTATGTTTTTTTTCAAATTTTTTAATGCAATTAAAAGTATTTTTTGTATTTTCAATTTATTCAGTTAGAAGAAATTTTTTATATAGGAGCAGAAAAATATTTTTTTGTTTTAAAATTCCATGTAAATAATAGGTATGTAATTATTAAAGCAGAGTCCACTGTATAAAAACTTGAGCTAACTATTTATTATTTTTTTTTGCAGGAGAATGCCAGGTAATCCCAATCCAGCAGAAGCCTTACGTAAGTCTAGGATCAGTGTATTGAACGGTGGTGGAGAACGTGGTGATGTTCCTAACATAGTTGTCCTGATAACAACTAGCACTAGACAAGAAGATGAGGTCATTGAAGAGGCAAATAAGCTGAAACAGAAAGGAACAAAAGTTATTGTTGTTGGTAAGAGCTTTTTCATTAAAATTAAAGGGGAGGTTTTACTGTAAATTCAGTAATTTTTGCATGCATTTATTATTGTGGGAAAAAGGTGTGAGTCAGATTAAGTAATTTAAAGATTAGAGAAATGTGCAATTTAAAGTGAAAAGTAACTTTTTATAGATTTGGCCAGTCCAAAGCACTTTCTAGATTTAACTTTATCAGGAACCAAGGATGTATAATAACCTGAATTCCCAAGTTACCTAAAAGTATTGTTAAATTTATCTAAGATCAACTTTGCCTGAGAGTGATGGTACCTTAGTCTCTTAATAATTTCTAAATTTATCAATACAGACTGTTGGAAAAATATAAAATAATTTCATATTTAAATAAGGAGATGTGGTATGATTGCCAATGAGACAACTATCCACCAAAAGTTCAAATGAAGTGGATGTAAGCAGTTGTAGGCAACCATACAGCCTTCAACAATGAGAAAAGCCCATACCGTATGGTTGGCTATAAAAGGCTCTGACATGAAAATATGAAACAATTCAATTGAAAAAAACTAACAGCCTAATTGAACTCTGTTGGATAGTTGTCTCATTGGTAATCATATCACATCTCCTTACTTTTATAGTAAAACAATGATGGAAAACTTAAAATGTAAACTCTGATTATGGTACTGTAAATTCATGTCAGTTAACTTCTATGTTGATGATACCTTTTGGGATTAGAACACAATAACATAACAATTATATATTTTATCAGGAATTGGGTTGTCAGCATCAGACGAAGAATTTATGATGGCAGCAGTTAGCTCCCCTGTTAGCAAATATTTGTACCAGTCCAAAGATGTTAATGGATTAACTGACATTTCTGACAACATTATGGCTTATCTTTGTAATGGTATGTATAAATATGAAAAAAAAGATTGTTTTCTCTGCTTAATTTTGCCTGTATTGTTCAAATAGATTTGGATAAAATGACCTGATGTTTCTGTTATTGTAAAGTCATCTACATGTTCAATGTTGGGAAGTTTTCCCCCTTGTATATAATTTATCTCCATTTTTAAATCAACAACAACTTCTTATTGTAGAGAAAGATATGTGTGCGACAAATCCATGTCAAAATGGTGGCTATTGTGTTAGTGAACGCAATAGTTACTTTTGTGAATGCAGAGAAGGTTTTGCTGGACAGAACTGTGATCAAGGTGAGTTATCTCCCCTCTGTGTATACTAAATCAAGGTGAGTAATCTCTTCTCTGTGTCAGGGTACACAAATCAAAATGAGTCGTAACCCGGGAGGGTCTAAAACGCAGAAGTTGGAAAACACAGAAGTGTAAAATTGACATATTTTAAGTAATTTTTCTGCAACATCTTGATAAAAAAAGATTAAACACATTATTTTGATTTTGAAATGCGTTTTAACAAAAAAGTTGACTGGAAGCTTTTTTCAACAAATAAAATGCATGGAACTTTAAAGTCCTATAGCAAGATTGTATCTGCATATCACCCTTTCATTAGAGTTCCAAATCAAATCAAAAAAGATTTTGTCATGCAAATACTGTAAACCAACTAATTATACCCCACGAAACGAGTTGCGGAGGGTATAATGTTTTTGACCTGTCCGTCCGTCAGTCCGTCAGTCCTGTTTCTTGTCATCTCAACTCCTCTCAAACCACACAACAGAATTTCACGAAACCTTTTTAGATAAAAAGGACATATTATGTAGTTGTGCATATCGACAGGAAATTACGATTCAATTTTTTTTCTAGGAGTTGCGCTCCTTTGAACTTATTTGCTTCAATGTACTACTGCAACAGTTTGTCATCGCAACTCCTCTGAAACCACACATCAGAATTTCATGAAACCTTTTTAGATAATAAGGACATACTATGTAGATGTGCATATAGACAGGAAATTATGATTCAATTTTTTTCTAGGAGTTACGCCCCTTTGAACTTATTTACTTTAATGTACTACTGCAACAGTTTTTCATCTCAACTCCTCTGAAACCACACAACAGAATTTCATGAAACTTTGTAGATAATAAGAACATATATACTACGTAGATGTGCATATCGACAGAAAATTACGATTCATTTTTTTTTCTAGAAGTTATACCCCTTTGAACTTATTTGCTTCAATGTACTTCTGCAACAGTTTGTCATCTCCACTCTTCTGAAACCACACAACAGAATTTCATGAAATTTTGTAGATAAGAAGGACATACTATGTAGATGTGCATATTGACAGGAAACTATTATTCAATATTTTTTCTTATACAATTTTTTTTTGTTACACTTATTTAATTTCTCCAATGAAAATGTGGGGACGTGGGGTATGTGAGCGTGCTCACTAAGGTTCTTTAATTTTCGCGATATTCGCGAATTGAAAAATAACACGATTATAAGTCGTAGCGAATATGTAAAATTGGGATCTTTCCTTATTTAACTGCGTTAAGTTAATTTGAAAATCGTGAAATTAAATCGCCGCGAAATTGACTAGAAAGGGTTAAACGCGAAATTAAGTATCCATGAATATAAGTTGGTTTACAGTATATAATTTCAATACATGAAAATATATACCAAGTGAGGCTTATGATGATGATTTTCCGATTATTCCACTTGTATGAATGAAAGGAGACAATTAAATCAGCTATGAGCCTCAAAAAAGTGTGAATAAATTTAACAGAAGTTGTTATTATCGTGAAATTACGTTAGGATAGGTTTTGCAAAAATAAAAACTTGACTTTAGGTTGTGATAGCATTAAAGCTTTCCTAAATTTGCAATAATTAATCTTGAAGTTGAATTTGAATTTACAGTACCATTATCACAGTTTACAATTCAAGTTTTTCCATCATTGAACTACTATAAAAGTATTGAAGGAGATGTGATATGATTGCCCATGAGTCAACTATCCAACAGAGTTCAAATGACAAAGATGAAAGCAATTTAAGGTCACTGTACAGCCTTTAACAATGAGAAAAACTCATACCATATAGTCAGCCATAAAAGGCCCAGACATATGAAAAAATGTGAAACATTTCAAATGAGAAAACCACCAGCCTTAGTTTATATAATACAAAAGTATCAATCAGTACACATCCAACAGATTTAGTTTAAAGACATCATTAACAGTTTGTATATTTTTTTCTCTCCAGCTTGTGACGCTAAGGCAGATGTTGCCTTCCTCATTGATTCCTCTGGTAGCATCGGTCAACATAACTTCCGACTGGTCAAAGACTTTATTTACAGAGTCGTAGAGGAACTGACCATTGGGAAGCGACACACACGTATAGGATTGGTCTCATACAGTACATCGGCCAGAATGGGATTCCATCTCGATGATTATATTACTAAATCTGGTGTAGAAGATGCTATTTCCAGTGTTGGTTATGTTTATGGTAACACAAACACAGCTGCTGGAATAAAGATGGTGAGACGAAGTGTATTTAACCCATCTAGAGGTGACCGACCTGATGCACAAAATTTCTGTAAGTAAACCTATAAATTGTGATATAGTGTAGTACTTATCTGAAGGCCTCACTAAATATCTCTTTTAGGAATGGGGTCTGGCACACATTTTTTATTGCATTTTACTTTGCATACATAACCACGCAATTTGAGCTTCTTGACCTGCCCCCACCCATACAAAAAAAAATCAAGTGCCATCCAACCACCTCCCCTCCTCTCTCTCCATATATATTTTTTTCTGGGATAGCCCTGGGTAGAACACATCTCTTTATAATACTACAATTTACATTTTCCCTGATTAGGGGTTGCAGCCTAAGATATTTAAATGAATTCTTTAAAATTATGCAAATTAAGAAACAAACTGAATTTATAACATGAATAATGCATAATTTATAGGTCACAACTTCAAATTTATAATTTGATATGTAATAATAATAATTTATTTTATTAAATATATATATATATATGCCAGAAAGACTTTATTAGGGCCACCGAATGGCAGACGCCCTATAGTGATCAGTCTGTCCGTCCATCCGTAACAAATTGTGTCCGCTCTATATCTAGAGAACCGTTATGATTGCAAAGTTTATACTTGACATGTATATTAACCAACACCAGAGGGTGTGTCATAATTTATGTACAACTTCCTAGGTCAAAGTTTAAGGTCAAAAACTTTGGTTTCAGTTGACAACCCCATGTCTAATGATAAAGATACAAATTTTTTACCACACATTATTCACAGCGGGGCCCACAGAGATGGCTCCCATCTCAATGATATCTAGTTTTGTATTGATTTAACAAGTTATGTCACAACCATTTTTGTGTGAATTTATAGTATTTTAGATTAAAAATTATCAAATATTTGATTCTTTTGTGAACTTACTGCTTTAACAATTGACACTTAAAAAAAATCATGGCAATTATGAAGAAGCACGTTTGTTGAAGGCATGTACAGTACTTAATACATAGTGGATTGAGCATTTTCTATGGCAAGCCGTCTTCTAAAGTTTATAAGATATCTAATAAAGTATATAAGATATCTTATGAAAAAAATTACATGAGATATCTTATAAATTATATATGAGATATCTTTTAAACTATATAAAATATCTTATAAATTATATAACATATCTTATAAACAATATAAGATATCTTATAAACTATATAAAATATCTTATAAACTATATAAGATATCTTATAAACAATATAAGATATCTTATAAACTATATGAGATATCTTATAAAGTTTATTAGATGTCTTGAAGTTAGAATAGATAATCAAATGGCTTGCCATAATTTTCTATTACTGTGGATTATGGTTATTCGTGGGATACCATATTTCATGGAATTTGTAGTTAACAGTAAAACCATAAATTTAAATATTCCAACTAAGTAGAATTTTTCTATATACTTATATGCAAACCTTGGCAAAAAATATAAAATCAGATATTCATAAAAAGAATAATTCTCAATCAACAAAAAATTTATACCCATTATATCAAAAATAAATTAATCCAAGGTAATTGAAGGCTGTACAGTTGCCTATAATTGCTTGCATCAACTTTATTTTAACTTTGGTGGATAATTGTCTCATTTGCAATCGTACCTCATCTCCTTATTTTTATAATGTAAGTTAAACTTTTCCACTATTTGTCATATTGATAGGCTAGTAGTAGGTAGTGTTGTGACTTAGTTGGAAAATTATAATCTATTAATCAGAATAATCGGAAAGAAAGATACATCTTGATTTTTGATTTTAGTAGGTTTATAATTAATATGCAAATAATGTAAGAATTTAGTAACAAGAAACGTACTTATCCTTATGTAATAAATGTGCATGACATATATAGATGAAATATCCAAGTTCAGAGTGTACTGGAAGGTGTCAAAAGGTTTACTTAATAAAAAAAAATAATAAAATTGTAAAATATAATATTTTCATTGATGGATGGATTCTTGATTATAATCTATAACCAGAACATCACTGATAGCAGGTCATTGTGGAATGAATAGGATTTTCCAATGTAATGCTTGTCTTGATATATAGTGACCTGCCCAATAAATATAGTTGCAAATGGTGAACATGCATTTATTTTAGTGGCTTCTACAAAACATCATGGCAATTTATTTATCCTTCATTTACAGTGATAATAATAACTGATGGTGTATCTAATGTAAAGGCAGAGAGCACAATACCTGAGGCCCAGAAAGCCAAAGAGGAAGGAGTACATGTTATAACTATTGGTGTCGGAACTTTTGATCGTGCAGAGTTACGAGCTATGGCCAGTGAACCAACTGATAATAATGTGAAAATAATTGATGACTTCAATGCATTGGCTAGTTTGACAACTGACTTGGTTAAAGCCACTTGTAGAGGTAATTTAATATATGAAGATGGTTGTAAGGGGATTGATTGGGTTAGGTTGGGGGGGGGGGGGGGGGGGGGGAGTGTGTCATGTGCAAGTTTGAAAACAGGAAATAAAATGGCTATTTCACCATGAATGAAAAACATAAAAAATAGCATGCACATTGCTTTTTAACCAATTGCAAGAACCACTTTGAACAAAGAACTTCAAGCACAAAATAGTGAAAAAAAAGAGATCCTTGTGTATGTCCCCACACAGTGGTGGAATTAATTTGAACGATATTCCATAAATAAAAGAATGTACATGAATAATACACTAGCTGCATGTATCTACCAATCAAAATTTTAAAAAAAATGATGAATACCTCCTTAATAAGACGTTGGTTGATACACTGAGTTTTTCTTATACATTCTTCACTATTGAAAGAGTATTCCCTAAGGGACGACATCAAAAGATCAATGTAGGATAAAAAACTTAAATCAAATAGTTTGGGGGTGGGGGGTTAAAATTGCTGCAAGTTTTGTTTATCCAAAATCGATTTTACATATATCCATATTGGTCAATCAATTTTTCCCAAATTAAGTTAAGAGGGGGGGGGGGGGGTTTCAGTGAAAAAACTATGTGAATTAAGTTTTTTATCCTACATTTAACTTTTGATGTCGTCCTTAAGAGATCAACTTTTTCTTACAGCAATTTTATTAAAAAAAAAGTATAAAAACTTTCAAAAGTTTTATTTGCTATGTATTAAACAACAGCAAAATTTTGTTTACCTTGCTTAAAAATTATTCGATGGAATTTTTTTTTTTATAAATTGTATGTTTTTTAAGAAAATAATTTTCCAATATAAAGAAGGGGAGACAACTTTGAAATCATTACAAAAAGGGAGATTATCGGATAACCAGATTCTACTGTTATTTTACAGATGAATCAATATGTAATGAGAATCCTTGTTTGAATGGAGGTGTCTGCAGTGTTGGGGTCAATACATTTCAATGTAAATGTCCAACAGGATACTCAGGCCATAGGTGTGAGAAAGGTATGTATCAATATATATGAATGTTAATGGCTGAAAAGGGTTCTTTAGACAAGACTTCATTGTTTCACCTGCAAAATCATATAAAACTAATGTTCAAATATTTTAAACCTAATTATTTTAGTTTCATATTTTAATTTACATTTTCAAATAGTTTTGCCAATAACTTTGACCTCATTTACATGATTAAACAAAAAGTTCAAGGAAAAGAAGTTTCCAATCCTTCTGACTCAACCGAGGATTCCAAAAATAATTTAAGGCTTCCCAACCTTTTCCTATCAATTCCGTTTTTTAATCATTTTATTCTTTTTACCAAAAGGTAATTAATGTAATAATAACTTGGGAAATCATGGACAATGATTAACAAGAAAATTTTGTACTTTTGATATTGATTCTGTGAACTGACATGAACTTGTACATTGGTAGTTCTAGATCTGTTTATCAACAGAATATTGTTTGAAGTATGCCACATTAGCAGAATTACATGTTTGAAGTATGCCACATTAGCAGAATTACGTGTTTGAAGTATGCCACATTATCTGAATTACATGTCCGCTATATTCAGTTCTGCCAACTTTTAATAATGCAAATGCGTGAGATTTGGCCAAAATCTTAAAGATCAAAGAGAAAAAAACAATAGATCAAAGGAAAATGGCGCCAAATAAGCATGAAAATGCGAGAGGCTCACGCTAAATGCGTGAGACTTGGCAGCCCTGTATATTCTTTATTAATGCAATAACAAACTGATATGAAACTTCACTTTTGATTTTTAAAAAGCACTTATTTTCTTATACTGGATGTTTACTTGACAGATATAATGGAACAGAGACAGAATAACTTAAATCCATTTACTTTTGTCTAGCATCTTTAAGGATGTACTTAGGTGAAATTAAGAAAATCTAGAATTTAAATTTGATACTATAAGTCAGAAGAGCAGTAGCTAAGGAACAAAATAAGCTAAAAATATTGATAGGCTATGGAGCTCCTTTTCGAGATATTTAATATTTAAAAAATGGCAGGAAAAGGCTTACTTGGACTTTTACCTTATATTTGCATTGGTATTATTTGGGTCTCAAATTGAAAGAAAAGAAATCTAGAATCTGCTTTGATTTTGGTAAATGACCTTTTATGAACTATTGAAGTCTTATATGAAAAGAAAAATGGGTGTTATGGGGCAAAATATTTCATCCTGTATTGGTAGGAAAAAATAACCAAGGAGTCATAACATCTGATACAAATTCCTAAACCTGACCTAAGTATATCCTTAATTTAAATAATTCTTTCCATGTTATTTCTTCAAGTAAATACTTTAGATGATCATACAAAAAAGTGTAAATGATATTTACATCATTTTGAAAGATTTACGACACATAATTCATTTCACACTTATGCGCATGTGTACACTAAAAGTCTTGTATTGTGTAAAAACATGGTTCAATTTCCACGCAAAATCTTTTTTAAACAGCTTTATCCATTGGATGTTGGATGTGCACTGATTGATATTTTAGTTTAAGATACGTTATTATTTGTTATTGGCCTTGAACTATAGCTAGATGTCAGTAACTGCAAGTACTCTCAGATCTGTCTTTTTTGTTGTTAGGGATGAGGGATGAATAAATACCTGCCAGTCTGTTTTTGTTTGATATTTTCTGTTTTGTATTGATCTGATGAGTTGATCGTTTTTCAACTGATTTTTGTCGAGCCTGCGACTTTTGTCGCAGAAAGCTCGACTTAGGGATAGTGATCTGGCGGCAGCAGCGGCGTTAGCTAATTTCTTAAAAGCTTTATATTTTAGAAGCTAGAAGACCTGGATGCTTCATAATTTGTATATAGATGCCTTATGTTACGAAGTTTCCGTCTGTCATATGTCCTTTGTCCTTGACCTCATTTTCATGGTTCAGTGACTACTCGAAAAAAAAGTCAACATTTTTTGTAATGTTAATTTCTTTCTTATTATGAGTAATAGGATAACTATATTTAGTATGTGCGTACCTTGCAAGGTCCTCATGCCCGTCAGACAATTTTCATTTGACCTTGACCTCATTTCATGGATCAGTGAACAAGGTTAAGTTTTTGTGGTCAAGTCCATATATCAGATACTATAAGCAGTAGGTCTACTATATTTGGTATATTGAATGATTGTAAGGTGTACATGTCCAACTGGTAGGTGTATTCTGACCTTGACCTCATTTTTATTGTTCAGTGGTCAAAGTTAAGTTTTTGAGTTTTGGTCTTTTTTCTAATACTATATGCAATAGGTCAACTATAAATGGTGTATGGAAATATTTTATGATGTACATGTCAGTCTCACAGGTTTTATTTGACCTTGACCTCATTTTCACTGTTTATTTCTCAGTGTTAAGTTTTTGTGTTTTGGTCTGTTTTTCTTCAATTATAAGCAATAGATCAACTATATTTGATGTATGGAAGGATTGTAAGGTGTATATGTCTGTCTGGCAGGTATCATCTGACCTTGACCTCATTTTCATGGTTCATTGGTCAATGTTAAGTTTTCATGGTTAAGTTTGTTTCTTAGATACTATAAGCAATAGGTCAACTATATTTAATGTCTAAATTGATTGTAAGGTGTACATGCCTGTCTGGCATGGTTCATCTGACCTTGACCTCATTTTCATGGTTCATTGGTCAATGTTAAGTTTTCTTGATTGAGACTGTTTCTTAGAAACAATTAGCAATAGGTCAACTATGTTTGGTTTATTGAATGATTGTAAGGTGTACATGTATTTCTCATTTGGTTTATCTGACCTTGACCTCATTTTCTTGGATCATGTTAAGTTTATGTGTTACTTGTAGTAAAGCTTTGTATTTAGGACTATCAACATAAAATCAATGGTTAGTAAAGAAGGCGAGACATTTCAGCGTGTGCACTCTTGTTATAGTTTGTTCTTATGTTGTGCTGTTACACCACTGTCCTAGGTTAGGGGAGGGTTGAGCGCTCACAAACTTTTTTTAACCCCGCCACATTCTTTAAGTGCCTGTCCCAAGTCAGGAGCCTGTTGTTTAGTGGTTGTCGTTGGTTCATTTCTGTCATATTAGTTTTTTCGTATATTGTTTTGTTATAAATTAGGATGTTAGTTTTCTCAAGTCTATTGTTTCATATTTTTCATGTAGGGGCCTTTTATAGCCGACTATACGGTTTGGGTTTTTCTCATTGTCAAAGGCCGTACAGTTGCCTATAATTGCTTACATCCACTTCATTTGAACTTTGGTGGTTAGTTGTGTCATTGGCAATCATACCATATCTATGGTGGATAGTTGTGTCATTAGCAATCATTATAACCACATCTTTGGTGGATAGTTGTGTCATTGGCAATCATACCACATCTCTGTCGGATAGATGTGTCATTGGCAATCATACGACATATCCTGATTTTTATATTAGTTGTACACAAGCAACACACTGCAGCTGGATGAATGGTCTCTGTCTAGATCTGCCACTGGATTTTATATGATGTCTTTTAATTTTAAGGTTGCATTCAATATAAAACATATTTCATCTTTTTTTCCAGTTACTAATTCAAATGTTCCTCTCTTCATCCAAGTCTAATCACTTTGCAACACCTATATAATATTTTTCAGTCTTGGATTTATTGTAACTTGTTTTTGCCCTTAATATGCATGAAATATTTGCCATAGATGTTAAGGAAGCAGTAATCAATCATAACCTTTATGTTATTTGACCATAATGATTCCGTCTTTCCTTTATTTGTAGCCTGTATAGACAGAAAGGATATTGTGTTTGTACTGGATTCATCATCGAGTGTCGGCAAAGATAATTTCCAATATATGTTAGATTTCGTGAGAGCATTAGTAGAAGAAATTGGTGGCACTTCAAACGAACACAGGTTTGCCCTTATAACATACAGTACAAGAGTCAACCTGGTTTTCAGCCTGGGAAGATATTCTAATGGTAATGTAGCTAAGGTAATTTCTACAACACGTTATAAAGCCGGCTCAACAAATACTGCTGGAGGTCTACGCACTGCAGCAGATGTGTTGAAAATGAGCGGTGGCAGAAGTTCCGCGGAGGACATAGTAATTCTGTTGACTGATGGACAGTCTAACCTCAATTCCAGGGATACCATACCATCAGCGGAAGCATTGAAACAGAAAGGTGTTAAAGTTATAACTATTGGTATTAAGATTTCTGATACGGACGAAATTAAGGCTATAGCTTCTAGTGAAAAGGAGGTTTTCATAGCTAAAGACTTTCAATCTCTTACAGACATTAAACAGGAAATATCTGAAAATTCATGTCAAGGCAATGGAAGTTAGTTTAGTGTGTAATAGTTCTATTTCTAACATTTAATGAAATTTTTATAACATTTTTTAATCTATTGTGTAAATTAAAAATTCTACAGAGCTTGTGTTACTTGTATTCATATATGTTTATAATAAATTGAGCATCTACGCCTATATTTTTTGTCTATCTATCTATTAAGATTATCATTAACATTGACATGATGTTCAATTCTTTCTTTGGACTTATCAATTTTTTATATAGAATTTGCTTATCCATTTGGATTAAAAACATGTAAAAATCTGATCAAATTGATTATGAATAATAAATATGAAACACACACAGTACAACAATCTGAATTCAAGGGAACAGATGCAGTTGACAAAATAGAAAAAAAAACAGTTGTGCTCTGCTGCTAAGTCTAATTTGTGGATGGAGTTATTGTAATTAATATAATGAATGAAATAATTATTATTAGCGATTACTAAATAACCTTTGTTTGCTTATATACTAATGAAGAATATAACAACCTGTTAACTCTTGTGTAATGTTTATTTTAAGGCTACATTAAATTCATTTGTTGTTTTTATCTTGCTGTAACCCTGATGAAAATAGGTGCAAGGGAGAAAAAAAATTTCCAGATTAAAATAATTATTGGATTTATTTTTTTCGTTTTTTTCCTAGGATTTTTCTTTTGAATTAAAAATGGCAGAATGATTTAGTGTGGCCTTATAGAAAATTTCATCATTTCACCTGTATCTTTTCATTAAACTGTGATGTATAATTGTCATGAAATTATAATATATATAATGTTATGCATATGCTTATCATCTACTTAAATGATATATTGAATGGAAAGTATTTAATTTCAAAACCTTACTTAACTGATTTTTTTTTTAATTAGAACTTTTAAAATTTGTACATTATCTCAGACTCCTATCAAAAATCTTTGGCAATTTATTTACAAAATATTTTTGTTATATACAAGGTACAGTCATATCTGTCCCATTTAAAAAAAAAAAGATTATTAAGCATGTAATAGTTAATTTTAAAAGAAACATGAATACTGTATTGTATATTTTCAGCTGTTCTTAGTGCAGTATTTTCACCCCTCTTAATTTTGTAGTGTCAGAAGATATACAAAATTTTCTTTGTTTTTCCTTTGTTTTTTGTATCATTTTATGCATATGCTATTTATCACATGATTGTCATGTGACATGTTGCATTGAAATATTTTATGATGTATGTATTTGTTTACCAATCATTTTTAATAAATTTTACAAAAATTGTGAGTTAGTTCATTCAAAGATGCCTCAGTGACAAAGGTAACAAGCTTTGGTGAGGGCTATTCCATTAAAATGTATGTGGGAGGGTAGCAAGGGAAGTTTAATTATTGAATGTGGGTCGTGTCATCATGGGTCTTTTTTCAGTATGCATCTTTTACAATTATGCAAAATTATCTAAAAAATTGTTCTTGGTTGTAGGGATATTTTGAAAGTCCCTTCCTACCCTCCCACATACATTTTAATGGAATAGCCCTGATTGTACACTGATTGTATACAGTATGTGATTTGCCTACTGTTGAAGGTTGTTAGGTGATCAATAGTTTCTTACATTCACTTCAATTGGACAATTGAATAGTTGCTTCATTAGCAATAAAACCAAATGTTCTTATTTTTAACTGAAGGGGTGACTGAAGCCATATTAATTACATGTAATTGAGTAGATGTTCCACCAGAGATGAAGTTCAATAGGATATTTCCCCAACAAGGTTATTTTAGAACCAATGATGAAAATGAATTAAATGTGGGGACCTGCAATCGAGGAACTTTTTATGGTATTTTTGAAACTACAATTGTAATTTAAATGTTTAAACAACCAAAAACATCTGTAATTCTGGAGAGATAGGGTAATGTTTTATCCAGCCAATATAAAAATAAGGAGATAGGTATGATTGCCAATTAGACAACTATCCACCAAAGTTCAAATAAAGTGGGTGAAGCAATTATAGGCAACCGTACGGCCATCAACAATGAGAAAAAAAGGCCCTGACATGAAAAATATGAAACAATTCAATTGAGAAAACTAACGGTCTAATTTATAACAAAACAATTAATGAAAAACAATATGACAGACATGAACCAAGGACAACTACTGAATTACAGGCTCCTGACTTGGGACAGGCACATAAAAAATATGGCAGGGTTAAACATGTTTGTGAGCACTCAACCCTCCCCCTAACCAGGGACAGTGGTGTACCAGCACAACATAATAACAAACTATAAAAATCAGTTGAAAAAGGCTTAACTCATCAGATCAATACAAGATTCCTTCAGATTTAAAGATATTTCACATCAACTTGAAACATATTCATCAAGTTCAATCAACTTCAATGTGAGGTGAACACTCAAAATATTTGACAAATTAGGATTTTGACCAAATTCACGGTTCACTGAACATTGACATAGGATAGTGTGAATGGGGCATTATGTCCTATGGTCACATATTTTTGCTTATTGCCTGTAATGAAAAAGTAGGTTATTACAACAGAAAATCAAGCTCTGTAGAAGATTTGTTCAACAGTTGAAACTCTTTTTTAATTGCAGTTATTGCCCTTTAATGACGATTTTTACAATTGTTTTACATTTTGCCTTATATGATAAGAATCTTAATAGATAAATAGAAACTTTGAATAACAAAAATGATCAGCAAGGCAAGATCCACAAACAAATCAAATTTATAGTTAGTAGACTGTAACTCTTCATAGGAGTGATTGCCCTTAATGAAGATTTTTTTTACCCTAGCGCTCTTTTGTGTTTCGAGCAAAAGAGAATAACTAAACAGACAAAATGATCACCAATACAAGATCAACAAAAAAGAAATTGTTGATCTTGTATTGGTGAATTGTAATGAACTTTATTCTTGTCTACAATGTTGGAGAGAGTCCGTTGTTGATTATGCATATAGACCTAGGTGAGCGACACAGGCTCTTTAGAGGCTCTAGTTGTAAGATGTTCGGATTGCTTGGGTTTTTTCCGATGATACAGGGTAAAATATTTGCCCCATATCACACACTTTTAATTTCATAGGAGACTTCAATTGCTCATAAAAGATCATCACCAAAATTTAAGCCGATTCTAGATTTCTTTTCTTACGATTTGAGACCCAAATAATGCCAATGCTAAATATAAGGTAAAAACCCGAGTCAGTCTTTTTCCCGCCATTAAAAATCACTAGAACAAACTAAACATCAGTTGGAAAGAGCTCAACTGGTCATTACTGTACTTAACACAAAAACAAAAGACACAAAGTATCGATCTAAGAGGACTTTGAGATACAAAACACAGGACAAAAACAAAAGACACAAAGTATCGATCTCAGGGGACTTTGAGATGCAAAACACAGGACTGGTAAAACATTGTAAGGGAGCGGGCATTATCGTTTAACTTCACTTTCTGTTATATAGATAACATCTTTATATCGAACAATCGAAATTCTGATGACTGTTAAATGCATCTTCCCCCAATGAATTTGAAAAGAAAACCACAGATACAATTAAGTCTGCTTCATATCTTGACTTGCATCCAGAAATTGACAATGAGTGTCATTTGAAAAACTAACTTCATAACACAAATGATTATGATTAAATTTCTCATTGTGAACTTTCAATTTCTGTGTAGCAGCATTCCAGCAGTGCCTACATATGGAGAATGTATCATATTTAAGATATTCCAGGCCTTTCATTTCCTATCATGATTGCTCCATAGAGAGTGATTGGTAACAAGCATCAATGGTTTCAAAAGGTAAGGTAGAGATCATTCCTTCGAAAGTGTAACGGACACAATATTAATCACGATATAGTTAACCGTTATGGAATATATGTGGATATGTTCTAATTGTAACCACAATCACAAGATTTTCAATTGCATGATAAATACGCCGGATCCACCAATGAAACAGGAATATCTTACATTTTGGAGCACCTGCGTTCGTCCCTGATTTTGGTGGGGTTGCGTTGCTTAAGGATGTTCGCTCCTCTGTTTAAAAATAACAAGATTTTTAAATGATTGTTATAAATTGATAGTATATAAATAACAGAAATTAAAAAGCAGAAAAAAATGATAGGTCCGTGACCTTGTTTTCGAGATATAATCAATTCTCAGATCTGGACATCCTGGCATTTACATTTTTCAAGGGGTGATGCCAATAGGAATCCTCTAGATTTTTCATCTATTTGAAGGTGATTACTGATTATTTATATTGCCGATTATTTTTTAACCAGAGGATATAGTATGATAAAAATAAAAATGGAGATATTATATAGTGTCTTTAACAATATTAAAAGAGTAAAATTACTATATTCAACTGGTGTCGATATATATCAATTAAATTAATTTGCATTGAAGTATATGGAAAATCTAGAGGATTTTTATTGGCATCACCTCTCAACATTGTTTACATAACACAAATGCTAATCATTGATTGGTCAGTTACATGTTGTGATGTCACTGCAGATCTGAGAATTGAAAATTTGGCGGGAAATGATTCTCTCTAGATGTTTCATACATTTAACATTGGCACCTTTTTTCTTTCAAAAACTATGAAAAAATAACAAGGATTTTATAAGATTTTCATAAATGGCTTGTCAAACTACATGTAAAATTATGGACAGAAAAGTAGGGGTTAGCGGGAATTTTTTTTATTGGCAATACATGGATAAAACTAGAGGATTCCGAATATCTGACAAAAAAGTCAAAAACAAGAGTAGCAAACATCCTTAAACTATTTTTTGATAGGTTTTGTTATTATTTGTCTTCGACATTATTTTGATTGGCCATAGTGTTGTCTTTATTTATCAGACATGGAAAAGCATATTACAAACCTGAAGTACAGACAAGTTGTGTCAAATGCGGCTATTAGAAAACCAATCTATCCTTTGGAGAAGAAAAAAATCTTAGTGTTTCGAATAACAAACATTTTATAACAGAAAATCAAATGAAGATGAACATATCAATGATTTTTCATTTCAACCTAACAGTTCTAATTGCTTTAACACAAATTTGACAAATGTTAAGAATCAAATGACTTTCAAATTATCTCAAGTTCACAACCTACAATAGCGATTAAACAAGTTCATCTGCTTATCATGTAATGAAAGTAAGGATACATTTGCTCCATTTCCTTTAGACTTATCTATCATGACATAATTATGCCAGTCACATAAGAACGATAATGGATTTTCGCATGGTTTTATTTGTTGGATTTTGTAAGTATATTCTGTAGAAAATAACAAGAGATGTAAAAGAGAAAATGATGAAGTTACTGATTTGGAATAGTGCGGGGTTAGACAATTTATTTAATATCGAATCCTTTTGTTTTCAATCTTAGGAATAGAATACTAATAGTATATGGAAGAACGCACAATAGAAATTAGTTTCTTGACCCCAATCCTATCCAAACTCGACTATACTGCTTTGTACTCGACCCTTATCTGGACTATACTTAAAAGTCCGAACTAGAAGTACTCGACCAGTCTGAAACAGTCTTAAACCAATCTAGACCTGTACTTAACCTGTTAACCTGTTTTAACCATGCTCGACCAACAGTCTGTACTGTATTCGACTATATCTTAATAACACTCAACCATTTTATTTCTATTTTATCAATCTTAATTTTGTGACCTACTATTATTCATGTTATTTAAACATACCCAATATATATATACCGATAACTATGTCGAAAAATATTGGCGGGTATACAAAAACAAATGTTAAAATGTTTGTAATAACATGTTTTTGTAAAGTTAAAATTTCAATATTGATTTTTTTTCAATGCCCGGATTTTGCTGATAACTATTTTTTTCACTTCACACTTGAAATAATTTATTTTTTAGCAAGAAATTGATAAATCAAACATATCAGAATATCAACGAATAAAAATAACAGAAACAACACAAATTGTA